CTTCTCCACTCCTTCGGCAGCAGTTGACCAGAGTGTTGCCAACACAGAGATTCGTGCAGAGTGTGGGACGATATTTGAGGACATAGGTTTCATATAGTCAGAAGATAGTATATAATATAGATTCATATAGTATATGATATTATATAGTATACTTAGATTGCTTAAAGGTCCCCAAAAACATTACACATTTTTCCTTATCTCCCCAAATGATGAATTCTCCAGCGGACAAATAAACCAAATCATCTTAAACAAACCCGGTGGCCGGGAGCTACATGCATTTGATGGGAACGCAGTTCATGCTCACACCTACGTTTGATGGGGGTTGCAGTTGTGTTTCTTGTTAAACGCCATGAAAAACCCTTAGTTGCATCAACCATAAACCATAGTCAACCAACTTGTAAATCAACTTAGCTATCATAGATCAGTTCTAAATACCATTAAATCTTCATTTTTGTTGCTTATAGTTATAGATCAACTTAGCTATCGTAAACGGGGGCCCCACATTATAAGTCTCGTACCTGCGGCAAATTTGGTGGGGAAAGCAAGTTATATAAGACCCTCGAAGGATCTGGATATCTACCAACTTGGAGAGAGAGAGAGAGAGCACTGTGAGAACGAATTATAATATACAGTATGTTACTTATATATGTAAGATTATTAATATATATATGTAGTATATGTGATATGTGTGTATATATTATTTATCAAACATACATATGGGAAATATATGTGTATATAACTATATAGCTATGTAAGGCATATCTAGATGCAATATATGTATACACATTATATGTATATATATATATATATATGTATACACACAATGTATATATATATATACATGCACTATTTATATGCACATGTATATCTATGTTGTATTCTATATAAATGATGTGTCATATGTAAATATATATTATATATATATATAAAACACATATTACGGATATATATATATATCATTTATATTGTATTCCACAAATGCACATACATATACATATATGTATATGTATATATATATGTATATATATATGTATATATATATATATATGTATATATATATATATATGTATATGTATGTTTGGATATGTATTTAATCTGGGAAAATTCGTCCCCTCGACAGGGATGATCAATGCATCAATGCAGCCAGGACTCCTGTCGCCATCAAGCTCTTCAAAAATGGACTCCTTAGGCCACTGATTAATGGATGGCAACATGAAGCACTAACTATCTTCATATGGTCAATATCAATGGTTACACTAACAGTTGACTACGGTCAATATTCCACTAAAAAAAATGTTTTTTTTCATAGGCTGTAACTCATGGTGAATCTTAGATACCTGGCAATCAATCTACCCTCTGGTAAACTAACGTAACTATGGAAAATCACCATTTTTAATGGGAAAACTCACTATAAATGGCCATTTTCAATAGCTATTTTGACATAACCGGAGGGTAATAAATATAGCTGGTGAATGTACATTTACACCATTGGTATCCATTGGTAGCAAAAGGTTGACCCAGATCTTGTCCAGAAGGCCGCGTGCAACAGCGCCTGTAAACATACAAAAAGCTATTGAAAATGGCCATGGAAATAGTGGATTTACCCATTAAAAGTGGTGATTTGCCGTAGTTATGTCAGTTAGTGTCAACGCCTCTGAAAAATATGAAAGTCAGTTGGGATGATTATTCCCAATGTATGGAAAGTCATAAATCCAAACCACCAACCAGATTAGTTGCTTTCCTGTCCACAGTTCTTAAGTCTTAGTGGGATAAACGGGATCCATCTACCCCTATCGCCCTTCACGTCTGTATGGCTGCAATGCATCCAGCGATGGCACAACAGACCCCGTCTACTCCGAACCCAAACTCGGTCGACCGTTGCTGGAAGTCTTCGGTGATTCCGATTCCATTTATGGTTGGTGATCTAATAGCCATAGAAATACTTGATTTAACCATCAATAGCATGATGATGTTCCATGTGGCTGTTTACCAGAGGGCAATCTGGTTGGTGGTTTCAGCCTACCCCTCTGAAAAATGATGGAGTTCGTCAGTTGGGATGATTATTCCCAACTGAATGGAAAAATAACATTCATGTTCCAAACCACCAACCAGTTGAAATAGGAATCACAAATCTACACCTCTGACATTCAAGTTCCATCATTCTATAACCAATGGCCGTGAAACAAAAAAAAACATCTTTAGTATCTGTTGTGTAACAATATTGTTTTAGCTTCCGATATTTGGATATATTTGGGGCAATTGCCAGAAATCAAGATTGGGGCCAACTTCTTTTGAAAACCCATCCCTATTGATATCCTTAGCTCCCAAAAATGCGATGGCTGAGCTCCTAAGAAGGTACTGAAGATACCTGGTAAATGGACTAAGCTAGAATTCTACGTATAGATCCAGATCCTAGTTTTTCCAAAGAGGACTAGGTAGCTGCAACCTCCTGACATTCAGTGTGTGGCCATCATGGACAAAAGAAAGTCCGTCTTTGGGGCGCATTTTATGATATTCCACAAAAAACTTTCCCCCCAACTCTTGTCACCTCAATCCTCAAAAGAAACAAACACATCTTCATTTACAAAATCCGCAACCTTAGCGCTTGGAGGTTCATACCGCCTGTTACTGGTGCCTCTGGTGGCTCTGGTTACTGAGTGTTCCTCAAATTGACGTGATCTCACAAAGAAAAGTGGGTTGTAAGCCTGCAAAAACAGACCAGATACGAATCATAGTTTTTTGCTTGTACGAGTTGTATGCTGTAATGTTATGCCATGTTATACTATAGTTTTTGGTGGGTAGCCCTCCAATTACTTGGGATGATCATTGGTTCCAATATCTTCATGTAAATCCCATGTTTGTTGGTTACAATATCCTCATTGTTGCTGATTGAATAAAACTTTGCTATTGTTAAACAATGGCACAAATCACCTGTTTCCTGCTGGTAACCCTGCTTATTTTGCATCGCCTGTTTCCTGGGCTTACCACTACTTGGAGGATCATCCACCTTTATTCACTGGTCATTTTTTGCCCAATAGCGGATAACTTCCACGAATCGGGGACTTACTAACCAGGGTTGTTCACCAGTTGCCATCCCTGTGATGATTCCATAATTATCACACATACTCAGTAGAATAGCTGCTTGATAATCTTGTCCTGGCACAGTTGATCTAGGACAACATGGCAAAAAGTACATAAAATTCTACTGGTATGATACTAGCATGATACTGGTTGGTGGTATACCTACCCCTCTGAAAAATATGAGTTCGTCAGTTGGGATGATGAATTATTCCCAACGGAATGGAAAGTCATAAAATTCCATGGTTCCAAACCTCCAAACCGGATAGATCATCATGATTATTCCATTATTCACCATATCATCACCATGTTATCACCATATATCCCCTATTAGTAACCATATCATTCCCTATTAGTAACACATTCAGTGGAATGATCCAAAAAAAAAGCCCCCAGTCATGTGGGATCGGCCTTGCGACACCAACTGAGCCATGAAAAATAACCTTATTCCAGCTATAATATATATATATGTATATATATATATATATATATCTGGGCAAATAATAATAATTCACGAACCTGAAATGTCGGGCCATTTTTGGATGATTTCCTTATAAAAACCATGATTCCAGTGAGGGAGAACAGTGAGGTCGTGATAATTTACCCACATATATATATATATATACATACATATATATGTATATATACTGGTTGGTTACTACATATTCCGAATGTGGGTGGAACCAATCTCCATTTCAATTAGGGAGTATAACCCCAAAAACAACCCATCAGAGGCATTTATGGCATGACTCACCACTAGACACCATATAATACAGTAGTTGCTTAATATTTTAAATTATAATCCTATATTATGAACTATTGTAAAATGCAATAAATCAATTATTGTTACATGTGTTTCATAATAATTCTATTAATGTTTCCTGTGATCCAAATTATACACCACGATTTTCATGGCCAATCAGCCAGACACCCTGCAAAAAATTAAACTCTTGGCTGGTGAACGTAGATACCCTCTGGTAAACTAATATGACTATGGAAAATCACCATTTTTAATGGGTAAATCAACTATATATCAACTATAAATGGCCGTGTTCAATAGCTATGCTAGTTTACCAGAGGGTAATTCCATTGATACCCTGCAAGACTAAAGGATTAAACACTCCATCCAAGATTGACCTAGCTTAATAATAAGTGATATCTATGGTCACTATGGTTTCCCTATAACTATAGTCACGAATAATAGTCACTAATAACTATAGTATACTATGTCACTATATCTATACTAATGTCAACCCCGGATTAATAAACCCGTAAGCTGTTTAATTGGGAGGGTACCATTTGTGTACCATATTGTGACTATTGGGGGAATACCCCCCTAATTAATAAACCATGGTTTATTAATCCGGGGTTGACAATAATCAGGAATTGATATCTTAACTTATTCAATTCCATCAATTCCCACCTATGATTGGAATACTATAGTTTTATTGACTATCTTCACTATACTGGTTGGTGGTTGAGCCCTACCCCTCTGAAAAATGATGGAGTTCGTTAGTTGGGATGAGTATTCCCAACTGAATGGAAAGTCATAAAATTCCATGGTTCCAGTCACCACCAACCAGCTATACTTGGAATACTATGTGTTCACCACATGTTTCCAGCACCTCACCACTTCCGCCAGGCTTCCAGGTGCTCCCTTGATATCTGCGGCATGGCCTTTCGTAGCACCGCGGCCAGTTCCATGCGCGACAGCTTGCCGTTGCCGTCCTTGTCCCACATGCGGAAGGTGGCAGAGATGGCACCTTCCGAGCTTTGGAGCAAATCTATAAATGGGGGGAAAAGAACAACTCATCATTGCTCTCCAGGAGATGGTGGTTTAATGGGATTTAATGGGATTTAATTGGATTTAATGGGATTTGATGGGATTTATATAATGGGATTTAATGGTGGTTCCATGACATGGACAACCCAAAAAATGGTTGGGATTTCATGGTGATTAGTTGGGATGTTGGTGGATATACTCTCTGGTAAACTAATATAGCTATGGAAAATCACCATCTTTAGGTAGGTCAACTATAAATGGGCAATTTTCTATAGCTATGTTAAATTACCAGAGGGTAAATGGGGAGACCATGGGTTAACCAACCAGCAAAATGGAACATCTAATGATCAATGGGTCTGTAATAGGTTGGAAATAACTTTATATACCAAATCATTCCGAACAAAACATGTCTTCGAACAAAAGAGATAGTAGCTGATTGTAACATTCTAACGGATATGAGTATATACATATATATATATATTCTCCCCCGTTCAGCCCTCAAGCACCCTCCCAGAAACCATGGTTCTTAGTAATGCTTCGGACCATAGAACGGGGGTGTCTTTTTTGAGGAGGATGGGATTAGACCAACTAGCGTCATCAAACATGGGATTGTGAGCAATAAGAACACGGTGCTTGTACTTGGAGGATCCTCTCACTTAGTATCCACTTAGTAAGTGGTTAGTAACGGCGTTCTACCCACTTATGCTTGGGATAAACCTCAGTTACTGGACTTACTAACCCGGGTTATTAACCACCTACGATTCGTGGAATGATCCTCCAAGTATATAGTGGTTGAATGGATGTGAAAAGAGCAACAAGCTGGGGCCCCGGTTCGTCAACCCCAAGTGGTTCTATACACACAACTCCAATAGCTCAGGTTTTCCAAAAGAGATACCCTCTGGTAAACTAACATAGCTATTGAGAATGGCCATTCATAGTGGATTTACCCATTAAAAGTTGTCATTTTCCATAGTTATGTAACAGTCTGCCAGAGGGTAAACCTATAGAATCCCAAAGATCTAACCCCACCAGGCTGACCCCCTAAAATGATAGATGCTCGTGATTCAGCCTGAGAAATTGGGGGGATTCTGCGTGGCTTTAAGTTTAAATATATTGTAGAATTATTCGATATTGATACAGCTAGAAAATTAGATAAATGATGATATATTTACATTCTCTTCATGAGTGTGTTACTCCTCAATATGTATATACACATATCATATCATGACTGAATCAATCTATGAAATCCAAATGTGGAGCCATTTCCAGTGGGAGACTTTGATGGCACCAACAGTGACTTAGGCACTGGTCAAAAGTGGGGTCCCTGGAATTTGAGGATGTGTTCATACCGAAAGGACTCCGGTTTTGCCAAATAAACCCAAACGTACGGAGCCCTGGGTCCCTTTTTTTTTTTTCGGAACACATGCCTCCTGCCAACGCCATTTCAATTGAAACTATTCATTCGTTACCATTCCAACAGGACCAGTACAGCGAAGTCCCCCTACAACAGATAGCCGTACCAGCCACTGCTGTTTGCACCTGCAGGCGCGGAGGATTTATCCAGCAGTTTTGACGCCAAATAACTCTGCGCATCTTCCATCATCCAGTTGTAAAACTCGTCGAAATTCACCTGCCGGGCAATTTTTATTCAAACAAATATGGAGACACTCTGAGACCCAGCACTGTTGCTTGTAAACTATTTAGTCTCTCCAGTTTGATATGGATTTGCCTGAAAAAAGGGTACCCCTCAAATCTCATGTGGGTGCATCCCACTTAGTAAATGGGTTAAAACATGTTATAACCCCAGTTAGATTAAGGGAATATCCCACTATTCCCCACTTATATATGGGACAAATGCATAGGTGATATGTGGACAAACAAAATCCGATGCGTGGGATGCACATCCCTCATGACATCTTGGGGCATCACGTGGACATTCTCTTGATTGTCTGACCAGCTTTATGTACCCTCTGGTTATGACCACCATAGCCATGGAAAATCACCATGCTATTAATAGGTAAACCATCTATAAATGGGCCATGTTCCATGGCTATGTTAAATAACCAGAGCGTAATTTAACATGGAACCAATGGAAACCAGCACAAATACATGAAGATAATCTTCCAAATCTGATTTGTTAACATCATTTAATGTGGGGGTTTCCATGGTGTATCCCAAAAAATAGATGGTTAATTGAAAAATCCCATCTAAAATATTCTAAAATGGATGATTTTGGGGTACCCCCATGACTTAGGACACCACCATTTCTTGAGGTCACAAATTCCATACATGGGGTGTACTTCTCTCCCATTGTCCAGCTGGTTGGTGGTTTCCTTACTGGTGCTAAACGCAGGGAATGGATGGGTTGCTGGGGGTTGCTGGGATGATTATTGATATATAGTTATTGTTGATCATTCCCGAAAATTCCCTACTAAGCACCAGTAAGTTTCAACCCCTCTGAAAAATATGAGTTCGTCAGTTGGGATGATTATTCCCAATATATGGAAAACTAAAATTCATGTTCCAAACCACCAATCAGCCAGCATGTTTCGATTCTTTTTCGGGCCTTCCCATCTAGGTCTTTGTCCATGGATTTGTGCATGGTCTCAAGCTCCTTGTCGGTCATGTCGGGGTTCAAACGTCGCCTGTTGAGGAGCCACCCATGGAGGCGCTTTTTCCCACTTTTTCAGGGTGAAGATCCGTCGGGACATGGGGAGACGGACCCTGGGATTTTCTGCATGAAACTGGGATTATCATCAACAAGTTGATATTTGGATCTGAAAATGGAGGATACCGCAAAATTGATCAAAATTGCCAGTCTCTTTCTCGAAGAATGATGCTAAGAATGATGCTTAACCATCACTTTTTGGGGATATCTTCAGACAAAACCAGCCGCAACATTTTTGTGCGATAACGATCTAATCCATGGACATCCAGTTGCCGATCAGTCAAAATTACCGCTTTGAGGTCGGCGACATGAAAAGCCGTTTGCATTGCTTCCCACTGGTTTGGAGGGATACCATCTGGTTATGACTAACATAGCCATGGAAGCCATGGCCCATAGAAATAGATGGTTTACCTATTAATAGCATGGTGATTTTCCATGGCGAACTGGTAGTCATAACCAGATGGTAAACCAAGAAAAAATCTACAGTGAATCTTGGGGTTTCCCCATGGGAAACCATCAGATATGTTTGGGCGCGTCGTGACTCTTATCTGTGCTTATTTCATGCTGAAACCAATTCTCCAAGAAACTACAAGCACAGAGACCCTACCATCTGGTTATTTAACATAGCCATGGAAAATCACCATTCTTAGTAGGTAAGCCATCTATAAATGGGCCATTTTCCATGGCTATGTAGCAAATAACCAGAGGGTAAATAATCTGTGTAAATGGGCCGTCACTTCAAACATCTGACAGGTTTAGTCAGGTTTTATGACGACCTAGTCCAAGGGGAAACTTGGGCAGCCCTTCGAGAAGGGCAACCGCAAAACAATGCAACAATTAAGTTTCAATGGAGTGATTTTTTTGGGAACATCTATTGCAATTGTTGATGTTCCCTTAAATGGTTGATGATTTAGGGAACAACCATTGATGTAAGGGATTGTTTTTTTTGTTCAAATCAAACTTTATGAGCTTTATACCGTTGCAAGCAATCCCTTCAACCCGGGATTGTGTTGGCCATCGATCCACATCAGCCGCAATGTTTGCCGGAGCGACATCATCAATGCGAGCTCCGGTTTGCAAATGACACCAGAGCCATCTTTGTCTGCAGCTGTAAAGTTGTGCTGGATCAGAAGTGTCCGAATCCTCGGTCTGCGACTCGCGAAAAACTGAGAGGACTGGTGGGCCACAAAAAAAAAGACATCGCTGCTGGCAGGGTGCAAATAACATCAAGGTGAATTTTAAAAAATGGTTCACCAACTTATGTAGATATCTTATGATTTATGTAGGTATCTCACTATGTATATATATATATATCAAATATATAACATATGTGTTTTCGTCGTGGTAGATATCTATACCAGTAGTCACCTATAATTATATAGTATACCATAGGATAAACCAGAGAATGGAAGATATATGTTGATACCCACCTGCCGTAGACCGCTATGGGATTCCTCAATGTTCATGGCCGAACCACATTCGGGTTGGTGGTTCAACCCCTATGAAAAATATTAGTCAGTTGGTGGTATACCTACTTCTGGTTGGTGGTATACCTACCCCTCTGAAACATATGAAAGTCAGTTGGGCTTATTATTCCCAATATATGAAAAAATATATAATGTTCCAAACCACCAACCAGTATATGTTAAACAATTATAAACCCATGGATAAACCGTTCTAAATCACATTTTCGTGGATAAACCATTATAAATCCATGCGATATTTCCTGGTTAAAAAATGATCACATGGTTAAACCACCGTCTTGGCTGCATTCCTGTCCCTCCTCCCATGTCGCCAAGCTTCTCCTCTGCGTTTTTTCGCACCTTTGGAGGTGGCAGCCACTGTACCTGCCCCGTTTCTCTGTTGGCGTAGTAGGTTCGTCCGTGCCTATCCTTGGAGCGCAAAGGTGCGCAGCGGAGAAAATCCGAATCCTCGGAAGATGATCTATGGTGAATTGATGTTGTCTGTATTGGTTTTAGAGTTCCCTTGGGGGTTTGCCACATTTGCCGCATGTTTTCTTGCTCAGATAAATAGCTCGAACAATGAGGCAAAGACAGAGTTGCTACAGTCATCGCTGAATTTCCCCTAAACGGGCGTTGGTCATATCCACATGATGTTCCTCATGTTACTCGATTGGGTTATACTATGTTATACTTGTATTCCCTATGCAACTAAAACAAACGAATCGGTGGCATGCTCATATTTTCAGCGTGCCCAGGCCAATTAGCTTGCCCATGGCAACAAAATACCCATCCCCAGCTCCACTTTCCGCAAGAAAATTACAAAGCCAGAGATTTCGGGCTTACCCTGGCCGTAGACTACACTAACAGTTCGACGTGGAAGAACCACCATGAATGTAGATCATAATTTGCTATAGGTTTTCCACATCTCTGTACATCCTAGGGTTATATCGTAGTCGTAGGGTTTGCACATTTTCCTAGACTACCCTCTGGTAAACAAACATAAACTATGGAAAATAACCATTTTATAGATGGGTAAATCAATTATTTAACTATGGCCATGTTCACTCTCCTACCGGTAATTTGTTACATAGCTAGTGAAGATGGTCCCCCAAAAAAATCAGATGGTGAACAAGCATAGCTATTGAACATGACCATATCTTCTGTGAGAACCAGCGCGCTATCTAGTAGGCTACTATTTGGGGTTGTCACAAATAAAAACAAATAAAACCAAATAAAAAATAATAACACCAAAAATTAAAGAAAAAAACAAAATAAAACAAAATAAACAAATATATATATATATATAAACAATGATAAAATTTTAACAATATAAACAAAACAAATAACAATTAAACATACAAAAACAAATAAAAAAAACTTTTAAACAGTGCATTTCAAACCTCATGATATTGATAAATGTGCTTATAATTAACACATAAGGTAATGGTTTTGATGCTTCACCTGTATAAATACCTTAGACCTTGGATGTTGGTCTGGGCTGCTGCTGTGGGATGCTGGTGTGTGATGGAATGCTACTCACCAGTAGATAATTTGCATGATTCCCCAAAACCTGCAGATGAAGGACCCCAGGCACAGCCATCCCTTGATGGCATTGGCTCACCAGTAGATAATTTGCCTGATCCCCCAAAACCTGCAGATGAATCCAAGGCACAGCCATCCCTTGATGGCATTGGCTCACCAGTAGATAATTTGTCAGCTCCTGCAACACCTGCAGATGGACCCCAGGAACAGCCACCCCTTAATGGCATAGTCCCACCAGTAGAAAATTTGCCAGCTTCCCCAAAACTTGCAGATGAATCCCAGGCACAGCCATCCCTTGATGGCATTGATTCATTAGCACATAATTTGCCAGCTTCTGCAAAACTTGCAGATGAATCCCAGGCACAGCCACCCCTTAATGGCATAGTCCCACCAGTAGAAAATTTGCCAGCTTCCCCAAAACTTGCAGATGAATCCCAGGCACAGCCACCCCTTGATGGCATTGACTCACCAGTAGATAATTTGCCAGCTCCTGCAACACCTGCAGATGCATCCCAGGCACAGCCACCCCTTAATGGCATAGTCCCACCAGTAAATAATTTGCCTGATTCCTTAAAACTTGCAGATGAATCCCAGGCACAGCCATCCCTTGATGGCATTGACTCACCAGTAGATAATTTGCCAGCTCCTGCAACACCTGCAGATGCATCCCAGGCACAGCCACCCCTTAATGGCACAGCCCCACCAGTAAATAATTTGCCTGATTCCCCAAAACCTGCAGGTGAATCCCAGGCACAGCCACCCCAGTAGCAGATAATTTGCCAGCTTCTGCAAAACTTGCAGATGAATCCCAGGCACAGCCATCCCTTGATAGCCAGAGCCAGGATGAGTGAACTTGATGGGCTTGAGGCAAGTGCACCAGCAACACCTGTTGCAGGTGCTCCTGGGGGTTTCCTTGCACTACCAGCACCTCCAAGAATCCATGCAGAGGGTGCACAGGCAGGCCAAGCCTTTGAACTTCAAACACTTACCAGTTCACCTGGTGGGGAACTCAGTGCATTTGTAGATCACTAGGCCCCAAGCAGCACCTGCAACCCCAATGCCTGATGGTAAAGTTAGTGAACCTTTGGATGAAGCACCTGCAGAACCAGCCATTGATCCAGCTAGTGGGTCAGCAGCACTTAGTTCCCTTGCTTGGGGTAATACAGCCATTAGTGAGCAAGCAGAACCTGCAAGTTCTTCAGCTTTGGGTAACCCACCTGCAGAGCCACCCATGGTTTCTGCTAGTGAGCAAGCAGAACCTTAAGCACTTGTTGCTGCAGACCAGCCACCAGAACCTGTTGCTCCAGCCCCCATGGATGTTGAACCTGCTAGGCCTGCACAACCAGCAGGTGTCAGGAGGGGCAGGGGCCCTACAGTCAACACTTCACCTGGCATATTGCATCAGCTGTCACCACCTGGATGTACAATCAGACTGAACTGTACCTTGTCCAGGATTGATTGATTGGTGATGTTTTTGTTTTTTGTTCAGCCATTGGTTGATGGGCATTCCACCATCTTGGGTTGCAACCTCCAATGGAATGTTACTTTAAGGGTCATGTATGTCAGCTTTGAACCCTTTGCTTGGGCAATCCAAACATATAACTTCTGATGATTTGATTATGGGCTTTATTGGGATTCATATTATTGTTAATTAACCCCTGCAACCCTGAACCTTCAACCCTCAAAACGTAAACTTAATTGTTACCCCATTGAATCCCTGAACCCTTAAGCCCTCAACCCTTAAACCCTTACACACATCTAAGCCTATACTATGATGTGGTTATAACAATATGTTTGATCACTTGTATTATGAATTTTGGATGAAACCTTGAATTGAACAATCCATATTATGGTTATAAGTTATAACCTAAGGGGTTGGTGTGATCAAAGATGAGAGGCTACATGTACATTCAGGTATAGTTTGTTTTATCCATGCTTTCATATCCATTGCCTCATCTGAAGTGATGCCCCTCGATGGATTGCAACCTTTGACAAGACCTTGTACCTATCCTCCTTCAGCAGGGTCTTCAAGAAAGAGTCTGAGGAAAATTGGACCAGCAAACTGAAGCTGGTTCACAGCCATGCTTGGGAGACTTGGGCCAGGCAGTATGCACATAAGAGGGGATACAGCCTGTCAAGCAAACCCCTGGGGAAGTGTCTGGTGATGTCATTAGACAGCTTGCTGCTGAAGTTTCTCAATTGCCTCCACCCGCAAAGTATCCCAGAAAATAGATGTGCAGTGTAGCAACAGCAAGTTCAGCAAGACAGACAGCATGGCTGAAAGTGGAAAAAGAAATTGGGTGTCTGAGAGCAGGGTTGCCAGGTGAAGCATCACATTGATTTTTGGGATCTGAGTCTGACTTATGTGCATGGTGTGCTAATTAATCTGCATGATATGTGGTCATACTGGTCACTTAAATGATTTGTTCTTTTTATTATTTTTTTTATTGTTTTTTATTTTTATTTTTTTATATATATTCTGATATCTTTTTTTAATGTGTCTTTATTTGTTTATATTTTTTTAAAAAAATAAATAAGTTTATATTTTTTTAAAATAAATAATAGTTTATTTTCTATTGTTTTTTAATGTTTTGTTTTTGTTTCATTTTTTTAATTTTCTGGATCAAACCAGTTGCCCAGATAGTCACCTCTCAGATAGTAACCTCATCCTCTCAAATGACCATAGAAATAGTTGATTTACTTACCCATTAAAAATCATTAAACATGCTGATTTTCCATCGTTTTTTCTATGTTTGCCATATGTTTACCTTAGACTGTCCTATAGGTTTTTGGGTCCACAGCCAGGCATCTTTATGAGCCTCCCATCCCTCTGGTAGCTCTCGAGGCTCGAGACCCGCCATGGCGCAGCACTGAGCCGAAAAAAGGCGTCAGTACGGAGGGGATCGACATGGACATATATGGAACACGCCTGTTTTACCCAGAAGTGACTAAACCGCAATGAAACTTTGGGCAAACATGCACCCATATATATATTACACTGTAGAGAGTATATAGGTAGCTGTTATAACTATATGAAAACCTTGATCCAGATCCAGACATGACTATAACAATATCTATTGTCATATATCATATAGCGTTCTGGCACTCTATCATATAAATATAATTATACAATATATGTATGTATATGTATGTATATATATATATATTGAATGTGCATGTTCTATATACCACTTGGCCGCTTCGTGGTTTCAAGATGTTTCAAGCCACCAAAAATAAAACACACACACAGTAGTGACAGTAGTGTTTTTTTCTCGCACAGGAAGATCATTGGATAAATTCCATGGGTTTCAATTACCCTCCAGTAAATTAACATAGACCCTGCCAAATAGGGGTTGGAAGACTAGTTTCCACTATAAATTGGTGATTTTCAGGGTCTGTGTTAATTTACCAGAGGGTACTTCAAGGTGTTTCCGGCAACCCCCTTGGGTGATTGTTTCCCACCAAAATCATCCCAACTAGGGCCATGATTTTGCGATCTGGTTGCTTCAGGCAAGATGACGCAATTCTGGCGTGCAAAATATATACAATGTGGGGCCCCCAAGATAGCTAAGTCGGTTTATAACTACGTACAATAACTAGGGTTTATGGTAGTTATAACCATAGTTAGATGGGATTAAAAACCAACTTATAACTAGGGGGACCCACATTGTACTACCCATATCCAGTTCTTGATACTGGTTGCTGAATATCCCTAAAGGGGTAAGTTCACAATCCCCAAGAATAACTGGTCAACAATAGTTTCGGTCGCTGGTAATCCAACAAAACCTACCTTTCATGGCTTAAATCCCTCTTTCTGTGAGTGAAATTCATATGAAGGTTTCCTAAACCGGGGGGTGCCCGTTTTAATCATCCAATTCATGGATGACCAAGACTAGTAATTATTAAAACAACCATGGTGACTTGTGGATTCCCATGACTTAAGAAACCTCCATTTATTGGAGCTATCCCCATAAATATGTCTTATAGTTATAGCCTTGGAGACTTTTGGGGTATGTTGACTAATGGTTATATTTGCTGTAGCCAATTAAAATATATTTAATGTAATTCTAATGTTTAAATCAAAATAATCGATTTACTAACTGTTAAAAGGTTGTCAATTTTATCCCTTAACCATATTTAGATTATGTCTACGTCTCTTTATATGCTGGTGATGATTTACTGATGTTAGATAAGTTCGGTGGTCAATGTTATCCCTTAACCATTTTTAGATGATGTCTATGTCTCTTTATATGCTGGTTATGATTTACTAATCTGGTTGGCGGTTTCAACCCCTTTGAAAAAATATTAATCAGTTGGGATTATTATTCCCAATATATGCAAAAAACAATGTTCCAAACCACCAACCAGATAAACTATCCCAATAGAGGTTTATGACTGGGTACATTCCTACTTGGGATGATGTAAAATAACCCACAATAACCAGACAGATAAGTTCGGTGGTCAATTTGATCCCCACATTTGAGTTCTGGCTCTCTGAAAGGCGCCACAACGACCGTTGTAAAACCGCGCCTGGAAAGGATCGGCCTCCTGTGAGGTGTATTGAACAGCCCGTTATGGTTATATATATATATTTACGTATATATATATAATAATATATATATAGAGGTTTCCTAAAATGGGGATCCCGAAAAAACGAAAATGGCCCACTTATTGTTTATAGATGATTTATGATGATTTACTGGTTGGTGGTATACCTACCCCTCTGAAAAATATGAGTTCTTCAGTTGGAATGATTATTCCCAATATATGGAAAAATAAAATTCATGTTCCAAACCACCAACCAAATATATATATATATATAAATATATGTCAGTGTATTGTAGTGGTTATGTGATGACTAATTTATCATTAAATTCATGAAATAAACAATTATTCTAGATGCATTAAACATAGATACTTCTGAATTAACAAAAAAACAACATATGTGAGTTTCATAAAATACATCGTTAAATACAGAGGTAACACATTTTTAGTCCCATTGAGTGGTTTTCCCTTTATGGGCTTATGACCCACAAAAATAAAAATGGAGGACCCTTCTAGCCAAGGGCCTTGCCACTTACGATCCGCGGGATGATTCCGGGATGATCCCCCCAAGTAGACATTTCCCACAATGGGGTATGATAATCCTCAAGAAACCAAATAGAAACCTTATGGGATATTAATGGGAATTTAATGGGAATTTAATGGGAATTTAATGGGAATTTAATGGGAATTTAATGGGTGGTTGGTGGTTGACCTACCCCTCTGAAAAATGATGGAGTTCGTCAGCTGGGATGATAAAATTCCCAACTGAATGGAAAAATCAAATTCATGTTGGCTTGTCTCAATCACCAAAATGTCATCCCTTTATACAGGTTAGTTTAAGAACGGAAATTCCAGTTCATGGATGACGATCATGCAGGTGCAACAAGCCACCCTAAAAAAGAGATGATCTGTCCAACATCAACCAACATGACAGGAGTTTTCAACACTGTCTTTCCTGACTGAACCAGTTGACATGACCAACAAACTTGGGTGTGTGCAAAGATGAGTGGGATATGTTTGGAATTTTCTTGGGTATGTATGTGTCAAAACTCTGACACCTTTCTGTTCACATCAAAATGGTTGGGTTTTACGCATAATTCATCCCCGAAAAAATGGGACGAAAGGTTTCAAAACCTAGCCCCCCGTGCTGAAGTTTCATAATCTATTAATAATTATCAATGGACGTTGGTAGCATGCAAAAGACAGATTCTTCACCCGCACTTACCATACGTACCACTTCTGGTTGGTGGTATACCTACCCCTCTGAGAACTATGAAAGGCTTATTATTCCCAATATATGGAAAATAAAATGTTCCAAACCGCCAACCAGACTTGTTTTTTCTTCTCTGCGTCCAAGTAGCGACTGATGGCACGTTCCACTTGCGTCTCTTCCTCCTCCTATGGCGCTGGCTCTGGGATAATCAACTGTCTGGGTTGCGGCAAAGCACAACGACCTGCTTGCCCTTACCTATCTGCCAGTCTGTTCATGTGGTAATGTTGTTGAATACTCAGAACTCGTCTTGTGTGCGCCTCGTTCAAAACGCGACATATCATTCTGTGGAATAATTGCTAATTGGTTGGGTGAGAAAGGATTATATAATCCCAACTCATGGATTGTGATCATTCCCATCAATATATAAAGGGTAGTAGATTTGAGAAGTAAAACCCCGTCCAAGCATCAATGATTTGTGTACAAACTACAAACACGTTTAAACCAAAGATTTCCAATATCTGGTCAATTACCACAGAGTAAACACATGTAACTATATGTAAACATATGTTTATTCACAATCTTGAAGCCATCACCCTTTCTTCCACCCTATACCTTGAAGCTCAGAGTACAGCCCATCTTCGGCTCGGTCCTCTTGCCCTTCACTGGCATCCAAACGATTCATGAGATCCGAAGCGTCCTGCTGGGATCATGGTTTTCTCCTTGATTCACATGGCTGTGTCCCCATAATGGTGTATCCTTTATCCCATTGTATGCCCTCTGGTAATTTAACAGTTTGCTATTGAAAATGGCCATGGAAATAGTGGATTTTCCAATTAAAAATGGTGATTTTCCATAGTTATGTACCAGAGGGTACCCCTCAAAATGGCAATCTTAATATGGAAACTCAGGATTGGTTCAATGTTGGATCTCTTCACTTTGGCGTCCCATTAAAAATTGCAGAAGATTCCCCCAAAAGTGACCCCATCACTTGTGATGGGACAAAGTGACCGCCATCTTCAGGAGTTCACATTGAAGGATTTGTTTGCTATAAATCCCCATTGTATCCCCACAAAAAAACACCATTTTGGATGGTTCAAAACCCATGTTTCATAGTTAAACAACCATAAATCATCCATTTATGACCCAAAAAACAGCCAGAAATCCATGGAAATCCAGCAATTTCCCCACTTCAAGGGCTTTCCTAGTGGCTTCCATCATCAACCGTGCAACACGAAACAAAGCGCGTAGCATCGCGGTTCTGCCTTGTCCTCCGCCACACCTGGCGAATGGATGGTGATTCCATTTGCAGTCATATGATAGCAATAATATAGTAACAGGTTTTGACCCATCTCTGGTTGGTGGTTTCAACCCCTCTGAAAAGTATTAGTCAGCTAGGATTATTATTCCCAATATATGGAAAAACAAAAATTGTTCCAAACAACTTATATATATATGTATAGTATATAGTATGTATATGTATATATACATTACCCATATGATACTATAAATGGTAATAACAATATAGTATTGTGAGATTTCCGAAACAAAATTTGATGATGACTGGGCAAAAAAAAGCTCCTTTGGATGAACCAGGCGGGTTAATGTACAAAATCGAACGTTTGAACTGCTACAAAATCAACCAACATCAAACAGTCATAAACATTCATGGATATTATATGATATTATCTGGGTCAATTATCATTAATATTATCATATTTCACGAACCTGAATTGTTGGGCCATAAAAGGGGATGATTTCCCGAATCCTAACCAGGAGTCCAGGGTTCGGGAGAACAGCAAGGTCGTGATCAAATTTACTCAGATAAAATGGAAAATCACCATTTTTCATGGCAAAATCCACTATAAATGGTGATTTTCCATAGCTATGTTAAATTACCAGAGGGTAAATCTTCCACGAAAACGAAAACTTGCAACTTTGCAAAATCGATCAAAATCGGTCCCATCTTAAGTTAACCAGCACAAGCCGTGCTGGAATTCTGGCTGGATCTGGCAAGCCGCAACCCTGGAGAATCTCGAGGAAAATCTACAGTAAGGTAGCATGGAAATAAGCAACTAAACGACATTAGTGGGGCACACAGCAGTTGGCAGAGCACCGTAAGAATGATGCGTCTTGTTGAAATGGCTCTGCCAAATAAGAATAGGGATGGGTGTCCATGAGGGTATGCATATTCCACCCATCCCCGAATTCATTTAAGCCCGCTTGGCGTTGTTCTATCCAGACAGAACATATGTTTCCGTAACCGTTTGGGGTCATCATTCCATTTCTTGGGATGGAACAAACTACTCAATGATTTGGCAAAAAAACACTGGCTGAATTTCAATACTTCACTACCCTGAAAATAAGTTAAATTTGCGGCCATTTGGGGATGATTTCCCTGATCCTAATTATTCTTCTAGTGACGTCACGACGTGAGGCCATGATCAAACTCATCCTGCTACCCATAAATTACCCACTTTCCAATTTCCATTAACTCCCATTGGATAGTGATATTTTTCATGATATCTCTGCCATAAACCCCCTTGAACGGCTCAAGTTCATCCAGATACCATCGCTTTGCATCTGCAATTCCATTGATTGCCCCGTTGGAGGGACCTCTGAGACCACCGAAGGTGGTCAGGCTAACATACCCCCATCGCAATGTAAAACAAGTTGTCTTAACTATTCTTACACTTGATCTAATCCATCCATTGTCAATATCTTCCGCATCAAACACAGATATATTTCACAAAGAGGTATACTGTATACATGAATAAAATTGAATAAGCAATAAAGTATTGTTAACATGTTTTACCCTCCGGTAATCACACATTGCAATTGAAAGTCCCCCATTTAGTTAGATGATTTTCCCAGCTGAGAAACCTCCATGGCTAGTTCCGGTATTTTCCAGCCAGGCACGTTTGATTACCAAAAGGATAGTTTCATTCATCATAACTAGATCACCATTCATCCACCATTTGCCATGATTTTCATCTGTATACCGGTGTCATCAAACATGGCGTGCTGGAAAATACACCATCACTTCACTGTTCGGTGATTTTCCGAAAGCCCCATTTCCTTCGTGGATCTCCAGCCACATGGATCCCCAACTTCCATCCCTCCAGGCCGGGCCTCTGGATCTGGTTCCATCGCCCTCCGGCGGGCGTTTTTGGCCTTTGGATCCTTTGGCCATCCAGCTTTCCGACGGCTGGCCTTGGATTTCCGACGATTTCACCACGATTTCATCGTGGTAAATCGTGCTTATTACTGTGTGGTTAATATGTGGTTCATATGTGGTTAATAATGGTTAACCACGGCTGGTAATGGTTGATAGTGGTGAATAATAATGGTTACCCATATGGTTAATATGTGGTTAATATAATGGTTACCGACCAGCCCAAAAAGCGCTGCTGGCGAAGCGTTGTAAAGAATGGAGGGCTTAGCCACCAGCCAGGATGCTTATCGAAGCCCTCGCTGCCTATGGATCAAAACCCTATCAGGTACCCTCTGGAAATCAATAACATAGCCATGGAAAATGACAATTTTTTATAGGTAAACCATCTATAAATGGGACATTTTACATGGCTATGTAGCAAATAACCAGAGGGTACCCTGGTATTTCTAGTTGGACGTTCATCCCCATGTTCGGTGGCTAACCTTTGCTGGTCAAACCCATCACGTTGCTGATGGCTGCGTCCCCTTTTTTGGTGGTTAAGTTAAATATGTTAAATGATGTTAAATGAACCAATCTGTGGTTACAGCTACTGATCTGGTTGGTAGTGAAACTACCCATGCCAAGCATATCATGTACTCAATTGGGATCATCATCCCGAACCATGTATATATAAATATATATTATATATATACATTAAAAAACAAACGTGGGAATTTCAGGATCCTAAAATGAAGGTACTGGAACAGAAGGTAATATATGTGTTTCTTACATAGGCCTTACATAGGCCTTTTATATGGTAGGTACCTTCAATACATCGGTCCGTGAAATGGCCATTGCGTAAATCCCATATTTCTGTTTGAGATTTAAATGGTTAATATCCAGATATATCCCCATCCTGTTGGTCCCTAAAATCCCCCTTGAGGTCGATCAACCAGCCATCAGAACAAAAAAACAAAAGCACTGGCTATACGCAGGGATTTTGACTCTATGCTTCCAGGAATTAGGGTTTTAGATGGTTTTGAGTTTTAGATTTAGGTTTTTAAGGATGGACTTCCCCACCTGCCAGGTGAGGGTCTCTAGATTTTATCAGGGTTGCTTCCGCCTCCTTCTTCTCCTTCTCCTTCTTCTCCTCTGCGAGCGCCAGATCTCACTGGGCACTGCCGGACCCCAACTGCGAGAGCCAAATGTCAGTGGGCACTGCGGGATTTGTTGCCAGTGCAAGATGTCACATAAAATATCAGCTAGAATGTCAGATAGAATGTCAGACAGCATGTCAGATAGAATGTCAGAAGAGATGGCAAATAGAATGTCAGATAGAATGACTGATGGAATGTCAGAATATATGCCAGAAAGAATGCCCGATAGAATGTGAGATTATATGTCAGACAGAATGCCAGATATAATGTCAGAATATATGTCAGATAGAATCTCAGTTGGTGGGGATCGCTCGAAGACAGTAATTTGTTGTTTTGGAACATAACAGTTGGCCCCGATTCGGGTTCTGAGACCGTCAATTCGGATATTTCGGATCCACGGGCAAACGTCTGGTTTTTTCAGCCAGAATCTCAGATCATGAAATGTCATGAAACACACAGAATTTCAGAACCTGACAACATGGTTTCAGATAATGAAACACACAAAATTTCAGATAATGTCAACCCTGGATTAATAAACCCCAAACGATTGTAGAAAATTGGGAGGCTACCATAAAAAAGTATCATATGACATGACTATTGGATGAGTACCCCCCTAATTTTCATAAACCATGGTTTAGCAAAATCCGGGGTTGACATTAATGAAGCCCTGTCAGCCAAAATCCCACCAGCACCAGCGGTCACCAGCCGTTGTTAAACAGTTGCAACTCAAACGTTTCTGGGTGAATTATCATATATACAGTCATAAACATTCATGGATATGATCTGGGTCAATGATCATTAATATGATCATTAATATGATCATTAATATGATCATTAATATGATCATATTTCACTCACCTGAATTCTTGGGCCATAAAAGGAGATGATTTCCCTAAAAAAAAAAAACGTGACAAACCGGTGGGCTTCGGGAGAACGACGGCGAAGCCGTCGTGATGAAATTTGCCCAGAAACATGGCTGGCTGAAACCTCCATTTGGCGTGCTTGGGGGGTTTCCCAGCTAGTCATGGTTGAGTGCCGGAGGATATCCAATCTTGAATTCATCCATGTTGGCACTATGTTGGATATCCCAATGTTTGTTTTATCCATGTTAACAATATTGAATCCCAATGTTGGTTTTATATACCCAGTAAACTATAGTAAACTAACAGTTCGCCATGGTTAAAATTGCCATGTTAATAGGTCAATAGAACTAACTGGGCCGTGTTTCCATAACAAACTGCTGGTTTTTGTCAGAGTGAATAGCCCAGCTTGGAAACATGTATGAATGGTGTTTTTTTGGATACTCGTCAAAAAACTGAATCTCAAGTTGGTTAGTACACAAATAAACATAGCAAAAGATTAATGATTAACATGATTAAAGTATATTAAAGTACCAGTTATAGTATCAAAAAAAGTATCTAACCAGATGGTTGACCCAGTCTCAATTGCTGGATCGTCCCCAGTTTTTCATCATCGATAACCTTGTCCCCGTTGGTCCCCCTGCTGTGCTTGATGTGCATCAAATACGACCTGGTCAGTGGTCGTCGTTCCACACGCATACATGGAATCATGACACCTCCCAAGATAAATGCAAGAAATCATGATTGATACTGTATTGATCATGATGACTAGTCTTACCCTCCAATAAAATTAACATAGACCCTGGCAATTGTCGGGGTAAATTAAGACTGGTTTCCACCAAAAATTGTTTATTTTCAGGGTCCTATGTTAATTTACCAGAGGGTAATTGGCGTTATAATTTTATTATTACTATATAACTTGATGATATACTACTACTGGTTGGTGGTATACCTACCACTCTGAAAAATATGGCAGTCAGTTGGGATTATTATGCCCAATATATGGAAAAATAAAAAATGTTCCAAACCACCAACCAGACTACTTTGATTGTGATGATCAGGATTTCTTTTAAGACCCAGCCCCTGGTGCCCCTGGTCGTTGCATGAATCCAAACCAAAAGCAGATAGCTGGAATATCATTGAACATCATTGAACCGCGTGTGGAAATGGGCGAAAAAAAGATGCGGTCCAATATCAAAACAAAACAACATATCAAAATATCAAAATATCAAAATATCATGGAATATTGTCACAACAAAACTACTGATGACCTTCCGGTCATCAAACATCACAAAAATGGGACAACTCCTAGGCGAAATCTCCAACGGATCTCTGGGGTTGACGTCTCCACAATTTGCCCCACAAACAGCCCCGGTTAAAATAGGGTTTCAATTTATTCATAGGGTCCGCTTCGAAATCCAATTTTTGGTAATATGTTAATTGCATTTAATTGCGATAATTTCAGGAAATTTCATTGACATGTCACAAGAAATATCCCAAAAACGATCTAAGCTCATGGATAAAACATGAGACACTCCAACAAGCCTGAAAATGCTTTGGTCATCTTAGTCATCTGCGGCCAGATCCGAGAAAATCGCAGCGAACATATTCAATCATTCCACGCGAGAAAAAGCTATTGAAAATTTGTGATTTATAGTGGATTTACCCATTGAAAATGGTGATGTTCCATAGTTATGTGGCAGTTTACCAGAGATTAATGTGGGTAAAACAATGCCATGTGCACCATCCCCCAGAAAAATCACCATTTTTATAGGTGGTATAAACATGTACAAAGCATTTCCAAATGGGTGGTTTATGGCATTGTTTTACCCACATTACTCAGTTTACTCCCAAACATGATGAACTCACTTTGTCGTTGGCCTGAAAAGACAAGGTATCTCTCAACGACACTCCAAGATGATGAAAAACGCCCGGTTGCAGCCAGATGCATTCCGAATATCTAAACGCTTATTACTGGTTGATGGTATACCTACCCCTCTGAAAAATCATGGAGTTTTTCTCAGTTGGGGTTATGTCATTCCCAACTGAATGGAAAGTCATAAAATTCCATGGTTCCAGTCACCACCAAACAGTCATTAACCACATTAACCATTATATAACCATTATATAACCATCATTAAACATCATTAACCATCATTAAACCACCAACCAGATTTAGTACTGATGTTTGGTGATATTTCTGGTTGAATCCCAACTTTCTTCGTGAACAAATCTGTGTGAACCTGGTGATCTAATAAGCGCTTAATTGCCAAATCTGATGTTGGAGGTACCCTCTGGTTATGTCAAAATAGCTATTGAAAATGGCCATTTATAGTGGATTTTCCCATTAAAAATGGTGATTTTCCATAGCTATGTTAGTTTACCAGAGGGTAAACTTCCCATGTTGCTGGTTCCAATCTATCATCTGCATGGCAAACAATAAAAAACCCGGTAAACTAACAGTTCGATGTGGAAAACCCACCATGTGTAGATCATTTTCCGAACTGGAAAATGAATTTTCCTCATCCTATGTTAGTTTAAGCTAGGATAAATTTTGTTAAATTAAAACCCATTTTTTTGTTATTTAGTATCTTGACCCATCTTAAACCCATGTTTAAACACATGTTTAAATCCTACCAGGTCCTACCAACCAATCGCCATGTTCAACAAGGGCGAAACCACGGCGGCGCAGTGCCGCGGCGAGCGGCCGAAAGTGGGCAAAGGAAATCACGCCGTCGCCACCAGAAACTTCCTCCATGACCTAAGGAAGGGATAGCCGATAGCCTTAGGAATAGGGAAAAAAACAGATAACATAGGTGATTTTACTACAGTAGTTTGATTGTGGCTATCTATAAAAATCAATGTTTTAATTGTGGTTATCTGTACAAACAATGAAACAACATCCATAGTATGAAACTTCCTCCAAATCATCGATGGCCTATTTTATTTTTTCTTGCAAATAGGTCATGAAAAAAACATGTGGAATCTGGATGAATATAGAAACACTATTAAATACTATAATCACTATATATATATATAAATATCTATATATATATACGTGTATATATATATATATGTGTGATGACTTGTTCTTTCAAAACCCTATTAAAATACCATGACCGGAGGGGACCGGAGCCGCAGACCTCGTCGACGGTTTGCCCATCCGGCAGCAGATCCGAGACCAACACAGCACCATCACCTGGCGAAGGATCATCCTACCGTGGCTGGAGAATTAGGATTTCCCATGGATTGTGATAATCCATATGATATTGATTGGGTTTGGTTACAGTAGTAGAATCCCAATTCTCACAATTGTGATAATAAACCATAAAACATGTGGGGGTTCCATAAATTGTGATCATGTGGTTAAAACAATGCCATAAACCATCCCCCAGTCATCACCATTTTGATGGGTGGTATAAACCATAAAAAATGGGGTGGTGTATTATTGTTTTAGCCACATTAATCCATATTATATTGATTAGCTTTGGTTCGTAGAATCCAAATTCTCCCAATTCTCAGCAAAAAAAATATCATTAGCAATCATATCCAACAATCACATATATGTCCTAATCATCATCTGGTTGGTGGTATACCTACCCCTCTGAAAATATGAGTAAAAGTCAGTTGGGATGATGACATTCCCAACTGAATGGAAAGTCATAATCCATTTATGTTCCGAAGCACCAAGCAGATATTTTCACATGAAAAATGGCAGAAGATTCCCCCAAAAGTACCCCCAAGTATTGGTTAGCTTTGGTTAGTAGAATCCCCTGCATCAATTGATTCGGGAGGATCATCTCTGTGGTGAGACTCAACATGGTTTTTTGGGATTCGTTCCCGATTCCGTTCAGAAAATCAGTGGATGATCCTCCGAGTGGGGACCCTACCCCTATTGGATTGGTTTAAGGGAAAATTTGCAGGAAACCATGGTTTTTACGATTAAATATAGGGGTTTCCTGTAAATTTTCAATTAAACCAATCCAATGAGAAACAGGCTGTTTTTTTGTGGATAAACTTGGAATGTGTTTAGTGAAAAGTACCCTCTGGTAAACAGCCACATAACTATTGGAACATCACCATTTTATAGCTGGGGTAATCAACTATTTCTATGGCCATGTTCAATAGCAAACTGTTAGTTTACCAGAGGGTATTGTGAACATGTTGATTTGTGGGGCTGCACCACCTAAAACAGTGAAGGTGGACAGATTGGATAGCAACAAAAGCAGATGATCCCTTGAGATCCTTCATCCAGAATGATCAGTATAATGTGTATATATCTGAAGTCACATTCTCGGGGAGTATATAATATCTCTATAGTATTAATTATATATATATGTACTTATGTAATTTATATATATTTAATAAATAATCAATATATAATTAACACAGTCAAAAGAACCACCTTTGTAAACAACAACTTCAAAAATGCTGCGTCCTATCTAGCCTGCAGCTGATGAAGGCCCCAGGGAGTGAGCAGCTGGAGAAGTGCTGGGGCATGAGCCACCAGCGCCAAAGCCGCGTTCAAAACAACCATACGCATCATGGAATAAAAAACACAACGGTAACAACCAACGAACACTTTGAAGCACGAACCACCACTTCACTGCTACAACTACAGAAACCGTCCTAGGTAACACTATATACATATATATACATGTGTGTGTATGTAAAAAATATATATATATATTATTGCTTCAAAGAAACTGAGTTGAAAAATACGACAAAAAGAAAAGCAAAGTCAGAGTTCCCCTGGACGGACCGACACCTGATTGTAAAATAATAAAATTCGATTCACGCCAACAGCCTCACTAATACGACCACGTCTCTGAGGGACCTTGCCGATGAAAGCACGTCTTCACACGAGGCAACACGCCTAACAGCACAGACAACACAACAACAAGACAACACTTTGAAGTAGAACAATCTGAGTTTGATTGAAATCTAAATAACATGCTCAATTGCATGGTAATGCATGTCACAAAATGAATTTGCCTACAATTCACAATAGGAATTACAAAAAACACAAAGCGAAAATCTGAGTGAACCAGAATTGCACGTAAAATTCGGTTGGACAATGGTAATATGATTTACAAAAGTAGCAACTCAAACCAACCTCTCTGAGGCCTCGAATATGCTGCCCTCCACATCACATGCACCTGCAGCAACAAGATTGAAACACAAGATAACGTCTGAAACAAAATTCATGCGAAATAACATTCTATGATAAACATCTTGCCAAAAAATGCGTCTTAAAACGCAAAACTCCACTAGGCAGACCCACGTTCAAGCAGCTGTAGCTCACGCAATCCAATGGCAGTCCCATCCTAAAAGAAACTCTTTGAACTATCGAAAACAATCATTAAAAATTAAGCTACCTTTCCCTCTAACATCCTGTAAATTGAACATAAAGTGCTTGCCATGCTTTGACACCACACTTGGTTCATGTTTTCGCCGCGCTCTTTCTCGGTCGATCAGCTTTGCGCCATCAGCTTTGCACCACCACCTTTGCTGTCCTTCTTCGACTCGGAGCCTGCAAGAGTGCTAAACTCAAAGGAGTCAACAGCTTATTTTGACACTGGGAATTCACAATTCTAAAGATAAAAATGCATTGGGAATACACCAGTGTTCTAACATGGATACGGGTCAAACATCATGATCTGCAAGGGAAACCAACCAGTCAATGAACATGCAAATTCAATGGGTGGCATTTGTGATGGAATGACCTCCAGTCAGTGAATCCATCAAATTAAAAATCCCGCACATGGGTCGAAACTGAAGATCCAGAAAATCATCAATTTCTATCATGTCTAGTCAAATCTAATGTCACAATGGATTAATAACCACTGTTTAAATTACTTCACTTCGAATGATCCCCACCATGGCATTTATACATTTTCTTACTGGCAAATCTTCTGGCATTCTATCTGACATATCTTCTGGCATTCTATCTGGCATTCTATCTGGCATATCATCTGGCATATGTTCTGGCATATCTTCTGGCATACCTTCTGGCATTCTATCTGGCAAATCTTCTGGCATTCTATCTGACATATCTTCTGGCATTCTATCTGGCATTCTATCTGGCATTCTATCTGGCATATCTTCTGGCATATCTTCTGGCATTCTATCTGGCAAATCTTCTGGCATTCTATCTGGCATATCTTCTGGCTTTCTATCTGACATATCTTCTGGCATTCTTCTGGCTTTCTATCTGGCATATCTTCTGGCATATATTCTGACATATCTTCTGGCATTCTATCTGGCATTCTATCTGGCATCTTCTGGCATTCTATCTGGCATATCTTCTGGCATATGTTCTTCTTCTGGCATCTCATTCTACCTGGCATTCTATCTGGCATATCTTCTGGCATTTTATCTGGCATATCTTCTGGCATTCTATCTGGCAAATCTTCTGGCATTCTATCTGGCATATCTTCTGGCATTCTATCTGGCATATCTTCTGGCATTCTATCTGACATATCTTCTGGCATTCTATCTGACATATCTTCTGGCATTCTATCTGGCATATCTTCTGGCATTCTATCTGACAATCTTCTGGCATTCCATCTGGCATATCTTCTGGCATTCTATCTGGCCGTTGAGGTCCGGCAGTGCCCACTGCGATGTGGAAGTCGCGGTTGAGGTCCGGCAGTGCCCACTGCGATCTGGAAGTCGCGGTTGAGGTCCGGCAGTGCCCACTGCGATCTGGAAGTCGCGGTTGAGGTCCGGCAGTGCCCACTGGGATCTGGAGCTCACGGTGGAGGTCCGGCAGTGCCCACTGGGATCTGGAGCTCGCGGTGGAGGTTCGGCAGTGCCCACTGGGATCTGGCGCTCGCGGTGGAGGTCCGGCTGTGCCCACTGGGATCTGGACTGCGAGGAGGAGGAGGAGGAGGACGAGGCGGAGATGGAGGAGGAGGCGGAGGAGGAGGAGAACAGCTCTGATAAAATCTAACAACCCTCACCTGGCAGGTGGGGAAAAACTACGAACAAAAGGAATCGATTAAGTATTTCAATTTGCTTGCGTTTGAATATGGTCTCCCGTAAAACCCTCTGCCCACTCCTGTCACAAGGATTTGTAGCAAATCTTCACGGATCTTGTGAGCAACGTGCAGCAACCTCAGTTAGATTAGGTTGAATTGAACTAGATTCGATTATATAGATAGAAAGAGAGCAAAATAGAGATAGAAAAGACAAAGAGTGAAAGAGAAAGAGAAAGAGAGAGAGAGAGAAAATAGAGATACAAAGATAGATAAATAGAGAGAGAGAGAGAGAAATTCAGAAATACAAAAAGAGAGATAGAGAGAAAAAGACATAGAGATAGAGAGATAAACGGATAGAAAGATAGACAAAGAAATATAGAAATAGAGAAACAGGGAAATAGATTAACAAAGAAATGATAAGACAGACAGAGAAGCACATAGAGAAATATATAGATCAACAGATTGATCGATCGATAAAACGAGATGTCATGAAGCCAAAGTCAAAACACTCTATTTGCAAGACCATGATGTCTGGTAAATCAAAGCCTTCTATTTGCAAGGCCAAGAGACTCGAAATGCCACTGGGTCAGCTTCACCGAACACCGCATCAAGTCCATGTTTCGAGATCGCGTGATTGACTCCACCTTGGACAGGTGCTTAGGCTTATTCATCGAGGTCTAAACATAGACGATTCATTATTAGTTCCCAGGATAAATATAGATTATCGTACCCAAAGGATGGATCATCATACCCAAACAAGTGGGTTATCATATTTATAGGACAGGTTATCAGACCCAAAATGGTATATAGGTTATCATACCCAAAAAGGCTGGTTATCATACCCAAAGGAGTGGCTTATCATACCTCAAGGCTTATAAGTTGATTGCCATATCGAAATTATGGCTTATCATACCCAAACGTTGGAATATCACACACATCATCATACCCAAAAGGCGGATTACCATACCGATTATTTCATTTCTAAAATTGCGCCCCGCCCATCTCATCAGCCCACGCCACTGCAAACAGTAAACGGCCGCGCCGGATGTCTCCTTGAAGAGGAGCATCCTGATCAACGCCGCAACCACGGCAGCGTTCTCCGTGCCTTTGGAGTCGTGGACGAGGAACGGACCCGGATGCATGGCAATGAAGGACACGAGCTGCCGGAACCTTAGATCAGTCATCAAGCAAACATTAAGATGAATTGGCATATTTCACCAAAACAATGTTTCCGAGTGTTCTTTGTTAAGAGCCTCTGCCAAGCAATCCAAGCAATTGCTTCTGCACGCGCTCTTCCGGCCAATCTCGCATCCAAGCCGGATTCAGATGAAAGAATGCAATCCTGTGGTAGCCGGCCTCCTTGGCATAGTCAGACCTGAAGGACAACATAAATGAATAGATAGGCGAACACATGGATGGATAAATAGATAAATGATAAATGGATGAATGGATGGATGACTGAACATATGTGAAGATAGGTATGTAGATAGATAAATACATAGATAGAGACAAGTCATGAGCCGTCCAGACCCTGCTCAAATTGGAGTTTATCCCCAATGCTGCCAGATGAATTAAGAGCAGGAATGCCCACGAAGTTTTTGCATGTATGTATATGTTATATCTTAATCATATGTGTGGTTGTGAACAACATATTAATCAATATATATTGTTTAAAAATGTAGGCCCCAGAGGGTCCGCTAAGCATATATATATATAATATACAAATATATATATAATTGTTATATATAATTAATATATATATACTTAATATATATATACTTAATATATATATATATATATTAATATTATAGATAGATATATATATATATATATATTAGTTATATATATATATATATATGGAGGATCCAAAAATGAGGGGTACCCCTAAATCATCCATTTTATATGAGGAGTTTCCGTTGTGTAAACTAGCCATTTATGGAATCCTTACAGCACTGCACCTGAGAGCAAATGCCTTAACTCTTCCATGTTGATCTGGCCGTCACCGTCCAAGTCAAACATTGAAAACCTGGGCAACGAAAGGGGACCAAAGGGGAAAGGACATGGGTATAAGCCATGTATATAATGTTATGTAATATTAGATAATAATGTTCTATAACGTTATATAATGTTCTATAACACTATATAATGTTATGTAATGTTATATAATGTTATATAATGTTATATCATGTTATATAATGTTGTATACAATCTGGGTAAATCGGAAAAATATCCTATTGGGATAAATTTTGACTTTGTAAATAATACCCTATAATAATCCTACCTATTGGGATAAACAATCTACATATATATATATATGTTTTTTTATCTGTTACTGGGTAAAGTATAAGATTCATAATATATAATAATACAGTACATAATTCACTCACCTGAAAAGTTCGGCCAATTATTGGGATCATTCCCCTTACGAATCATCATCTATGGTGAGGTCGCAGTGAGGTGTTTTTTTTTTTAGATTATTGTTTGCACTCGACATTCGACAAGTGTTGACAATGGAGGAGTGACATTTGAGACTCATCAAGCCGGTTTGGTAGGTGTTTATGTTTGCCCATCCAATATTTGCAGACTCTAATTTTCACACATACCCAATTCAAGCTGCAGAAAATTCTGGCCAACCAGGGATATTGTATGTTTGTTTGACCAACTGAATGCACCCGACATCCCACAAGACTGCGCTGGTTGATAGTGAAGCAGCAAGCCTTCAAGCCTCAAATGTACTCAACCACCCTTGTCGATAGGATATATATATATTAAAAAACGCAGTCGGGTTCAGCTTGAGATGGAATGGAAGAACTGTTCGAAACAACCAACCAGCTAAGTGACATTCTGGTTTGGTTTTACCACGGTCCAATGTGGTCCATGGGATAACATCTCATTTGAACATCTTTGATTCCCGGCAAACCATTAAAAACAACAACACGCACACAACAAAAAAGTGGATGAATTCGAAGTGATATCCAGATCAGATTAGAATTAGATATTGGATATCCCACCATATAGATATCATCCAGATAGATATCAATATAGATTCATCTCCCAGATAGATCAGATTAGATAAAAAGGATATCCCACCATCAAACGTATCCCCGAGCTCCATCATCTCACAACATGGTGTACAGGTCGACGTGGCGGGGCTAACATAGCCATGGACGAATGTGGTCCATATAGTTCGATGAGAGCCAGGCTTCCCAGCCCAACTATTGTGATACTTACCCCTTCTAGCCATCATCTATGGTGAGGTTGTAGTGAGGTCGTTATAATTTGCCCAGATATTATATATATATCCCCATTGATGCCATCACGTTTCTTGGTCACCACACCATTTCTGATGGTTAATTAAATCACCATCTCTGACCCAAGGATGAACACATTATAAAACAAACATATATAATTGAATACGTCCGTAATTCATTACCAAGAACATTACATATATAATCAGGTTGAATAAATATAGTATAACATAAAAGTAGATTAGATACAATTGTAGTAAATCTAGTTGAATATAGCTAAAATACAGTTCAATAAAACACAAATATACTACAAATAACATCAGCTATTCCCAGTGGCCACACATAAACATCTTAAACGTGACCAGTTCATCCAGACTCCAGCGCCAAGATGCGCATATCTCATTAATCGATCGCCACGCTCCTGGTGACTTTAAAAAAAAACGAAACATCTGCGCCACCAGGGAATCATCTGGGGTCAATAAGCAGGCTTCAGTCACCAACAAAGGGGATAAACCACCTTATATAATCTTATAATCTTATATAATCTGACATAATCTTAGATAATCTTATATAATCTTATATAGTCTTATAAAATCTTATAGAATCTTATATAATCTTATCTAATCTTACGTAGCATTATATAATCTTATATAATTGTATATAATTCTATATAGTCTTACATAATCTTATATAATCTTATATAGTATTATATAGTCTTATATAATATTATATAATCTCATATAATCTTATATAGTCTTATATAGTCTTATACAATCTTATATAATTATATATATATATGGTCGATAATCTTGTGTATGGAATGATATGATCATGTTTAATGTAATTTCTTTGAGTTATGAATCAATTGCAATGCACATCCTGGCAGGAATCCCTCGAAGAAATCTGGTGATGTTCTTCCTCTAATTCACTCTCTATTTCACTCTCTCTTGCTCTCCCCCCCTCTCTCTATCTCTCTGCTAGTTTTCTTTCAACATGTTTGCTTCAAACTATATCCTGGCAAAATGCGTACTGTGGGAGAATATATGGATATATGCAAATGAAACGATTCTGCAGCAATGTTTTGTGCATCCTGAGGTATCAATCTTTATGAAGACTCACGTATAGTATCACAATACCGAGAGGACCGCACACACCACCTATTGCATATAATTTAGCCCAGACTCTTGGTTAAAAAAACGTATTGGTTTGTATGTTTTTTTCTTTGCGGGGGCCAGTTGTATCGCACATGGTGGACCCTAAACCTGCTCACATTAAAAGAAATGCAGCAGCATTTAGAATTGTCACTTTTAACCCTTGGTCCCAATGTCAAAGTTTACTACTGCACTCGTGGTGAGTGTGTAGGTCTTCTGGCAAAACATGTGGGCTGTGGAAAGCATTTCACACAAGCAACACAAACTCATCATAACTCCACCCTTGGTGGCAATAGACACCTCTGCTAATCTGCATCATAGTCATATTGATATATGATATATTCTATCTACCCTCTAGTTATTTAACATAGCCATGGTATAGATGGCCCATAGAAATAGATGGTTTACCTATTAAAAATGGGCCATCTATACCATGGCGAACTGTTAGTCATGACCAGATGGTATAACTTGGATGCTCAAAACCTCCTGATGTGGGTCCGGAAATGGGGAAATCACCTGCCAGTTATGACGGTTTTTGCGGCCTTTTGGGCCATCGCAAAATCGGTGCCAACATGAGGAGAAACCATATTTTTTCTCATAAGGTAAGAACATGAAAACATATTTATGATACATTATGATACCATATTTAGGTAAGATGATACCATCATTATGATACCTAATAATGGTAAACCATAATATCTGGGTAAGGTATCATAATGATGGTTCCTAATGATGTCCTCTGGTGATATCGCCATGGACTCCCATCCAAAAAAGCAGCGCGGAAACATGCGGAAACGCTGCGCCTCATCGAGGTTGAGAGTGGCGCCTAAGAACTCGGTGTAGGAGATTTGGCCATCCTGCAATGTGGGGCCCCCAGTCGATAGCGTTCAGTTGGTGAACATAACTACAATTTCACGTTTGGGTTTATGGTAGTTATAACCATACTTAGATGGGGTGGCCATGGCGTAGAAGTGATAGTCTGGTTAGTCTGGTTGGTGGTTTCAACCCCTACCCCTCTGAAAAATGATGGTTCGTGAGTTCGTCAGTTGGGGTTACGACATTCCCAACTGTTTCTGGAAAAATCAAACATGTTCCAAACCACCAACCAGTGGTCCAAGGGATGTCACTGGATGTCACTGAATGGCATTCGTCGAAATGGCAACTGTGACATGTGATGTGTGACATTTTTCTTTGCTGCGATAACGTTGCAACGCCATTTTGTTGTAGTGATTTATTGTTGTGCAGTGAAAGTAAGAAGTTGCAACTCCAGGTCTGGCTCCGCCACAACAGAATCGGCAAGTGGATAACATTTCCAGCGAGGTGTATATATATACACTATAGTAGCTGTATGAAAAAATATTATCAAATATTGGCTGTATGATATTTCACAGCTACACTATATTTGTTTGATATTTATACACTATAGTAGCTGCATGAAAAAATATCAAACAAGATCACCCAGGTTTTTGGAGTTTGGGACTTGGTGCAGCCACTTTAGGTGCGGTGAATTCACAAACTGAATTCAGGTGATTGTTCGTAAGAGACTTCCGGGAATTTTGAACATGTTTTACTGATACCATCTGGTTATGACTAACAGTTTGCCATGGAAAGATCCACCATGCTACAAAATAGGTAAACCTCTGTAAATGGGCAATTTTCCATTAGCTATGTTAAATAACCAGAGGGTAACACATCGAGTGAAAAAAAAACATGCCTACACCATTCTACATGTCGCTGGATAATTAAACTATCACAAATTGATCTTAATTGCCGATTAGATTAGATTGAGATCCTTCTGATTGATAGTGTCAAAATACGCTCGATGGAATTGAATTCTGACTTATCATCCCAATACGCTCGTGACGATATACAAATAGTATACAACAGAATCGGACACATCTGAACCCACAACCCAACTGAGCAGCAACACATCTTGTATGCTCCATGCATGGCACATGTTTGCTATAATATGCGACGAAGAACACTCTTGCAGCTTTTGGTAAGGTAAATTTGGATTCATTTCCCGAATCTTAGCCACCGATTTGGCTATGATACTTGATGAACCTTCAAAGTTTGGCCGTTCAATACGGGATGATTCTCCCAATTCTCAGCATAAAAACAGATATCATCAGCAGTTATATCCAATAATCACAGAGGTATTTCCTAATCATCATCTGGTTGGTGGTTGCAACCTACCCCTCTGAAAAATATGAGTGAAAGTCAGTTGGGATGGTTATTCCATTCCCAAGTGTTTCTGGAAAGTCAGTTAACCATTCATGTTCCAAAGCACCAAGCAGATATATCACTATCATTATTATTCCATTATTTCCCATATCATCACTATCCAATAATTAGTATCCATATAAATCAAATATCCATCATTATAGACCATCATTATTAACCATATAAAAAAATCCAATAATCACTATCCATTCGTATCATTGAATCGTACGACGTTTCACGTTACGACGTTTCACCGTGACGTCGTCAGTTCCGGCGCCGTCCGTTCCGCCTGGTCCAAATCCATGGACGCCATCAATCCGTTGGGGTCCTGGGAGATCTGGGATCGGGTGAGGCCAGGGCCGCCTTGAAAATGGAGAGATTTTTTGAATGGGGATATATGGCAGTGGGTCAAAAGCTTGTACCCCTGGTGAACATCAAAATAGCTGGTAAATTGATGTTCATCCCACTAAAAATGGTATTAATAGGTATTGACCCACCTCCATATTGTCAATGGTCATTCCAGGATCCTAAAATGGAGGTACTGTAGCAGATAACTTATGTCAATGCATTGGTTTAAGGGAAAATCTTCACCGGAAACTATGGTTTTTACCATGAAGATCATGGGGGTTTCCGGGTCAAATTTTCCCTTAAACCAATCCATTGATATATTGCTAGTGTGTGGTATACCTACCACTCTGAAAAATATGAGTTCGTCAATGGGAAGGATGACATCCCATTTCGATTATGGAAAATAAAACATGTTCCAAACCACCAACCAGATTGGGTAACCAATGATGATATAGCATGATATAGTTATAGCTATCATTTGATAGGAATAGACGTTTTATATAGCTTTATGGAGTTTGGGCTCAGACACCTTCCAGTGGTCAAGCCGATTCAACAGAGTTTGAGGGTGGGCGTAAGCAATGGAACTCAATTCTGTTTTGGAGTGGCCCATCGGAAAACGAGGGAACATAATGGTGGATCAAGTTGAAGTGTTTGGCAGATTCATGATTGGGCAGAAGGTTCCTTTTGGGCATTCTGTGGCCTTCCAGCATGTGGGTAGCTGGAATCATCGCATGGTGCTCTACGATGTTCAAAAAACCGGTGTCAAAATGGGATCAGCCTGGTTAGTGGATTTTGCTTCAAATCTCGGTCCTTTGGGGGTTCGTAACCCAAATAAGTGTGATTTGGGGTATGCTCATGACGTTCTGTGTGGTCTTGGTGGTTTCTCTGTCGCTTGTGATCATTTGTCAATTGAAGTGGTGTCAGCCGTAGACACCAACAGCGTTGCAGTTGAAGCATTTGGACTGAATCACGACATCCCAGTTGTCGCTGCCAACATTGAGCTCCCATCCACAGTGCATCGCATGCATGAGCTCCAGATTGCCAAAGATGCTGAGACCCTCTTTGTCCCTGTTGTGCTTCAGTACTTGGGTGTGCGTTCCTTTCATTTGCCACCTGCCAGTTGGACTTATGCCACTTTCCTGCAGTGGATGGGTGTGCCAGATTTCCAAAGCTTGGTGGATGAGACGGCCTGTGTCATTGTACCAGAACACAAGTTGGTCCCTTGGCACACAATCATTGTTCAGCTCGCTGCAGAAGACCTTGCTTTTGAATTGAGCTTGCGATTGAGTGGACTTGGATTTGATCAATCGTCAAGTCTTGGCACAGGCCTTCAACTGTCAAAGTCCATGATCTGTACGGGTTTGTGGCACCTTGACCAACAGGTTCGGAGTGATCTGCTGCTTTCGTGGGCCTGTTTGTCTTTTCCGTCTTTGGTGGTTTGGCTCCCGTCTTTTGCTGCGGCAGTTGTAGAAAAGTGGCCTGGTGTCATGGATGATCACTTGCGTGTATGGTTGACTCAGGAACAACTCACAGTATATGCCATTGCATGGGAGTCGTGGGGGTGGAATTTGGTGAAATTCTTTTTGGACACTCGGTGTCTTTCCGTGACTTTTTTCGAGCACGAACATGAAGCTTCCTGCACTGTCTCTCTTTTGGCGAGCCGAGTCAAAGATCAAGCACACAGAGCATGGTATCAAGAATCCTTTCAACCGGGAGACCAGTTTGGTGATACTGGCACCTTGTGTGCAGCTCTTTCAATGCTGGAAAAGGATTTGGGGTTACCTCATTTTGTGAGCCATGCTCTCCTCAAGACCAGGGCAGAGCGTCATGACGACATGTCACAGCCTTCATCCAATGGAAGCCCCCTCCCAACACTGCAATATGATGCAGTGATGCCAAAGCAATTGCCCTTGCGTGCCCATGTGAAGGAGCTCATTCGTTCCCACCATGGGCTTACGGTGAGGTTCATTTTGGATTTTGCACGAGCTCTGCTCCTGTCATCAAATCGGACACGCAACCCAAGTCAGGTAAAAGTGGTGTGCACCGACCCTGCTTTTAACCTTGTGCCCTTCTGTGATTTCCGTGATTTTGCGGCAGGTTGCAGTCCGTGCTGGATCTTTGTTTTGGCCAATCGTCATTGGACTTTGCTTTCTTGTGACGTGGATGGAGATACCTTGAAGGTAGTGCAGTATGACGGAATGAATCTGACAACTCTGTCTGCCATCGCTCCGATCATTGCACAGGTCAAGAAAGATTGGAAAGCCGCCCATGTCCATGTCAGCTCATCGTGGATTTTCCCCCAGACACGCAGTGATTCATGTGGAACTGTTGCCATGGCGCATTTTGCATACTTGATTGAAGCTATCACATATGAGCAAGCCATGACCTTTGAACAGCTTCATGACAGTTTGGCAGTTTGCAGCAGCCTGCAGGGTTTTCCTGGGCCAATTGGATTTGGGCCTGAAGATGCTGCAATTATCCAATCACTTGAACAGATTTTGCCTGCCAAAGGCGTCCCAGATTCTGAAGTCAAGGCACGAGCTCAAGCTGCCATCAAAGCCTTTGGTCACAAAGCCATACAGCAAGCACTGGAGGCAAAAAACGTGTGGAATGCCTTGAAGAGCCTAGGTAATTCAAAGCCAAAACCTTTTATTTGGGTGCAGCATCATGAGCTTCAGAACCACATCAAGGATCGTGCCAGTTCCAAGTACGGGGCGGTGGACATCAAAAAGCCCAGGAAACAGGGTCGGACTGAACCAATAGTTTCAAAGCAGCTAGATCCCACAAGCCTGCTTTTGCCACCAGGTATCTTCACTACAAACTGCGGAACAGCCTTGCCACAACTGCAGTTGGAAGATGTTCAAAAAGATGCCAGGGGGGTTGCTTTTGCCACGGCAGCTGACGTTCAACACTACTTGGCCGATGGAAAGATGATCAGCACAGAGGGTTTGGCTTTGTTGTTGGTAGGACCAGTTTCGGAGAACATGCCAGTTTCTTTGCCTATGCATACAATGCGTGTTCCAGCCATCTACAAAGGCACTAATGAACCAGTGCTGATCGACTGCACCACTATCCAACTTGGAGACCAGGCAGTGTATCGCAAAACCAGCCAGGATGTTCCAGAGCTAGCTGTTTGCCCAACCAAGGTGATGCGCGTTCACGTTTTCCGAGACTTGTGGGAGACCGAAGGAACATGGGATGACATTGCCTCACATCCAGTCCGGCAGCTTGTCAAAACCTTTCCCATTTTCAGGCTGTGCAAAGACAAAGATTGCGATCAAAGTTGTGCTCTTTTTCACCCATCTTTGGAAGAGGAGGGAGTAGAATCTGGTTTGCTTGACATTTGGGCTTTTCGTTGGCACGGTCATGACGGTAGCAAAGCAACTCCAGCCAAAGCGGAAGTTCTGCCCCTTTACATCCGCATCCCAGAGTCCAGTTTTGACACGATTCATCTTGCATCAGGATCCCATGGATTTTTCTTTGAGCCTCGCAATGCGTCCACTCCAGGTCCAGATGAATCTTATGTCGTCATTTGGCTGCCACAGTTCACTTTAGGTGATGTACTGCATCGTGTCCGAACCACAGATCACTGCATCACAGTGTGTAGGCTGGGTCTGAAGTACGGCATCCGAGTTCAGAGCAAACATCATGAGGAAGTGCACCAGCAGCTTTGCCCCCAAAAGCCTTTTGTTGTCTGCGCAGTCAAGGCAGTTTATCGCCTGGAGCCACTTCCAGCAGGGACACAAAGAGCCTCCTTGGTAACCACTTTGCAGACTTTTGGATGGAATGCCAAGCCACTCCAGCCATGTAAAGGCAGTCAAGGACAAGCATGGCACGTAGGCTCAGACAAGGAACCCCCAATGCCATATTTTGAAGCACAGCATGGTTGGATCACCATCACAAAGGTGAAAGATTCAGCTCTGCCAGCCAAACCTCAAGGGCTTATTGCCACCAGTCGCACCAAGCTGCACATCCAGGAGTCATCATCCAGCTCCAGCCAACCGGCTGCAGATCCGTGGACTCAAGGTGCTGATCCCTGGGCAGGGTACAATAAGCCGGCCAAACCCCCAACTGTTGCGTCACAGCACGTGCAGAGCCGGTTTGATGATGTTGAGCAACGCCTGCAGGATCATGTCAATAGCACCCTGAAGCAGGAAGTCCAGAAGCTTCAGGCCACCACTGAGGCCGACCAGCGCATGAACGTGGTTGAATCTCAGATTCAAAGCTTGGTTGAAAACCAGACCAAGTTGGAGCATTGGATCACCGACGGCAGTTCCAAAGTTTTCAATTTGCAGCAAAATTGTGCTCAGATCCAACAGCAAGTGCAAGCCCAAGGCCACACCCTGCAGCAAGTGGTCGGCGAAGTCAGCCAGTGTAACACTAATGTCAAAACTATTGCATAGGAAGTGTCAGGTCTTAAAGAGGGGCTCACCCAGCATCTCGACAGCTATTTTGCCAAGCAGCAGGAGGCCATGGAATCTTTGCTTGCCAAGAAAGCCCGGCACAATTGACTAGGACCGCCAGGGCCCTCATCTGGACTTTTGAGGGTGCCTGGACACAGGGCTACTCTTCCCAAATGGATTTTTCGCTTTTGGACTTACTTTGCCTTGTTCCTTGCTCACTTTTGTCGTGTGGGTGAAGCGGCTGTTCCGGGACCTCACCAGGTCCACCCTGACTCCTTTGTTGATTCCCCAGTTTGGACTTTGCCGGGGACTCCTGATTTTGTTTTGGGCGTTTTTAATCCAGCAGGGATTTCCAACAAGTTCCACATGTTGGATTTTCTTCCGCATGGATGGTGGCACGTGGCGGAAACACAAGCATCCAAAGCACAACAATGCGCACTGCAGGGCTATCTTCGGTCTTTGTCCGTACGTTCCGGCAGGAACCTCCGTAGTTCTCTTGGTGCTCCGGCGGCATATCGTCCTGGTTCTGATCATGCGGGCACTTGGACTGGCGTGCTTTCTTTTGGTGACTGCCCTCTTAAGCAGATACCTTGCGTTTGGCCTTCAGGTGAATATGAAAGTGGGAGGGTCCTTGTCACTGCGGCGCAGGTTCATGGGCTTGAGATTGTCTCTGCCACTGTTTACTTGCCTCCTCGTGGCCCCACATATCCAAATGCCACGACGCTTGCAGAATCCCTCCTCACTCCCATCACTGAGGAACTTGTTTTGGGACGGGCTGGTTGCAGGGCTATTTTGGGTGACATGAATTGTCCATCAGGGTCACTTCAGCAGATGAAAATTTGGCAACAATGCGGCTGGATTGAATTGCAAGACCTTATGTTGCAGTTACACGGAGTGGAAAAGCAGCACACTTGCAAACATGCAACTGCACCGGATCAAATTTGGTTGTCCCCTGAGTTGGCGTCTTTGGTTTGTAATGTTTCTTTGTGGGCCATTTTTCCCGATCATCAAGCGGTTTTGGCAGGCATTCGACTTCCACAGGTTAGGTTGTCAGAGTTCCAATGGCGACTTCCTGGCCACGTTCCTTGGGATAAGGTTGACTTTGACCGTTGGATCACTTCTCCTGATTTGGGTCCTCTCTTCGGTGCAAACCCGGCACATGTGGGTCGTGTCGGATTGTCCAATGTTCATGACGGACAGTCGTCCAGGTCTAGTCAATCCACCACCTTGGACTTTCATAGGTGGAGTCAAGCCTTTGAGAAGCAAGTCACACAGTGCCTCCCTTACGCTGTGGGGCGGGCAGATCGGAGTTTTCATGGCCGCGGTAAACTGACCAAACCAGCCATACGGCAAATCAATGCACCCATCCCCAAGCACCACCGACCCGGTGAGTTGGCTCAAGCTTCCGGTTTTCTCAATCGAGCTGTTGCAGCATGGTACAAGCAGCTTCGACGGCTCCAATCCTTTTGCCATGCTGCCAAGTCCTGGCGTGCCAGCGAGACCTATGAGTCCAGAATGGCCTTGTGGAATAGCATTCTTGTGGCTTCAGGTTTTGCAGGAGGTTTCCAAAAGTGGTGGCAAACTCGACCTTACCCTCACCAAGGTTCTCCTAGCGTTTTGCCCCCTTTGCCACCTGACCAGTTTGTGGCTCAGCTCATTTTTGATGATTTTGCCCAAAACTACCGACGTTTTGAGCATTGGCAGATGAATAGGAGGAAAGAAAGCTGTCACTCCAAGCTTCTTGCACAGACCAAAACTCTTTTTACCCATGTGCGCAAGCCACCAAAGCCTCCTTTGGATTTTCTGATAGATTCACATGAGCAGCAGCTCACAGTGGTCAGTACGGTTGATAACATCGTCCAAGTGCCTGTGCCTTTTCCAAAGGACACCACTGCCCATTGGACTTTGCAGGGCATGCCCGCCAGGGTGAAAGAAGTGCCACAAGGGTATCAAGTGGATTCCGACTTTGCACTTGCAACAGGCCAGACTTTAACTTGTCATCAGATGGTAACGAGCACCGAGGTAATCCATGACCGTTTGCACAGTTTGTGGTCACCCAGGTGGAACAAGCATGCGGATGTCCCCAGCCACTTTTGGGATCAAGTTTGTCAGCATGCGGCCAACACTCTACCACAAGGGCAAATCATTCTGCCACCCATTACTGTTCAAGATTTCCGCACTGCCGCCAAGGGCTTCAAGCCAACTGCTGCGACAGGGCCTTGCGGATGGACCAGGGCCGATATTAACCATTTGACAGATTCGCAGATCACTGCAATTCTTGATGGTTTCCATGCCATTGAGCATGGCCAGGCTTGGCCAAAACAGTGGTGTGTTGGACTTATCCATTGCCTGCAGAAACGCGATACAAGTACTGCAGTTGAAGGTTACAGGCCCATAACAGTCATGAGTCTTTTCTACCGGTTGCTCACTGGAATTCGAGCTGGGCAAATCCTTGCTCAACTCTCCTGCCAGGCTGCCAGTATGCAATGTGGCTTCATGCAAGGCAAAGAAGCGGCAGATGTTTGGTATTTCGTTGGCGTTTGTCTTGAGCTTGCTACCCATCAGTCAGTTCCTGTGCATGGTCTTGTGGCAGATTTGGTAAAAGCCTACAATACTTTACCTCGTAAGCCAGTCTTTTTCTGCCTTGAGCGTTTGGGTGTGCCTGTTTGGTTCCTTCAAGCGTGGCAGGCTCACCTTGATCAGTTTGAACGGTTTTTCGTTGTCAGGAGGTGTACAAGTGACCCAATCCTGTCCGTGACAGGTTTTCCTGAGGGATGCCCTTTGGCCTGCGCAGCCATGACTGCTTTGGACTTTTTCTGGCATTGGTCCATAAGTTCCAGCGTTCCCCGAGTTTTGCCTATCAGCTTCGTTGATAACTTGGAATTGCTTTGCGACACTTTGCCTGACCTGTTTGCTGCTGCCTCTGCTCAAGAGCATCTCTGTCAAGCCCTGGACTTAGAAATTGACAAGCCTCGACTTTATGCTTGGTCTTCCGTTCCAGCCGGTCGTCATGAGCTTAAGACTAGGGGGTATAATGTAAGTTTAGGGGACCGAGATTTGGGGTGCCAGGTAATCTACAGCCGACAGCTTCGCAACAAAGTTTTGACTGACCGCATCGTTGGAACACTGCCTTACTTTGGACAACTGAGAAAAGCTGCACTCCCAGTTGCGGTGAAAATCCTGAACATCAAGCAGGTTCTTTGGCCTCGTGCAATGCATGGCATCGAAGCTGCTAGTTTAGGAAAGGGACACCTTCAAAAGTTGCGTTCCGGAGTGATGCGAGCACTGAAGTGGGATCGAGCGGGTGCTTCACCCTTGATCAGGCTTGGTTTGCTGCAGCTTGATCTTGACCCAGGTTGGCAGCAGCTCTGGAGGGTAGTACGAAAATTCCGGCAGCAATGTGCGCGGAACCCAGCAATCAGGGAGTGGTGGAGAGACTACTGCAACCAGTTGCAGGACACATCCACCCACGGGCCTTTTGGGAAACTTCAAGATGAAATCAATCAGCTCAGCTTGACTTTGGATTCAGAGGGCAAACTTTGGTTTTCTGAGAATGGTTTCGTAGACATTTTTTGGAGTACCGAATCTCTGGTCAAACAAGTTTTGCGATTTCACTTTGTCAACTGCATCACTTATCATGTGCGCCATCGACAGGGCTACACGGATCTTGATGGTTTTGATTTTTCACTTACCACGTGTCAGGATCGAAGGCATACCCCTTCTGAAGTCGAACAACTCATGATCATTAGGGATGGAGCTTTCTTTACCAATCATGCCATCAGTCATTTTGACGCGCGGAAATCTGCTGAGTGTCGTAGCTGCCATGTGCCGGACACAAAAGAGCATCGCTACACCAGTTGTAGCTCTTACGATGACTTGAGGTCCAAGCACCAAGCACTTTTTAGTATGTGGGAGGATTTGCCCGAGAGTTTTCGACTGGCGGGGCTTGTGCCACACAACCCTTGGCGCCTTTTGACATGGGAAGCATTGGCAGCATTGCCAGATCGTACACGGGAGTTTCATTTTCCACCTACTGGCAAGACATGGCATGTGTTCACAGATGGCACCTGTGACAATCCTGAATGTCAGGAGGAAGCTCTGGCGGCATGGGCAGTTGTCGTGGCGGAAAAGGGACCAGTGAGCGCAGGGCCTCTTGTTGGCCCACAACAGACCATTTACCGAGCGGAAGTCACTGCAGTGCTGAGCGCCCTTCTCTGGGCCGCAGATCATGTTGGAGATCTCCACATATGGTGTGACAATCAATCAACAGTGGATAATCTACGGCAGTTACTGCATGGCACTGGCAACTGTGAAGACTATGAACATGTTGACCTTTGGCGCAAGATTGACAAACTTATCAAGCTATCTTTGGCGACAGTGTATGTCCACAAAGTCGCCAGCCACACAGATGAAGCAAGTTGTACAGACCCTCTTGAGGACTTTGCACGTCGATGGAACGCTTTAGCTGACCACCAGGCCTTTTTGGCCAATCGTAGCAGACCCATGTTTTTTCACAGTTTGTGGCAACGTTTTGTTGGCTTTCGTAAGCTTTGGAGAGAGCGAGTTGAGTTGCTTGTTGCTTTTCATTTGCAAATTGCTGCCCGCGACTGTGAATCAACCTCAATTTCCGACAATGAGGACCATGGGGAGGAAGACGTTTCACCGCTTTCTCAATGTATAGATCAGACCCCCAATAATGCTGCTTTTGCTGTTCAGATTTTGCATTTACAGGGGACTAATACTTGGTTTCAAGCCGGTCAAGATCAGCATTTTAGGTTGGTCAGCCACATCCTTTTGGATTGGCTCGTACAGCAGGATCAATCTGCTGAAATGATGAGATGGGTGAGTTTTGTTGAGATTTTTGTGTGTATTCGTGGGGTTTTTGGCCGGCCCTTGGCTGGCGGCGGGTCTTATAGTAAGTATACTCGTCCTACTTTTGCGGCTGACTTCCGTTTTTTCATGACCATTGTCAACCATCTCCTCGACCGTGCTGGGGTAGTGTGCCGAGCGTACAGAGGCCATCTTTCTTGTGTTGGCATTTTTGTTCCACAGCAATGCATACAATTCGGTTTGCTTCATGAAACGAGTGAAGCGGCATTGCTGAAACTTCGAGATTTTGTAGGAACTCGGCCAATCACGTCCAGCCAAGGCTTTTCGAAACCTTTTGTTTAGGTTTGATCTCAGTATCTTCTCACCTTTGGCTTGGACCCATTGGACACACGGGGCTGCGCTGAGCTGCCCCTGTGCTGGAGCGACCGTGTGTGATATATAGCTTTATGGGAATATACTGGGAATAGATTGGGGCAATGATGATCCGGTCAACGAATATCATATAGCTTTGGAAAGTGGGCCATTGATGTGTAGATGATTTACCTATATTAACCTATATTAATATATGTTCACGGAAATTTCGGACCAGAAAGTACTAGAAAAAACTACATTAGCTATATGTGGCGAGAATCTACATGGGGTAACGAATTCGAAGGTTGGGTTGTCAATATACAGGAAGAGTGTTCACATGGCTATTTCACCCGTTCATCAAACGAACCAAGATCAGCCTTACTCATGATAAGAAGCGATGTATCTCATGGGATGACCAAAACTTTTGTCCACTCTTTGCAGTAGTCTTCAAGTACGTTAGGAGCCTCAACGACATGAAATAGGCAACAGTGCAAACATGTCCTTTGCATCAACCACCTACAAGGTGGTGCCCTCCAGTCCTGTTTATATAGTTGTTTATAGACGCCCCATCTGGTAAACTAACATAACTATGGAAAATCACCATCTTTAATAGGTAAATCAACTACACATTTGCCATTCTCATATGTTAAATTACCAGAGGGTAACCATAGATATCTACATAAACCCTAGCTATTGGAGTTGTACAGGAACTTAGCTAACTATGGGCTAACGCCGTGTACAAAGCTTGGATTGTTTTCAGTTGACGTTGCATGGATTATCTCCGTCGGGTTCACCAAACAGCTCCCTTTTCGAGTGATTTCCACCTTGGGAACAAAGAAAAAACACCGAAACTGTAAACAGACATGTGTTTTATCCGTTTTATCATGTGTATATATATATTTATAAACTACTGCAACCATCAACCAACATAATCTTGGTTACCCTGCCAACAAAAATCACGCTTTAGCTGAACATGACATTTTGTTCCAGTAAAAATGGCAAACAAATTCAAACAATCAAAGCCTTAAACTACCTTCACCAAACTTTATCCCTGTATGAAGATCCAAACATATCCAAACCATGATTCTATCAGTTTTGAAGGCAAATAACCCTAGGTTTAACGATTATCCTCTCAAGTAACATGACGACAGTGCCATGAGCTGGGGGTGCTGGAAGACAAGAATGGACAATTCTCAGGATCTAAGTTTGTGTTAGTTGAGACCTTCGCACAAAACGTAAGTGGTCAATAAATGTTAATGATCCCATTTTTTCCAGCGAATAGTGAATTATGATGAATTATGAATCATTCGGATTGATATGATGATGTGAGGATTATGTATGATTCAATTAACTGGTTGAATCCTCATCATCAAATGGTTGAATCCTCATGAATTTTAAAGATAGTTTCAGGTTTGATCATGGGAATTTAACCAGCCACCAGGCAAGTTCCCCCATTCTTCCTGGTTTTTGGCTTACGAAGCCCTTAATAAAACCCCAACATTATTGAGGGGGCACCTTATGAAGGGTTTATTTTCATCAGGCTGTTTTGCTAGATCAAGAGCGGCAACTGTAAAATTGCTGCAATTTGGGTTTGTCTGAAAATAAGGTGCCCCCATTTTCCCCATTCAACTGCCATTTTGGTGGTATATCCCATTCTCAAGCAGACCCATTTGAGTCATTAAAAATACCATCACCCCATCTCATTATACTAGTTATATAGTTGAAATCGGTTTCCCTCACATGGGCACATGGGTTCGTTCACAATCCCCAATAACCAGGTCGTATTACTCCTTACAACAACCAATCAACAGAACATGTTCAATGGCCCAATGGCCCATATAATTCCTTTCCCTCAATATTAAACACCACCAGAAACCATGGTTTAGTAGGGTATAAAGCCACATACAAGGTGAGGCCCCCCAGTTATAAGATGTTATAAGTTGGTTTATGACCACATTTTTGACTATAGACATATCCCCTATAAACCCAAAAGAAATAGTTATGTTCACCAATGTAGCATAGATCAGCTCTGAGGCCCATGAAATCCTCATTTTTCTTGGTTAAATCACCATTTTCCTCTAGTTTCCTATAGTTTCCTATGGTACCGTGGGAGCAGCCCCTGGCCGCCGTGCGCCCTGGCCGCCGTGCTGGCACCTGTCGAAGGCCCAACTTCTCCAGGCCACTGCGCAGTTCTTCCTGGTCAATCTGCCCGGACTTGTCTGCGTCCAAGGCCTCCAAGGGGGAAAACCACGGAAAACTCAACCAGTTCCCGATGGAAAGTGATGGAAAAAATATGGAAAATGATGGAAAATGATTGAACATGTAGATATACCTAGATATATCAGATTTTTGTTCAAGGGAAACCCCCAGCAAAATTGGTTTTAAATTTGATGGCTAAGAAAATCAGCATCCCGATAATTTGATGGCCAATTTGGGGAGGATCTCAAGTTTTCAGACGCGTGCATGTCGAAAACTACGGTTGAGTGGGAAAAAACCCTGCGGATTTGACCATATTTAACCAGTGGACATGCTATAATTTAACCAATGAAAGAAACTCATTGGGAAATAGATTGAAATTTCAGCATATTCCACAATCTATGTCCATAATCAAATTAAACAAACCACAACAATTTGGAAACCAATTAAGAAACCATATTGTGTTGTTGTAGTTTGTTTAATCATGCGGGGCACGTGCCATTGTTCCTCCCATGGCCATAAATTGGGGATAAATGATCCATCAAAATGGAAGAATATCATATTGTGGTTTTCATATGTAGTATGATTTATTTATTCATTTATTTATTTATGTATTTATTATTATATATTAATCTATTTTTTATTTAGTTATTTTTTTATATCTAATTGTATATCATATATTAATTTATTTGTTTATGTATTCATCTATCTATTTAATTATGTATTTATTGTGTGAAATGTATCCCTCATTATCCCACCATATCACCAGTCTTCTTGGTCCTCTCGCAACCCCCAAAACCATAGAAATTAAACAACCTACTCAAATAGTGGTAAATTAAACTGTTTGTATCTGTTTGGGGGTTCGCAAAGCCACCAAAACAAACACAGCTCTGCAGCACGAGTTCTTCCGGCGTATATCCCTGTTGCCATATCCATCAACAAAATCATTTGGGTGTGTCTAAAGATAGGGATACCCCAATTGTAGCCCAATTTTCCTAGAGAAACCGGATTTTCTGAAACAACTGTTGGTTTTTTCCCAGAAATTCTCAAAGAAATCCTCATTTTCCATCAAATTCCGGGGGAAACTGTTGGGTTTTCCCATCTGATGACTTTTTGACATGGGCCAACCACCCACCCCCGGTAGCCCACAACGGACACGTGGCCTGGAAGAGGTGGTAGTCTGCTGTCAGGTCCTTCATCCCCAATGCCGCCGCCATGCTGAAGGTCACCTGCGAAACGTTGAGAAATGAATGCTGCATCATGTTCATTGCAGGTATATGTATATTATGTCAAATTATATTATATTATATAATATGATATGATATTATATTATATATTACATTAAAACATATTATATTATATCACATTAATTTATACTATTTGATTTTAGTTTATATTATATCATATTAAATTAAATTAAATCATATCAGAATATATATTATACCATATTAAATCATATTATGCTATATTATATTATGTTATATTATGCTATATTAAATTATGTTATGTTATAAATAAATTATATTATTGTATTAAGCAAGAATATATATTGCTATGTTGTATTAAATTATATGGTATGATATGATATTATATTATATTATATTAAATCATATTATATTATATTAAGTTATATTCAAAAATATTATAGTTTTAAAGATATTATGTAATATTATACTAAATTTTGTTATTTTATCTTATATTGTATTATATTATATTTAATTAAATTAAATTAAATTATATTATGTTAAATTAAATTAAATTATATTATATTATATTAAATTTATCGATATATATATATGTATATTTAATATATATATATAAATTAATTATCGTATGTATGTATGTATGTATGTATGTATGTATGTGTATATGTATACATATATATATAGATAGATATATATATATATAGATAGATATATATATATATTATAATATACTGTAAATGTGTCGTTGGGGATTATATGCCATCTGCAACTGACTCACTACATATTGGCTCGTTACATCCACTACATTTTAGCTGGTTACTTCAGTTGCTAAATGCACATCCAAGTGGTTGGAAGTGATTGGACGTGACTGGAAGTCATGTTTTTTGTACGTGCTCTGCAACACAAAACGCCCTTTGCACCGTATAAATGGTCCAATTCGAACTTCCAAAAAAGCATAAAAGGGATTTCCAAAAAAAGGAAACCCCGTACACACTTTGAAAGCACGGCCATTGGCTGGCATTGCAGCCCCTTGTTAATTGAAACAACGTCCAAAGTAGGCTGAAGCAGTGGAACAACTTTGAAACATCAAAACGGTTTCAGCATTGGCTTCACACTCCCAAATCAAATCAACACCTGCTGAGATAATCTCGAAAGCTATGATGAGTAACTAAGTTCCAACAATGATTGATAAGAAATTGCAAGAAGTTGAAACCTCCAATTAACAGAAGTAAACTTAGTATACTAACATATACTAACTATACCATGATTTCTCTCTGATTTTTGGATCACATGGTAGTGTGAAATCCTCATGACTATTCCATGAGAAAATCGCTGGCGCTATTCCAATGGACCCCTTGGGCGTCCCTGGGCGTCCGTGCGGCGCGGTGGAAGTAGCTACTGGGACGTGTGAAGCTTTTGGGCACCCCAGAAGCATTGGACTGCTTCGACTTCTCGCAGAAATCCAACCTTGAGATCAATGAATGGGATTAGCCTCTGGTTATGTGAAAATAGCTATTGAAGCCATGGCCATTCTATAGTGGATTTACCCATTGAAAATGGTGATTTTCCATAGTTATGTTAGTTTACCAGAGGGTAATGGATTGATCAATCATTGAAATGGGTGAATGGGATTTGTTTTATTTGGAGTCCAATCTTGGTGTGGGGATAATGGAATTAATGGAATATTCATGGGATATTAATGGCTTAATGAAATGTCGTCTTCGTGTGGGATATTCATGGGATTAATGAAGAGGATTAACAACAATCATCATCAAGAACCACCATTTGGATTAAAGCGTGTTGTGATTGGCAATCAGCATGATCAAATGGGATATTCATGTTGAACGATTGGGATACATATGATACATAATCAACAATGATGTGATATTGATTCCAAACGAAATTGAAGTGCATCATCCGTTCTTAAGCCCTTGAAGATCTGAAATTTTGGTTCTGTGGAAAATGGCGGTGCACAAAAACAGGATCAAACAAATAAACTTGGAAAAAAAACAGCTTAGTGAAGCAGTTCATTCTGATGGACACTCCAATCACCTGCAATGAAAGGTGGCCCAAATGATAGATTCACTGCACCTTTCTGAGCACGTCATCGGCTTCCTTGTGTCTTTCGACCAATAGCGTTTCGGCCACAGAGATCTTCTCGTTCAGGTGCTCCACCGACACTTTGAATCGAGCGATGCGTGCAGAGATGGTTTGTGGATAGCGCACAGTGTCCAGTGATACGTCCACCTGCGCCTCATTGGCCAGCACAATGTGCAAAGGCTCTTGCGGATCCGGCTCCGGTATCACTGTGATCTGGGTATTATCCGAGCTTTTGATATATTTTTTCGGAAGACCACGATATGAAAACAAAATCTGTCTACACAATTCTACACACATCATCTGTACTTGCCTTTTTGACAAAAAATATATCCAACCTTCAAGAGACTTGCTGCCCGCTTTGAGCCAAGGGTCTACAAGCTCATCTTATTCGCCAAGCGATGCGTGAAGTGCACAAATAACTTCTGAAATTTTCTAAACATGAACATACCTGTGCTATCCTGTGCTACTGCCTGCCGTTTTTCTGTATTTCTAACATGTTGAAACGGTTTTGGGTGTTTTCAACATGTTTGAAATCACCATCAGGTTGACGTCTGCCTTCCTGGAATCAGATTCGCCACAGCTGGAATGTCTTCGAACCCATTACACCCAATCTCTGCGAGCCACAGCTCACATGAGAATTCATCTCCAGCTCCAATGAATTAGGAGGGATGACATCCGGCTCATAGCATCATAGCAAGTCCCATGTGAATAATGTAAAGTGTACACCAAATGAAGAACTAAACATCATTCCTGACGAAAAATACATAAAAAATACCACCACTTTTGCAGCTTACATCTCCTTTGTTTTTGCCATGGAAGCCATTACCCTCTGGTTAACGCCATGAAAGCCATGGCCCATAGAAATAGATGTTTTTTTGATGATTTACCGCTGATTTACCTATTAAAAATGGTCATTTCTGCTGCAAGTCTCATCCCAGAAACTGGTTCTTTGCCAATTTCATCTCCGAGTGACTCGTTCACTTCTTGGAGCCACTCATGTTCGAAGCACTGCCTCGACGTATTGTTTGCAACAACCGCGGTCCGAAATGGACATATGGGGGTTTCCTAAAATGGGGGTACCCAAAATGGATGGTTTATACTGACATGGATGATTGAAACACCCATATCATTGAAATATCTTGACTGCCATGTAAACTCCCAAAAATTTCCCTTATGGACCCTGCCAAATAAATAGGAGCTTGGAAACCTGTAATATCCACTTATTTTTGGTGATTTTCAGGTTCTATGCCAATTTTCTCTAAGGGGAATCATCTTTAAGGCTTTCGCAAATTGGCATGCCTATGATTGGACCCCAAAAAAGTCTGTGCCGAGTGCCTTGGTGCCTCGAACAAATGACACAACAGGCCATTGATCCACCAGTCCAACAATGCTCATGGCCTTGGTGGTCCTCTAGCTACTGCAAATAAGACTTTGGATTGAGTTCGAGAACGAGGTGGTAAAAGACACATGATACAGGGGTGGTTTAAAACACCGAGTTATATAATATAACTTAAGCCATTAGGGGTGCAACAAACAGGAGCCCCATATCTTCTGGCAGTGCCTTGACAATGCTGTTAGGACAAGCTCAAGATAGCAGACATGCAATCGTGACGAAAATCCCAGCTGTCACTGCCGCTGACTAGAGTCCGCATTCGGATGATCCACTGTTGAGGGCCGTATGATGGTTTTACGACCGCCTCGGGTGGCAAACTCTGTTTGGAAGATGACAACAGCCCTTGGGCCCTTCGGTGCTGCATGCACTTGTCTAATGCGAGTCAAAAGACAAATGCCGCAAATGCCTGTGCTTGGCACAATTGTCTGTGGAGCATGATGTTCACCTCCTGCTTCGGCATCTCCAACTGGTGCCCAGGCATAGACAATTATTGTCACCTGAGTATGAAGACCGGTTGGCTGTCTTCTAGGGACTGGCCAACTTCCAGCATGTACTCACGGAAAGGAGCGGTGTGAGCAAGCTACCGTCTAGCCCACAATACCCCAAAACCACAGTAAACTCCTTTCTTTCCACTCACAGCACTTTGGACAACTGAAAGTTTCCATCCTGATGCCTTTGGCTAACAAAGCTATCTTCTTCTCATCACTGCCGGCTGAAACCTGGACATGTGTGTAGTCTTTGGGCTTGGTTACGATTACCCTCTGGTAAACTAACGTAGCTATGGAAAATCACAATTTTTAATGGGTAAATCAACTATAAATGGCCATTTTCAATAGCTATGTAAACGTTTACCAGAGGGTAATTACAACCATACACAGTTCAATCTGCGACGCCTACAATCTTGATGCTGAAAACTGATATTAAAAGAAACCATTAAGTGAACTATTGGACACAGCAGCCAATACCGTGGAACCGTTATGTCAAACTGTAAGAAAACATTCTGTTTGCCGTGGTATGAGCGCTTTTTGTTCATGGACTCAAATGTGAGACGGCATTTTCTGAAACACTGGATTGTACAATGTACAGTATTTTGATCTATCCTCTCAATGTGCCGAAGACCCTTTCATAGAGCATGTGTTTTTCACAATGTGGAAGTGGAAAGAACGAAAACAAATCAACTTGGAATGTGCAAGGACCTTTCCATGGATATAAATGCAAGAAATAGGAAGTGCGTTGCATCAACGTATCGTGGGAACCCAATTTGTCCATGAACATACTGTCCGGCAACTATATCAGTATATAAGCAATCGAACATGACACATGTGTAGATGACTTTCCAAGTAAAAGTGACACCTCTCTCTTATCGTGTGTCTTTGAAATTTGCAGGAGAGCCCAAAAAGAATCTGTATGCACGGAATCTGTATGCACGTTACTGGTACTGCAAAAAAATGATTTCCTGCATTTTGCCCCTTCAACCAATGCATTGAGTGTATTATCGCTTCTAAAAAGGGTTCAGCCATGTTTTTGTTGGTGTTAAACCTCTCACTCTCATCCAACTGGGCCAAATTCGCACAAGAATTCCTGCTATGAAGACTTGTTGCGGGCAACGTTTACATACTACATGTGTATCTGTATCTTATGTCTGCAGTGGCAAATAGGATGTATGTGTACAATAAAATAAAGACACATACATTGGTTATTCTTATGCATGCAAAAATGTGCATATATATATACACATGTATATCATTTTATCAATAATATACATTGTTGTATACATATATATATATATATATATCACTCTATATCATGTCTCTCAAATTCACGGATCCTGATTGCTGATATATGTTGTTTTATCCATCCCTATATCAGGTTTCGAGAGTCGGACGTCCTCTCCACGTGGAACGCGCCTCGCAGATAAACGCTGCTCCGTTTTTTTCTCCATCAGGGCTTTCACCAAGGAACATGGAAGTTCTGGGATCCTGGGAGCCATGGGATAACACGCTATGGAATAAGCTATGAATAACCTATGAATGTATGGGTGTGTATATATATAGAGAAAAACAAATATATATATATATATATATTATGTAGGATTATGTGTGTATATAGATGGACATATACGTATCACTGGATCATATGATTTCTGTGTTTCCTCAAAACACACATGGGGGAATGATGGGGAACACCTCATCTATACTTGGATTACTTGGCGAATGTAACGGAAAAATAAACCTACCATTTGGGGATGGTTATTTTACCACACAGAAAAACTGTGATTTTGGGAATGGTTCATACCACATTTTGGCAGTACATCCATCTGGAGAAAGCCCTTCTCCAGTAGTGATTTCTCCACCTCAGCCTGGGGTCAACGTGGTCAGTCTTTGGTAGTCCACAAAAAATGGTCATCTTTTGCTGTTTATTCAATGGGAATTCCAGGATCCTAAAATGGAGGCACTGTACCATATAAGGCCATATTTTGGGGATATATCCCCTTACATAGGCCTTACATAGGCCTTATATATGGTAGGTACCTCCACTTTAGGATCCTGAAATTCCCATTGATTTATGGTTATGTTCAATTTATAGCAAAAAACTATAGAGGATTAAACTACCTATCCAAGGTCGAGGGATGTCAACCAACAGCTTCGCAGTCTTTTTATCGCGTGCGATCTACAGAATCCCGGATGTGTTAGCAGTTGAAGATGCTCAAATGACCTGTCCGCATTTTTCCAGATGGCCTGGGTCAATTTGTTTTTCCATAGCCCTAGAATCGGATTTCCATACCCCCAAATGTACCCTTGGGTCTGAATGACCTGAATGACCTGTCCCCATCTTTCCGAGCAAAATCCTGGTCGCTTGAGAACGGGATTCCCACTGATGTTCTCCCAATATATGAAGTTAAGAGTAGTATAACCCATGGTGGATCTTAGATACCTGTCGAAAAAAAATAGCTGGTTAGTAACTTTAGTACACTTACCATTGATAGCAACAGATTAAAGTACTAAAGTATCTAACCAAGGTTGACCCAGAATTGTGACAGGTCAAATTTTCCCAAGCTTCGAGTCAAAGTTGGGCTCAGTGTTGGCAACTTGACCTGGGCGCCAGCCACCCAAAAGGGGTTGTCTGGAACTAGGCTACAGTACCATACAGTACCTAAAAAAATATGCAGTTTCAAAGAGAAAATGATGATTAACAAGGAGTTACTGAAGTATGTGAAGTATGCAGTATATTTTTGGTTAACCATCATGTTCCCTTCTTCAGTGGCCGTTTGGGGGGTATACCACCGGCGTCAGAAAGCTGCCCCATTTCCAAAGATCAACAATCCAATATTGGACTTAGAAGAACGTATAGTATAATGAATACCATGGGATGTCGGATAAATAACTATGTAATATATATATATATAATCATATATATATAATCATACATATATATATATAATCATACAATGAATCAGTCACATATAACATACTACATATCCATACATATCCAACATTATCCAACACTATGATATGGGGCAAAGCGCCCCGAAAAGGCCCCATTCAATGGATTGGTTTGAGGGGAAAATCTATGGTTTCCGGTTAAGATTTTCCCTTAAGCCAATCCATTGACCCATGCCGCCCTCTTATCGTAAATATGAAACCATTGAAATTTTGGGGTACCGGGGGTACCCTATTTTTGGAAAAACCCATATGCCAAAGAATCCCCTAAGTTCAATTCACATGTGAGTTCACCAAACAGTCCAAATACATCCAGAATTCGCAGCTACTGTTGGTGTAAAAAATAACAAACCCTTTTTGTGCGACTGACTCACTTCAACCATCTTCAATCAATGCACTGCCTTTGAGATCTAACACTGGAAACCTTAAACGAAACCCTCGTTTAGCATTGGATTTGTTCACATTGGGACGCAAAATTGAGGAGCATTGTTGTGCTGAGCCCTGGAAATTGAGGGCACGTTGTCCAATGTCCAACTCTGAACAACTTCAAGTTAACCCCAACGGAACAGTAGCAGTCCTGGAAAAAAACACCATGGGATTCAAGTTGATTCAGAGTCAGATAGTGCCTGTATGTGCCTGTAAAGACAGATCAAACCTATACAAATATATTCTTCTGGGGAATGATTCCATTTACCAGCTATTTTACTCACCGTCCCAGGTTTCTTCACACCACGTAAAAAAAAAATGGAGCATTCTTCAAATTTGTCGAAATGTCATTCCATGAAACATCATTACTAGTTTGATATATGTTCCCAACTACTAGTTGACATAAAATGTAAACTGGTTGGTTAAGAACGGGATCTAATACATTGGGTAGTATAATCCCCAAACAAATCACCAACCAACAGGGGTTTTGAACACTGCTCATTGTTTGCCAAAGCGACAGTAGAGAACAAAGATGTTGTTCGTCCCTCGAAAAGGCCGGCTACCCACCAGCATCTCATAGAGCATCACCTCAGAATCGCTCTGGAGAACTGGAGAAAAAACATCGACAAACGATGAAACAATTGCCATTTTTGTTTTTTTTTAGATAACCCGGAAAAAAAAACCATGTTGATCTATGTTGCGCCATGCTTTTTTTTGCTGGCTTGCTTATAATTATTCCTTTTCAGAGAGATCACCAGCCAACTACTAAGCTTGGCCGCAGGGGATCCTCATAACCATTTAAGTTGCGCCGTTCATGGACGATGTTCATATCCCATGCCCGGACATAGCCCAGAAACATGGCTTAAATATTGATTATGTATGGATACATATCTGGTTGGTGGTTTCAACCCCTCTGAAAACTATGAAAGTCAGTTGGGACTATGACATTCCCAACTGAATGGAAAGTCATAAAATTCATGTTCCAAACCACCAACCAGATATTATACATATTACCCTCTGGTTATTTAACATGGCCATGGAAAATGGCCCATAGAAATAGATGTTTTACCTATTAAAAATGGATATATATTGGTTTATATTCCCCGATAATGGTTGATTTATACGTTTGGTTCTACATGTCTTTTCCAAGCCATCCATCTCTCCGATCAAAGTGCCAACCCCCCAGTCAGCCCAGTTCGTTTCGGCTCAAAGCTCGCCTATCCAACTTTAGGTATGTATATCCACCATAAATCCAACAGTTATTGTACCTGTACTTACTGTATTTCTATAAATATATATATAATATAATATATATATATATAATTATATGTATATAACTATCTGTATATAACTATCTGTATATAACTATATGTATATAACTATATGTATATAATTATGTATATATATATATAACTATATATACAACAGAAACTCAACAACGTTTGGCTTCCAAGTGACGCCCATGGCCCAGATGTCACTTTTCTGCGTCAGCTTCCCATCAAACCTTGGCTCTCAACTGGTTTGTCTGAAAATGTATCCAATATATCAACTGGTATGTAAATATTGGACAATTATATGTAAATATTAGAAAATGTATCCAAAACTTGGCTCTCATTCTATGTAAATATTAGACAATTGGTATATCAACTGGTTTTGCTGTATATTAACTGGTATATACATGTATATACTGATATTGTTGTTTTACTCAACTGGTATCTAATATTTGCAGAGTAACCAATCATAGATAAACCAGATCATCAATCTATATATATATATACTGTATATCGATTAATTACAGATATTCTCCAGTAGATTAACATAGGCCCTGTCATGTAAGGGTTGGAAGATAAGTTTCTACTCAAAAATGACTGATTTTTAGGGTCTATGTTAATTTCTCAGAGGGTACACCCCGAAATGACTGTTGAAATGGGAAAGTTGTGATGATTGATCGTCAAATTTTGGGGTACCCCATTTTAAGACAAATTCAGCCAAACATAGGTCAAATTGGCAATGGGAAATGATCTATTAATGGAGATTTTTGCTGTATAGCTGGGAAGTCTTGATCCCAATGGTTTGATGGGAAATTGGCTTGATGGTTTGATGATCATCATCTAAACATGGTAAAAAAAAAAAAAAAACATCAATTTCCTGGTAGCTTGAAGATCTTGATCACATCCCAAACATGAAGAGAATATAACAGAATGGGCTATGTTGTGTGATACGTGGGATGTTCACCTACCCAATTTATTGAGGTCCTTATTTCTTTTGTGTTTGTTGCCGTCGGGTGATTGCCTCTTATTGTCTCTTTGGTCTTGGCCAATGTGCCACTGTTGCCATAATTTTTGCCTACCCTCTGGTAATTTAACATAGCTATTGAAAATGGCCATTTATAGTTGATTTACCCACTAAAATTTGTCATTTTCAATAGCTATGTTAGTTTACCAGAGGGTAATTCTTGCTTTATTTGTTGCTTCAGGTATTTTGCTTGAGCGTTTGCAGCGCAGATTCACTTCTAGACCATCACTTCTTCAATGGTTCCATCCAAGTTTGGATGATAGGTCAACTATTCAACTGATATCTGTTTTTTTTTCACATCAAAACATCAATCCTGAATCAGGTTTTCTGAATCATCAGCACATTCTGAATCTGATTTTTTGCGACGTGCCACGACGTCCATGGAGCCATGGCCGAGTTCAACCGCGGATGAAATCTTTAGTTCCGTTTCGGTTATTTCATGGTGGTTTAATATGGTTTAATGGGATTTAATGGTGATTTAATATGGTTTAATGGGATTTAATGGTGATTTAATATGGTTGAATGGGATTTAATGGTGATCTAATATGGTTTAATAGGATTTAATGGTGATTTAATATGGTTTAATGGGATTTAATGGTGATTTAATATGGTTGAATGAGATTTAATGGTTATTTAATATGGTTTAATGGGATTTAATGGTGACTTAATATGGTTTAATGGGATTTAATGGTGATTTAATATGGTTTAATGGGATTTAATGGCGATTTAGTATGGATTAATGGAATTTAATGGTGATTTAATATGGTTTAATGGGATTTAATGGTGATTTAATATTGTTTAATGGGATTTAATGGTGGTTTAATATGGTTTAATGTGATTTAATGGTGATTTAATATGGCTTACTGGGGTTTAATGGTGATTTAATATGGTTTAATGGGATTTAATGGTGATTCAATATGGTTTAATGGGATTTAATGGTGATTTAATATGGTTTAATGGGATTTAATGGTGATTTAATATGGTTTAATGGGATTTAGTGGTGATTTAATATGGTTTAATGGGATTTAATTGTGATTTAATATTGTTTAATGGGATTTAATGGTGATTTAATATGGTTTAATGGGATTTAATTGTGATTTAATATGGTTTAATGGGATTTGATGGTGATTTAATATGGTTTAATTGTATTTAATGGTGGTTTAATATGGTTTAATGTGATTTAATGGTGATTATAGGGGTTCAATCAACCAAAAAACAGGGATGTTAGTGGATATATCTGGTAAACTGACATAAGTATGGAAAATCACCATTTTCAAGCTGGGTAAATCAACTATTTCGACTGGGCCATTTTCAATAGCAAACTGTTTGTTTACCAGAGAGTAATCCGTATTGTGATAATCCATATCTGGCTGGTGGTTTTAACCTACCCCTCTGAAAAATGTGAGTGAAAGTCAGTTGGGATGAGTGAAAGTCAGTTGGGATGACATGGCATTCCCAACTGAATGGAAATTCATAAAATTCATGTTCCAAACCACCAACCAGTAATTATGCACCACAGATATTTGGAGGTTTCCTAAGTCATGGGGATAGCCCAAATCATCCAAGTCATGGATGACCATTAATTGCTTAGTAACAGTATTGAAACCCATGGTGACGACTGGGGATCCCCCATGACTCTTAAGAAACCTCCATATAGCAATAGTATGCAATAGTTATCATTGTTGAAACCCCCATTAGTGATATAGTCCTACACATTCCGATATTTCGATATTATTCCATATTAGCGGTTGCAAGCTGCTGCTACAGCTGCTGTGGGCTGGTGGGGGATAATTGGCCCATAGTTTAACTCAAAGTGATTCCAACACTTTTCATGATAATATATTTGATGATCAAACCGGGGTCAACACCAATGGATCAAGAACCCAGATTATCATTATAATATATTTGATGATCAAACCGGGGTCAACACCAATGGATCAAGAACCCAGATTATCATTATCATGTATTTGATGATCAAACCGGGGTCAACACCAATCGATCGAGGGTATACAAACCAAAACAACTATTCAACTATTATAAAAACAACATAGTTATTATTATTCCATATTACTATTCCTACTTAATCAAATTATATTCCATATTCACTTAAGATATTGATACGTTTGTCATTGTCCAAAACCTGGATCCAGTCGGATATAGCTCAGAAACCCTTCAGGTGAGAGGTAAGCTGGACTTCCTTTCACTGTGGCAGGCCCGCCAAGCGCCGCCTGAGTTGCGACGGTTGCCTGGTGATTGAGTCACCAAGTTATATGAAGGTGAGTAACTTAGTAACTCCCAAAAAGATAGAAAAAACAAACTATTCATCATATGTTTTTTCAGAAAGTGATTTTACTTTTCAATATTTTTGGAGATTCCTATGTTTGGGATCATCATTCCAGGTAGCACAGAGATTGAATCATATTCGAAAACAAATTCTTTCAATCTGGACCCTCAAAAGTCAAGAGACTGATATCTTGTGCCCCTTATCCAAGGACATGTGGGTACCCATCAGCAAAGATTCGCGACTCGCTTGAACCACTGAAATGGTGGTGGATGGATGACAAAATGACCCAGTCGTCGCCCAACGAACCTGTTCTGATGACCATTGGGCCATGGTCTAGGGTCGTTTCAAAGAAACCATACCGTGGAACACAGCTAACGGTATCTGGCCGTTTCTGGCTACATCTAATGTAACGGGTCGTCCTTCAACCAGGTTTGTTGTCCTAATGGAAACAAAACGGAAAAATCGTTCTTTCAGAATTGCTGTATTTGATACTATTTGCTGCAACATTGGGAAGAAACCATCATTTTGCTGTTTGAAGTAATGCGCAGTCAATGCCAAGACAGCACCCAAGCTCAGCCGTGATTTTCCTATGAGGAATACATACTAGTGCTCGTGCTGTTAACCCGCCAAAACATCTGCAACGCCCCATTTGTTTGGCAAAAATTTGAAACTCGGTAGGAAAACCATGAAAAACACCATTTGTAACCTGCCTTTCTATAGCTTGGATTGCCCAGCAAGACCTGGAATCATACTGTAACTGAGTTTAGGCCTGTGCAGATCCTTAAAACAAAACAACATGTTCTCCTCAGATCTTGTTGTCCATCCCCACAAATCCATCAGCCTCCATCCCAACACCACATTGTTTTGAACCATCAAATCATTCTATACTTTCCATTCCACAATATCAATCCCAAATATAGAAATCCAACTCTATACTCACAATATGTTCTATAGAAATCCAACTCTATAATCAGAATATTTTCTCACACTATTACATACTCACTATATTTTTCCCAAATATATGTGTGTATATATATATACCCCCAAATCATCCAAGTCATTAGACCATGAATTAGTTGAAAAATAACAAGGTTTTCTTGGGGATCCCCCATGCCTTTAGAAACCTAGCCCACATACAGAAATCCAATTAATCATAGTTATATACTTATGTACAATATATCATTGGTTTAATCCCACATACCTATACTCATATCAATCTCGAGTATAGTTATCCGAGTCTATACATACCACAATATCATACAATATCCCATAGATCTGGGTAAATTACGGTAAATTCAAATAATTCACTAACCTGAAATAAGGTGATTGTGGGATGCTTATCTATACATTCAGCATCATTCCAGGCTTCGGTCGCGACGTGAGGTCCTTACAATTGTAGCTCATCCGACTAGTTCTAAGTGGATAACCACATTTAAAAAAAAAACTTACCATAAGCGTGGGATGAGCCAAGGGTCTCAGCCCCACACCCCATCACATATATACACGTATATATATATACTATCCATGGCGAAAGAAATGCCGCGGTTTTGTTAGTGGTTTTGTTGAGCCAAGGATCCCAGGATCCGGATCCTGCACCTGCTCATATGTATACTAAGTGGGATGAGCCAAATATAGATGATATGTATGTATATATATATATATGTATATGTATATATATATATTATATAGTAAAGATCTCAGCCGCACCTGCTCATCAAAAATTTCGGCCAAGCCAAAATCCACCAGGAGGACGTGTGGCTGCGACTTGCCCTGCAAGGCATCTGATAGCACGAAGGGCGTCAGGAGCATCGTGTTGCCAGGCTTCCTGGGCCAAGGGTTTGGGGGCATCCATGGTTGATGTAAAATTACCCTCTGATAATTTAACATAGCTATTAAAAATGGCACATTTAAGTACATTTATAGATGGTGATTTTCCATAGTTTTTTGTATGTTTACCAGAGGGTAAAAAATATCAATAGATGAATAGTTATGAATAATTAACATTAGTTAACTATTAGTTCCTGCTAATAGTTAGTTATATAATAACATTTGAATTCATGAATTCTAAGTCCATAATATGAATAATATGGTACTATGATTATTAGTCCCATGAGTATTTCAGGACGAGCTATACAAAAAAATAGGTCTAAGAATCATGGCGTGTTGCAAAAACCCTGTAGATGGGGTGAAGACCTTGGCGCAACTTTTTTTCAGTGTTCGTTAAACTGGTTACCCGGCCTGGTAATTTGTTACATAGCTATTGAAAATGGCCATAGAAATAGTGGATTTACCCAGCTACAAAATGGTGATTTTCCATAGTTATGTGGCAGTTTACTAGAGGGTAAGAAGGGGATTCCCAGGTCATGGATTACGTTAATAACCTCCAGAAGCAGAAAAACTAAAAGGGGGTTGGAAGACTGCGAAGACTTGGATGGGCACTAGAAATAGCACGTGAGACCAATATGTATACTGGTTGGTGGTATACCTACCCCTCTGAAAAATATTAGTCAGTTGGGATTATTATTCCCAATATATGGAAAAATAAAAAATGTTCAAAACCACCAACCAGTATATATAATATATACAGTTATAATTATATATATATTCTGTGTAACCCCATCCCATCCTATTCTTGCAGTAACTACACCCCGCATAGGAACCAAAAATGAAGAGAACAAATACTCAATCACAGAATCTATGGGTATGTCATATTACAATAGAATGAACCATAGACAAGTGGTTATTGTCCCATAGATGGGTACAGTACACTCATGGTAACCCAGGAGATTCTTCTGGATCTTCCAGAGTTAAACAACAAAATAATTCTTGATGAATGGCCGACATTGAACCGTTGGTAAATGAGTTCTATTATGGGACATTGATCAACTTAGTTATAACCAATGTCATTGGGACATTAGTTATTAACCAATAACTATCCAATAACTATAACATTCCCATTACTAATTAGTTCTATTATGGGAATGTCATTGGTTAATAACTAATAGTTCTTGTGCATGTTGTGGGATCTTCCGGGACGATTGTTGTCGTAAAACGGACAGTCGCCAGGTACAAAGGGATGAAAACGACAGAATCTTACGCCAGAGTCTGGGTCAACCCCCATGGCAATCTCAATCTCCATAGATCATAGAATACACTGAATGGTTTTCCACATTCAACCGTCAATCTTGGTTTTATTTCTGATATGAACTGCATTCTTCAAAAAAAATAACTGACATAACATAACACTGACAACATTAGATAACACATATGATAAAACCCACATGGCCAATCAGCCAGATACCCTGCAAAAAAATGGACCAAATTCTTTGCTGGTGAACGTAGATATTCCCATGTTCATAGCAAAAGACTAGTTAGGATTAGTTTCATTTACCCTCTGGTAATTTAACATAGCCATGGACAATTGCCCATTTATAGATGGTTTACCTATGGTTTACCTATTAAAAATGGTGATTTTCCATGTAAGATTGACCTAGCTCATGGTTGCTTTTCTCATTCCCAGTTCTTACAAACGTTCAAGAAATCCATCGGGGCGATGGAGAATTCTGTAGCTCCGTTGATGTTCGGAGATTGAACACAGCCATCCACCTTTGATTAGCAGAGGCTATATATCTCATAAAATGTTCATAATTATGATGTATCTATTGTTTATCCAATTATTTATGATCCCATAGAAATCATGTTTTCCTTATTATTGTCCAAATAATCCTATGATATATCTATTTTTATATCCAATGTTTCTTTTTTTCCATTATTCTATGGGATCATGATCCCATAAATCTTTGTCAAACATTGGTATTGCATCACACTTCCTATGATTCATGGATAAAAAAAATGCATGCATTAATTTGTTGGTAGATCTATTATTATCCAATTTGTTCTCATCATTGATAATCCCTATCGTGGGTTAATCATAACTGTAATAATCTATGGATATCAAAATCTATGAATTGTCTGTAATAATCTATGAATCATCTATAGATCATAGGGAGACAATGATCTGCATATCATCTGGGTCAATGAAATCATATTTCAACCTGAATTCTGCCATTTGGGGATACTTAGCCCTAAAATAAACCATGATCCCAGGCTTCGGGAGGGCTAACTTCGGTCCTTCAAATACCCAGACGATTGTAACGCCCGAATCCATGCATCGCTTCGTCGCTTTTTTTTTTCGAGGCGCAGGTCGCAATGGATGACTCCACGGGAGTGCATGTAGTCCAAAGCTGATGCGACCTGGCAGTTCCGCAAAGAGAGTTACTGAGTACGGTTGGTACCAATGGTCAAGCCATGTCGACCCCAAACCTCGAATTCTGCTGGCTGGTGGGATAAGATTCATGCTGCTAATGATGGTTAAATAACTTACTGGTGCTTAGCAGGGAATGAGGGAATGATCCACAGTAACTATCAATAATCATCCCAGCCACCCCCATTCCCATCCATTCCCTACTAAGCACCAGTAAGATAATGATAGATAATGTATAATAATGATTAATCATGATAAATGGGAAATTCGGAACCCTAAAATGGAGGTGCCCCATATAAAGCCATAGAACTTGGCAAATGCCTCCAGTAAATCGGTTCCTGAAATGGCCATAGAACTGGTACCCTGGTGACCTGCCAAATAGATCCAGCATAGGCATCCATGGAGAATAATCCCCACAAATGGCATAGGTTTTGATTCATATCCATCCATTTTCATCCATATCCATATCCATATGATCTGGGTATAATATTTCAGAAACCTGAAATAAGGCACTTTTGGGGATACTTACCCCTTACTAATCATCATTCTAGTGAGGTTGCGGTGAGGTCGTTTTATAATTTACCCAGATATGATGGATGTTATCCATGTGCCTATTAATTAGACGTACTTCACGGAAACGAGGCTATAAAAATACATTGATGCCTTCCAATATTCAGCATGCCATAGCAGCATCCCCGGCCGTCCCGCCCCTTGCCTGCAGGGCGGCCTCTTGGACCCATAGATGCGGCAACATCCTGAAGAACATGTGGATGAAATGTGCATGTGGGGGTTAGCATCCGCCAAAAAAAACATGGTTTGCCTGATGTGGATGGGTTGCAATGGGTTACGATGGGTTCATTTGACAAAATTTGGCTGAGACTTAAATCGGCTGGAAGTGCCCAAATACCATCATGGGCTGGCTTACAAGTCAAAGGGATATACGTTGTGAACTGTATGAAGCCAGCGATAAGGAACATTGGCTGAAGGTCTTCGAGCTACGGTTCAGGTGCCAGTGCAGCCGTTGGAAATTTGAATCAGGCAAATATAACTCAAGTCAAGTGACGTGGTGATAAATTTTGTTCAAAACTCTGGAGTGCAAACATGACCGAGATGTGTGGGAAAAGGATTAAAAGGAGACATCAAGGGTGGGTGAAAAAAACACGGAGGTGCTGAATTTGGACCGAAACTGAACAATCACGGAAGAATTACAAATGTATTCAATTGTATTCAGGTGATGCAGATGGAGACCACATACTCACTTCAGTTTTGATTACAACATTAATCAAAGAAAAACAGTGGCCGATCAAACACCTTGAGTTTGAGTCCATTCATTTGATAAAGCATGATAAAGCCCTATCCTTACAGGAGAGGTTGCGTGATTCCACATGTGGACTTATGGCACCAAAAAACAAGCATGAATCAAATTGTGGGTGGACTAATCATTCCTCGGATCACACCAAATGAACTCTGGTTGGTGGTTTCAACCCCTCTGAAAAATATTAGTCAATGGGAAGGATTATCCCATATATTATGGAAAATAAAAAATGTTCCAAAACCACCAACCAGTAACTTATTGAAGTGGCCAATAGGTACTGAAGTTTCGCTGATTAATGTTGCCTGAATCGGAACACTGGCATGAACGATGTTGCAAGAACCAAATACCAAATACATGGACACATGACAAAGGAAGAACTGCCCATAGGTTCGTGCCCCTAATGCTATATAGATCCTAACCGGTCCACTACCGCCAAAAGAACCAAACCATTGGCTAAATTGCCACGCATTCAATCTTTACATCGCTGAGGAATTCGTGCTTCCATATTTTTCAGCGAGCTGAGCAATGTGACATCGGTGCCAGTTCCAGAGATCACAAGGGAATACCACAATTGACAATCCAACAGTTGACCCCTGGCAGTCAAGCAACAGTGGCCTTGGGGTATCCCCATTTTGAGACAAACCCAAATGTTGGCAACTGTACCCTCTGGTAATTTAACAGTTTGCTATTGAAAATGGCCATAGAAATAGTGGACTTTCCCATGAAAAATGGTGATTTTCCATAGCTATGTGGCTGTTTACCAGAGGGTATCCCAAAAAATATCATGATCCATCACCATCCCCTCTGTGATTGCTGACATATCTCCTGCATTTTCTTGGGTCGACTTGGACGTCTCATACTGTAATCAAACACGGAAATGAAACATCTGATGGATATATGCATATGTTCACGCCATATATATATATATCCATATGATACAGTATATATGTATATATCAATATAATACAGTATATATATATCCACATAATATATATATATATCAATATAATACAGTATATATATATATATCCATATATATATATTTATATTTATATCCATATAAATGTAATCAAAAAAAATGACTTGTCCATTTGATCTGCCAAAACAATTCGCCGAGGTGATCGCCGAGTGTCTGATTGGAATCCAAGGTCTCTCTGATGACGGAAGCCAAGTCGCCGCCTGGACTCATCGAACGAGGTGAAGCTGGCTACATGGTATATGGCAGTGTGTCAAAACCTTGTACCCCTGGTGAACATCAAAATAGCTGGTAAATGGATGTTCATTCCCCTAAAAATGGTATTAATAGGTATTGATCCATACCCATATGGATATGAAAAAGTCAACATGACGTTAGATGGATAAATGATGTATAAGGATAACTGATTGTGGTATCTACCACATGAAAAAAACTATATCTATGGGTTTTATGGATATAATTATAGTTAAAGATAGTGAAAGGGGTATCTAAACCAACTTGAACAGTGTTCAAAACCTTCTGTCATTCCACCTGTATTGGGTAGTATAACCGACACTCGAACTAATCATCAATCAACAGGGGTTTTGAACACTTCTCATGTTTTGGGTTTGTGATTTCAACGGAGTGGTTGAAGGGAAAATCTTAGCCAGATACCATGATGTGTCTGAAGTTTTTCTCTTGAAATGTAAGGGTTTCCGATGTCAATTTTCTTATGATTAGGAAAATGTGTGCCAAGAACCCTTTTCCAATCAAGCATGTACTGACGACTTGGAATACAGCCTACATGCCTCTATCAATCAAATCAACATCAATGAACAACAAGAATTGATATAGAGGTATCATGCAAAGTGGGTACTTTCTGTTGAGACAAAAATTTGGATGCCAAGCCGACCAGATCCAGCTGTCTGGCACGTGTCGCAACCGAACTCGACGCCTCTCCTTATGCCTAAGCTTGAGTGTATTGAACCATCAATTCACCTGTTGTTTGACCAAATATTGGGCTCCAGATTGAGCTCTTTGAGTGACTCAGCAGTCATATGCTGAATTTGATTCAGTCACTTCCTTTTTATATCCTCAAACAACTGGTGATAAATGGCATTCAATGACTATACATGGTCGTTTTGTGTCACCCAAATTCACCCTATCATGAAAAGTATTTTCTTTTAAAAGAACATTGGTGGTGAGAAAAAAAACATCTGAGCAAGCTGCTTTTGAGGCATTCCCCCTGGACACACCATTCACCTTTGTGCTTATGAATCTCAGGCATGTTGGATCGCAGCTACTCACATTCCATCATGATCAATTTCAGCCATTCGGCTCCGTTGACTAAGTGCATTCTCAAAGAAAAAATTGGAGAGTGAGGTCATCAAAAACATTCAGAATGTGGGTAAAACATGGTAAAACAATAATAGACCATCCCCCAGTCATCACCATTTTTATAGCTACTGTGTGTTCCATTCCAAAAAATGGCTGGTAAACATGGCATTGTTTTAACCACATATAACCAGAAGATTCCATGAGTTCTAGTCCTTTCCCCATGAGTTTCTCCTTCGGCGTAGTCCATGACGATATGCAAGGACTCTTCAGACTCAAAGGCCTGGCGCTGAAAGAGAACCCAGCGCCTTTCAAGCCCGGGGGGATAGCTACCAATAGCTTGTAGAATCCCAGTATATCCCTATATGCATAATATAGTATAATAGTGTTTAATAGTGTATAATAGTGTTTAATAGTGTATAATAGTGTATAATAGTGTATAATAGTGTATAATAGTGTATAATAGTGTATAATAGTGTATAATAGTGTATAATAGTGTATAATAGTGTATAATAGTGTTTAATAGTGTATAATAGTGTATAATAGTGTATAATAGTGTATAATAGTGTATAATAGTGTATAATAGTGTATAATAGTGTATAATAGTGTATAATAGTGTATGATAGTGTATAATAGTGTATAATAGTGTATAATAGTGTATGATAGTGTATACTAGTGTATAATAGTGTATAATAGTGTATACTAGTGTATAATAGTGTATAATAGTGTATAATAGTGTATAATAGTGTATAATATAGTACTAATACCTATATATATATAATTGTATATTATATATATATGCAATTATTGTATATTATTATATTGGTGTACGTTTCAGATAATTTATACACGGACATGTTGTAAGGATATGATATGAGGAGACTCTCTGTAGTCGTGAGGTCACTGCTTGTGCAACTGCTTGGGAATGAAGCCACCGTTTCTACAAACAACTCAAAGTTTCAATAGAATATATAATGTCAATGTTAGTAAAGCAATAATAAACCACCCAGATGTTAATAGTTTATACATGTTTATACCACCAATATATATATAGTGTGTGTATATATATGGTAATATTTGATTGATTAAAGATGACTTTGGATGTGACACATGTTTGTTCAGTCCAAGATTGGGAACATGCAAGAAGTCAGTAGCCTCCCCCTTCAACAAATATGAATGGAAATCTCCTACAATGGGGGTACCCCTTTATCGCTGGATGGTTTATTTCATGGAAAATCCACAAAAAAAAGATGATAACTGGGGGTACCCTCTGGTAAACTAACATATCTAACATAACTATGGAAAATCCCAATTTTCAATGGGTAAATCCACTATAAATAGCCATTTTCAATAGCTATGTTAGTTTACCAGAGGGTACCCCCATTTTAGGAGCTCCCCAAATGGATAGAAATGGGGTATTCCGACTCGGTTGTTTCCTGAAGCCACAAGTGCCAAAATCTACCAGGATCATGACCAACGTTCAATATTGGCCCCGAATAACAAGCTCCACGCTCCAGTGGCATCATGTTTTGGGAAATATCCAAATTCTATATAGTTGTTCTCACATTTATTGATTGAAAATCCACCTTATGTTGGTGAAACTGTCAACTCCCTCCTTTTGTTGATCATTGTTGATCTTTTATCCTCAGTATGAAACACCGAAACGGGCCCAAACAATAATGGTTTCATCCCCATCCATGGCTTCGGCTTCGTGTTGGGATTGACCACCTGCAGTGAATCGGCCTGGCCCCGCCTCAAAGACGCGAACGATGTGTGGGTGATCCAGGGATTTCAACATGTTCACCTGAAAAGGTGGTGGCACGCCAACTTCGGCACATATTCAAGTCTTCGGTTCATCCGAGTGTCACTACTTCTCTAGTTTTGTCGACATAGTTGTCTGATCCACATTTTTCGGCGTTACATCCCTGAGAAATTGGGCTCGTTAGAGAAAGGACGCATTATGAATAACATACAATATGTGTATACAAATTATAGAAACATGTTCCTCACAAATTATTGTGTTCCTCACAAATGATTGTCATTCGCACGGTTTCTCGTGCAGCTCTTGGTTGCTTGCTCGCAACCATCTTCTGGTGGTGCTTTCTGACAGGGCGAGATGGCCAATCTACCAGAGCCTCAGTTGATCCATAGTTAGAAATGGAATACAAGTACGGACATTATATGAATATATGATATACTTACTGGTTGATGGTATACCTACCCCTCTGAAAAATATGAAAGTCAATGGGAAGGATGACATCCCATATACTGTGGAAAATAAAACATCTTTGAAACCACCAAGCAGCTTAAATCTTTATATACCAGTGTTTCTCCAATTTTGATGGGTAAATTGATGGTCGCGGGCAAGAATCTTTTCAGGAACAGTGCATCCAGTACGATGACTTTGCCATGGAAGGTCACAACTCTGTTTCAGAATGTCAAAATAGGCAGGGCTCCGAAGGAGTGTGCGAGGTGTGTGATCTGCATCCTTGTTTTTATTTTTGCAAGACCACTATAACCCCATCTAACTATAGTTATAACTACTATAAACCCTAGTTATTGTAGTTATAAACCAACTTAGCTATCTTGGGGGCCCCACATTGTACACTTTTTTTTTCCCCCCATCCCAGATTGCCATGACTTGTGCTTTTGAGGTAAATCAAGGGTTGTGCGTCCCTCCACTCACCACTGTAGATTCAAACCAATCTGCGGCCCGCGGCCTGTGGCTTCCTACGGCTTTCAGCTCTGCTGTTAGATTTAAATTAAAAACACACACTCACACACACTAAGTTTCGCATGGGACCTGAAAAATGGGGGTTCAACGATTATTCTACTACTAAGTGTCGCCCTTGTTGGCCCCAAAGATTATTTACAGTAGGGGGTACTTTTTCTGTGTCTTGACTCAATGATTTAGTTTTCAGGATCAACTCATCTCGTGTTCATTAACCGGTGCAACCTGCCTCAGAACCTTTGCTCCCCGTCAAATTTCAGCATGCAACATTTTATTTATGGAAGGCCCTTCACAGCTGTCACATCCTCAGTGTGACCCGGACAAAGAAACATCATTTGTAAGACACGTGTTTATTCCAGAATGACCAAACACTATTCACAAAACAAACGGACGGATATTTTGACATCGGTGAATACACCTTGGGTACCCTTGGGTAGCTAAACATGGATCTACGACGGAGACTCTAGCAGCCACCGGAGTAGATTTCCTTGTCCCCACTTTGCTGTGTGCAATTTAGTCGCATTTTTGCCTGATTCAAGTGCTGTTTTGTTCTTGGGTAGTCTTCCCATGATTATGATAATTATGTGTGATATTCCAAATCTTATACCGACCTTCCCAAATGCCATAAGTTTTCCAACCGTTCTTAGTCTCACCTAAAAGTCAAACACACTCAAACCATTAGCAATCAGCAAAAAAAATCCAAGTTTACGGATTTTTATGGATCATACTCCCATTTTTTCCCCATTTTTATGGATCATACTCCCATTCTAACATATTCTAACATGACTATTCCCCATTTTTTCACCAGTTTTCTTGGCCTTGCGGCCTTGCCGCGGCCTCGCCTCATCCTCCACTTGTTCTCCTGCAACGCTCAACTGACTCTTGGGCACCTCGCAGGCGCAATCTGGGCATAGCCATGGCAGCAATTGAGCAGCGACAAAAAAAATGTCCCGAAACTGATATTTTACCGGAATATACATGAATCAATCAATCAATCAATCTATCTATCTATCTATCTGTCTGTCTGTCTGTCTGTCTATCTATCAATCTCTCTATCTATCTATCTATTTATCTATCTAATCTAATCTAATCTAATCTAATAAAATCTAATCTAATCTAATAAAATCTAAACTAATCTAACCTAATCTAATCTAATCTCACAAAAATCTAAACTAATCTAACCTAATCTAATCTAATCTAATCTAATCTATTTAATCTATCTGATCTATCTATCTATCTATCTATCTATTTATCTATCTATCTATCTATCTATGTATCTATTTATCTATCTATCTATCTAATATCATCTCATCTCATCTCATCTAACCTAATCTAATCTAATCTAATAAAATCTAAACTAATCTAACCTAACTTAATCTAATCTAATCTAATCTATTTAATCTATCTGATCTATCTATCTATCTATCTATGTATCTATTTATTTATCTATCTATCTATCTATTTATCTATTTATTTGTCTATCTATCTATTTATCTATTTATCTATCTATCCATCTATCCAACTATCCATCTATCCATCTATCCATCTATCCATCTATCCATCTGTCCATCTATCCATCTATCCATCCATCCATTTATCAATCAATCTATCTATCTATCGATCTATTTATCTATCTATCTATCGATCGATCGCTCGATCGATCTATCTATCGATCCATCGATCGATCGATCGATCTATCTATCTATCTATCAATCTATCAATCTATCAATCTATCAATCTATCTATCTATCTATCTATCTATTCTATTCTATTCTATTCTATTCTATCTATTCTATCTATTCTATCTAATCTATCTAATCTATCTAATCTATCTAAGCTATCTAATCTATCTAAGCTATCTAATCTATCTAGTCTCATCTCATCACATCTCACCTCATCTAATCTAATCTAATCCAATCTATCTATCTATCTTTTCTTACCTTATCTTATCTTTTTTCTATCTATCTACCTATCTATCTATTTATTTATCTATCTATCTTTTTATCTATCTATCTATTTATCTATCTATCTTTTTATCTATCTATCTATTTATCTATCTATCTATCTATCTACGTATCTATCTATTCTAATCTAATCTAATCTAGTCCAACCTAATCTAATCTAACCTAATCTAATCTTATTTATCCTATCTATCTATGTATCTATCTATGTATCTATCTATCTAATCTAATCTAATTTAATCTAAATCTAATTTAAGCTAATCTAATCTAATCCTATCTATCTATCTACCTATCTATCTATCTATTTATCTATCTATCTATCTATCTATCTATCTAACCTATCTAACCTATCTAACCTACCTAACCTATCCAACCTACCTAATCTATCTATCTATCTACCTACCTACCTATCTATCTATCTATCTCTCCATCTCTCTATCTCTCTATCTCTCTATCTATCTATCTATCTATCTACCTAGCTATCTATCTATCTATCTATCTATCTATCTTATTTATACTATATATATATACATGTTTCAAAAGGCAACGCCGGTTTCAAACTTGACTCCCAAAGAGTAATTTTAATGTTTGCATGTGCTTTCAAAAAAATCTGGCAGATTGCCGAAGGCAATCCTTTCGATAAACTGTGGTTTGAAAAAAGTTAACGGCGACCCCAAGGGATAGTTACCCCAACAGATCCAATTCCCATCGATTCGTTCTGGTCTTCGGTGTATCCTTCCTGTCTCCCGCTGAGAAACCCACAGACTTCACCACACGCGCAACACCTCGGAAATGCTTCACTTTGGGGACCACAGTTCTGCGGTCTCGGCAACTAAAAGCACAAAAACTAAAAGACCTTGGCAAAGAGACCCCCCACAAAAAAATAGCTCTTAAGATTTATCCGAAAATCTTTGGCTGAGAGAACGAGTCATGAAACTAGTCGTCACACAGGTTTGACCTTGATAGAATGAGATGACCTGACCCAAATTCAGATCTTTTGTTGAACACAAAGCCGTTGGGGCTTCTGACTAAAGCCCACGCGGCTCATCTCTGCCAAATCTCAGTTTGGGAAATGTATTGAAGTTTCATGGGGAATTTTCACCACTCTCTCGGAATGTCAGACCATGGTGTGCACATGAATGCTAGCCCCTTACCCAGAACATCCACCAAGAGATGAAACCCAGATGCCATGCTGCTGTGATAGTACTTTCAACGTTCCTCCAAAGGTCACCGTAACAAGCCTGGAACTCAGACAGTTCTCAATCAAGGATGGCCCTTATTGTTGTTGAATTTACCATCTGGTGACCCTCTGGTTATTTAACATAGCTATGGAAGCCATTGTCCATTATTGCCCATTAATAGATGATTTATGAATGATTTACCATGATATACCTATTCGAGTCGCTTGGCGAGGAGAGCCGCCCGCACCCAGGGAATAGGACGGAGAGGAAAGAAGCGGGCCTAGTTGGCCCAACCAAAAGCCGACTGGTGTCAAACTTGGCCATCCTTGGCCTTAAGTTGGGCCGAACAGGAGCCCACTTGGGCCGAACAGGAGCCCACTTGGGCCCAACAGGAGCCCACTTGGGCCCAACTCGGGCGCGACAGCTTCACACCAAGTTGGGCCCAACAGAGACACAACATGGAGAACCTTGCTTCAAACGAAGCGTCATCGATAGCAAAAAAAACGAAAATATCAGTGAAAACGTGCATTTATAGTAGAATTTTGAAGCACAGCAGCCGCAGCCGCTGTAGATGCCCGCGGCCCAAATGCAGCGCACACCAACGTATGCCCTCACGCGGCATCAGCCGCACCGCATCCCAAATGAGAACCTAAGTTAATGGCTGGACCTTAGTATCGCGTCACCATGACGCGTGACCCAAATTTGTTTTTGTACCTCAGCAAGCCATTTGAGGGATTGAATCGAGCCCCAACCGAACCTAGCATCCAAAGCATTTTGAGGCTGAATCAAAAGATTGGATCTATGGGGACAATTCCAAGCAATGTGTGAAAAAGAAGCACAGGAAACCGAACACCCGGGCCAGATGCAAGAACTGGAAAAAGGAGCGCCCCCCCTATCCATGCACGCGGGACTCAACAAGGCGCCGCAAGCCACCCCACGAGCAGCAGGACACGCGAAAGACAAATCCCGGATGCTATTCCAATCAGCCGACAAAACCAGCCGCTGAGAAACCTCGCCAGACACCTCAGCAACCTCATGACGTTTGGACCCAAGGAACCCCTTCCACATAAAAAGACGAAAACACTCCCGAAGACGATGAACGGCAAGACCCAAAGCATCACCGAGGTTCACCACCGTTTGCACAGGACCCGAGGACCAAGACCAAGGCCTCAAACACGAACCACCCACCAACTTAAACCACGCCTGAAGGGTACCCAGCAGACTGCCACGCGGAGCAGGATCGACCCACCGGAGACCCCTGGCACGCGACTTGGACACCATAGTAAGGAGACGGACCCCAATGAGACAGAGAGGATGCAAAGCACCGCCCCAGATGATGGCGCGCAGAAACCTGTTGGCCGCGTGCATAACACCTTGGACACGGCGAAGGGCAGCCCAAAGGGACCAGAGCTTAGCCTGCGGAGGCCAACAGGCTCATCTGAAAACGTGCATTTTGAGGATTTCGGGTTGGGCCGGATACGTCTCCCATTTTGAAGCCATATGGACCTCAACTTGGCCCGAAGTTGCTCTAAATGGGTCCACGTTGGGGCCAAGTTGGGCCGAAGTTGGGGCCAAGTTGGGCCGAAGTTGACCACAAGTCAATGTTGCGGCCATGTTGGATGCATTTGGACGATGTTGGGCTGATCTGCAAAATGTGCAAATTACCACAGCGCGGAACTGACTTTTGGCGCCCTGTCCCAGGCGAACATGGGCCTGAAGCTGTACCAGTCTGACAGATTTGTCCGTCGTATCCCTCGCTGCTAAACTACCACGCCTCGGCACCTTCGGTGCGGATGGATTTTTAAGAATGTGATTTTCCATGATTTTCCATTTTCTATAGCTATGTTTAATTACCAGAGGGTAACTTTTCTATAAAACCTAATACGGGATCATGGTTGTGGCCTACTCGTTGCAGGGTGCATCTTCGGCTAGTCAGGATTCTCATCCGTGATACTGGATGGATCTGGATGGTGAATAGGTATCCGTATGAAATCGTTGGAGTAGCTCATACTCCCCAAATATCCCCAATTAACCAGTCAACAGGGGCATTTCACGGCTCATATGCTCAGATCCGGACCTAGGGACGCATGAAGCGCAAGGAAGACTTCACCATAGGAACCCTGTGGCCGTCTGGGGTGTACCAATGGGGTGGAAACCAACCAGTTCATGGGATATAATATGGCTAGGGTATGCATAATGGATATGCATTTTTCCTTGCAAGTTTTATTCCTGATATATCCCATTTGTGGGCGATATGTATTGATCCATCTATGTGGTATATGCATTATATATCATTATATATTATTCCCTCCACTGTTGAAATACATTAAGGAATGACAAAATCAAAAGCCTACCGTGACCAGGCCTCTCCAGAGCTTCTTCGCCATGCTGGCACCGTGAACACCGGAACAGCATCAACCAAGGTTATATATGGTCATGTTGATGTACTCTTGAACTCCATGAGAACGACGACCCGATGACCGCGTACGCAAAGCAGCACTTGGATCTCGCAAGTTCACCTTCACCCACACCCTCTGGTTATCTAACATAGCTATGAACAATGGCACATTTATCTGGTTGGTGGTTTCAACCCCTCTGAAAAATATGAGTTCGCCAGTTGGGATGATGACATTCCCAACTGAATGGAAGTCATAAAAATTATGTTCCAAACCACCAATCAGTTCTGGATGATTTATGGATGATTTACCTACAAACACTGGTGATTTTCCGCAGTGTGAAATGACCAGAGGCTAAATGTCACCTTCTGCACGGTGGCTAGGGTGATGTGCCTTTTTTGAAGACCTTTTCTGGCTTCCACCTACAAATCCAAGCCAAACTACTATGACACGAACTTGATCTTGGGATTAAAATCAATCTCTTTTTTTCAGTGAGGTCAGCCAGAGATGTCAGTTCTTACAAATGTGGAATCCAAGAATGGGTCACTACAGACCCTGCATCTTTGTTTTGCTTAGATGACTAGATGAATGATGAATGTACTGTATCCCCATTAAAATGGCAAAAGATTGGTTGGTGCTACGCAATGCTACTACCTAACCCAATCGCTTTTCCCATGGAGAATCTTAGATACAGTACCTGGCAAACAAAAAACGTATTTTTAGCTGGTTACACTTGAAGATTTTACCATTGATAGCAACAGTTCAAAAACCTAGATAATCCCTTCCCCCTAATATTAAACACCCCCTGAACGAAACCATGGTTTAAGTAGGGAATTTCCACATTTTTTTGGGGGACCATGCGATGGGGTGTATCTAACCATTAGGGTGGGATTAGTATCTAAACTATGGTACCCAAAAAATATGTTCCATTTTCATAGGATTATCCATTATAAATTAAAAACCGTCAATTTCATCTAATGGATAAAATCACCATTTTATCATGATTTTCAAAAGTTAGATAAAATAGGGCTATCCCCACTTATGGAAACCTTCAACCAGTTGGTTGACCCGCCCAGAGCCATGCGCCTCCCCAAGCTTCGCACCCTTGAGGTAAACCTATCAACACGTTGCGTCCATCAACGAGTCGGGGATCATAGATGGCGTGGCCCGAAGTCATGGGGGTATCCCCAATGGCCCAATGGTTCTGGTTATGCTTTGTTTCATGGCAATCCTGGTATTTTCATGATTTCAACATGGGTGAACAAATTAGGTGGTACCCCAAATTAGGAAAGCTCCGTTTGAGAGCAGTTAACTATGGAATGGTTTATGTTGGAAGTTTGAAATGGCTCCCTGAACAAAGCTTCAAAGTGGGTCTCTGGTGAATGCAATGAGGGGGGACAAGGTGGGGACCCCTGGTTATGTTCGTTGGTGTATAAAACCCATGAATACTATAGATGTATCTACCATGAACCATAGCTAACCTGGTATAATCATGTATAATCAACATACCCTCCGGTAATCAAAGGTGGCACAGGAAAAATCACCATTTATATAGGATGTTCATGGATTTTCCTAGCTAATCTAGAAGCCTTCATGTACAGGGGACCTTCCATTGCTACTACCGGATGGTATGTTGTATTTTGCAGCATCAAGCAATGAGTCTCTGAGTAGCAGTGATCGAAAGATATCGAAAGGACGTCCCTGGATCCATGGCTGAAATTCTTCGGGTGAGAGCTGGGAAAATTCATGGAAAATACCCTAAAACAACAGTTGGCTCACAGGGATTCATGGATTTTATATATGGCTTATTGCATATATATATATATAGTAAACTGTTCCAATGTATCACAATAATCAACCAATCATCAATCGTACACCAATCGTAAACCAATCATCAACCAATTATCCATTTATCAAAATAAGATCTCCGAATGTCGGATGACTGAACCCCCCGTAAACGATTACATCAAAGTTAAATCCCAATGTAATAATCAATTCACACATACCAGTAGTACCGCACAAGGCGGTGGCGGAAGTTTCAAAAATAGGAAACCTATAGGAGAGGTGAGTTGCTGTGGCGCAAAAATGGCAGGGCGAACCCACCGATGGATTGAAAGGTGGTTGAGTGTTTCTGCCTTTCTGTCTTTCTCTTTCTCTTTCTCTCTGTCTCTCTCTTTCGGCATCTATCTACAGAGTTACCTTTCTAGCCATCTGCCTATCTACCTGTCTATTCATGTAGCTATCGTTCGATTTGTTTATTCACCTAACTATTAAACTCTCCATCTTTCTGTCTATCCAGCCATGCATCCATCCACTTACTTCTCTCTGTTAGTTTTTTTCCGTCCATCTCTTCATCCATGTCCACAGGTATCCATCACCATGTTCTTCGTTCGTTTTCTCTATCGATTCATCCATGCATCTGTCCGTCTCTCTCTTCTTCCAGCCATCCATCGATCTATCTAGCTATCCATTAGTTTATCTAGACATGGACGCTTCTAGCGATCTTTCGATCTAGCGATCTGTGTGTCCATCTGTCGTTCCATCTACCTGTCTATTGATCGATTTGTCTCTCTATCTAGCCACCCATCTTTCGATTTATCTCTCGATGTATAAACAACATCACGTAAGAGACAACCATCATATCATGACAAACTCCACGGGAGTGTAATGTAGTGTAGTGTAGTGTAATGTAGTGTAGCGTAGTGTATCCCCCTTGAAATTCGCCCTGAGACGATGAGAGCTCCATTCTGTAGGGTGCCCAGCCGATCCCCCTACAAAATGGTATGGGGACACCTACAAAATGGTAGCACCCATGGGGGTTGCTGCCTACAAAATGGTGGCACCAGGGTACCCCACCTGCCCACCAACATCAAGTATTTTGGGTTAACATAGTGTCCAAAAAAACTGTGAAAAATGGGAGAACCATTTTGTAAGACACAAAGCAACCCTGTGGTCGCACCCTGGTCTTTTTTGGGCGACCAATTTGTAGACAGTTTACTCTGAATGAAATTTCTTGTTAAAATCTCTCAAGCAATCCTTGCATATCTCACATTTTTGCATCTTGTGCATCTGGCAATCGGGTTTCATAAAGTATCGTCCAACAGAAGTAGCCAGATAGACTGGACCGAAGTAGTGGTCATCGCGTTATTTTTCTGGACCGGGGCTGGTTTCAAAATTTTGGAGGCTTTGAAAACTTTGCGATCATCTCCACCACACACTTTCTAAGTAGGATCCCCATTGCCAAGCCTATTGCAAAGGCAGCCACCACAATCCCCTCCAACAAACCCATGTAGCTTGGCACTCGAGATTCTTACAAAATATGTCTTGAACCAGCATGAACCAGCTACAAAATGGTAGTGCCAGAGTATCATGAACATGCTTGTGGATGTGATGGCGCCCTTCCATTTTGTAGACAGATTGTTTGTTCTGGATGGTTCTGGAGGGCCCTTGAAAGTCATAAAAAGAACATCTAGCTTTCCTCCCCCTTGAAATTCGCCCCGAGAGGATGGGCCCACCAAAGTGTAGGGTGCCCAGCCTACCCCCCTACAAAATGGTATGGGGACACCTACAAAATGGTAGCACCCATGGGGGTTGCTGCCTACAAAATGGTGGCACCAGGGTACTCCACCTGCCCACCAACATCAAATATTTTGGGTTAACATAGTCTACATAGTGTCCAAAAAACTGTGAAAAATGGGAGAACCATTTTGTAAGACACAAAGCAACCCTGTGGTCGCACCCTGGTCTAACCGCTTTTGGTTGGCTCAGCAGTGCCGGCCGCTTCCCCCAAGCCCTCGAACTAGCTGATTGTCAGTGGCCATGCCGCGCTTTCACATGGCGTTCCTGCTGATCGTGGGATTGGTTGGGGAAGGCATCAAGGTGGCTGACGACACAGCCACACAGACGCCAGAGGAATGGCATCTTGTCTTCGAACGTGACTGATTGGGACAGTTGCCAGGAATAGGACAACTCCAAGAATTGGTCTAGCACGTGGTACCGCTTCTGCACCCGGCAAGACAACCAGGACATCCAATCCAGAAGCGTCTCTTTGTGTTGTTCTGGTTTGAACCACCTTAGTAAAAGAACATTAGGTAACCCATTGCAAACTCTGGCCAGCTAGCCCATACCAGTCTACAAAATGGATGGTCCCTAATTATTCATAGACTACATGGTCTAACTATTTCTGTATCCCACCATTTCGTAGCTGCCAATGGAAATGCCCTACCATTTTGTAGCTCCAAATGGAATTGGTAAAAACAAACACGTTTCCTTGTTTTTTTTTAAACTGCGCCCAATTCTTGAAGTGTCTTTCTTGGAGTTGTCCTATTCCTGGCAACTGTCCCAATCAGTCACGTTCGAAGACAAGATGCCATTCCTCTGGCGTCTGTGTGGCTGTGTCGTCAGCCACCTTGACGCCTTCCCCAACCAATCCCACGATCAGCAGGAACGCCATGTGAAAGCGCAGCATGGCCACTGACAACCAGCTAGTTCGAGGGCTTGGGGGAAGCGGCCGGCACTGCTCAGCCAACCAAAAGCGGTTGATATTTTTTTGTGTTCAAATATATTTACATTTGTGGATGTATTTATCAACTCCCCTTACCCATCTACAAAATGGTATTCCACATCTTCTACAAAATGGAGGTGCCTGACACTGGCATATGATCTTGTTCTCATATAAAGTTATGTTGGGTGTTTATAAACATGTCTTTTTCTACAAAATGGAGTGCCCCGACGGCACCAAAATTTCCATAAAAACTGATTTATAGGGGGCCCAAGGCCTACCATTCTAAGGGGGAAATGTCAAGGGGGATCGTAGTGTAGTGTAGTGTAGTGTAATTTAGTGTAGTGGAATGTAGTGGAGTGTAGTGGAGTTTAGTTGTGTAGTTGTAGTTGTAATGTTGTGGAGTGTTGTGTAGTGCAACGTAGTGTAGTGTAGTGGAGTGTAGTGTAGTGTAACGTAGCTTAGCGTAGTGAAGCGAAGCGAAGCGACATCTGAACCTCCAAAAGTGGTCCGAACCCCTAGTGTTTTTAACATTTTGACTTCGAAATGTGCTTCGCGCCACAACGGCGTGCACTTTTTCGACATCTCAACTTCCAAAAGTGGTCCGAACATGGTGTGCTTTGTACATTTTGACTTCAAAATGTGCTTCGCGCCACAACGGCGTGCACTTTTTCGACATCTCAACTTCCAAAGTGGTCCGAGCATGGTGTGTTTTGTACATTTTGACTTCAAAATGTGCTTCGCGCCAAAACGGCGTGCGCTTTTTCGACATCGCAACTTCCACAAGTGGTCCGACAATGGTGTGTTTTGTACATTTTGACTTCAAAATGTGCTTCACGCCACAACTGCGTGCACTTTTTCGACATCTCAACTTCCAAAAGTGGTCCGACGCTGAGGTGTTTTGTACAGTTTGACTTGGAAATGTGCTTCGCGCCACAACGGCGTGCAAATTTTCATCTCTCATCTGGCCAGCTGGCTCCGCACCCGCCGCTTTAGCGAGCCTAGTTTTCGACCCTCCGGAGCCACCAATCATTGGAAAAACACAGTGTTTCGCGACTTTCCTACCTTTTCGCGCATCTGCATCTTCTTTCTTCTGACTCTTTCTCTTCTGATCTTCTCTCTTCTAATCTTTCTCTTCTCTCTGCCTCTGCCCTGCTCTGCTTTTCATCTGTCCATATTGTCGGAAGTTTGACTTCTAAACTTCCTTCGAATAATTATCGATTAACATTGACATCGTATTATCATAGTATCATCAAGTAGTCCACCAAATGATGATTAGATATGATTAGATCGATTACATCCCCATTATTCCCCATTCATTTATCCAGCCAATGACATAATGAACATTAATCAGCCAGAACACCGGCGATCCGAAACTGCTCAGTTGACTTCTCACCATTTGGCGCCTTGTTCCAGTCGTCCCCATGACGTGTGTGCACCAAGCATTGTCGTGAGACCTGGCATGTCCCGTCCCCTGCCTACTGCATGATGAAATACAGCCGAAAATTAACACAGCCGAAATGGGTGGCAACAAATGTAAATCCCCTGGTTTCTGGTGTTAAAATGTTCGGAAGGGATTAGTATCTGAGGTGTTAACAAACCAAAAAACGGGCGCAAGTCGTGATTTGACCTACACAAATGGGGTACAATAACCACTAAACGAAATCTGACAGGGTGATCACCCGCTTTAATTAATCACTTTAATCACTAGGCTGAAACAATCTACGTCCATTTACTTCCTAGATTGGAGGAAACCATCAGGTCGGTCATGTACTACTTTGAGGCTGTTGACGTTTCACGCCTCTTCTCAGTTGAGCAGTGTTCATCTGTGTTTGTTTTATTAAATTGGTTGTTTGATAGGGGTTCTTGACATGGATTATGATCATTCCCAATATATTGGTTAGTATAATTCCTTATTGGGTGCGTTTCCCTCTTTATTTGGGCTTGTCGGTGAGACAAAGGGAACTAATAGGAACTATAAAAAACCATTCTAAGGATTTTATATAGACTTGCAGGATCTATATATAAACTTTTGGGGTCTGATTATGAAAATTGTCAGGTACATTTTAAGCTATAATAAAAGCAGCATTGCAACACGAATCATGCATTACTGCATTGCTCAGACGAAGCCCCCTGCGTGTCCCCAGCCAGAAGCATTCCTACAGGGCTTCCTCTCACAATATCAAGAACACTTGCCAACCAGAAACCATACCAAAAAACAGACATGGTGGAAGAACTCTTATGTCTCTTCCCTTAGACCATGTTGCAAGTCATGCACGGCGCCAGACCACAAGTCCCAACATGGAAAAACCTGCAGGATGATGTTTGGTCGCCCCATTCTGGCATGAAGCAAAGAGTAACGTACCGCTAACCGCAAGAAAAAGGGTGCCAAAAAATTGAACCCAAGACTTTGGATTTTGTTGCTTTTCTTCCTCGGAAGAATGTATCCTATCCCAGTCTAAAGAAAAAATCAAATGCAGAAACTGTTCAAAAGCGAATGTGGCTGTGGCATGCAAGCACTTGCTTTCATGCGTGCAATCTTTCCGCTGAGTCATAGCGGCCCCATCATGCTCCAAATCAAATACTGATTCCCCCAAAGCGCGATCGCAGTGTGGGGCATCCTTTGTGGGCCATCCTATGTCGCCATTGGTTCTTCGGAGATTTTCGAAGCTTTTAGCCCAGAATACTCGAGGAATACGTTCCGATCAATGTCTTGGTTGAACGTGTAAGAATCTGCTAACTTTAGAGAGCATCCGGGTGCACGCAGAAGGTGATTAACTTAGCCTAGGCTGGGTTGGACATGGTTGGGCTAGTGGATGGGCATGATGATATCGCATTGTAAGATCAGAGGACTGTGGAGATCTATGAAGGATGCCGCCTCCAAGATTTTGCATTTTCCTTCAGGTTGTTGTTGGAAAGCCAGGCGCTAAGAGCAGCACCCTTGAAAATCTCCTTAAAAAGTGGTTCGCAATAGGTATTTCTTTCATGGGAGAGACAGCCCCTGCATTTTGCCTTGGCAATTTCGTGAGTTGCCCGTTCTCGATTTTAGATTTATAGCTCCGCCCATGTTTGTATATAGCGCCAATAGTCCCCACGGGGCGCGTTTTTGGTCGCTATTTGGAGCCTTTTAAGGCTGCTGAATATACACCGTTTGAAACGGTTCCAGGGCTGTGTAAACGCAGACGCTCGGGTTTGACCCTGGTCCTCCTGCCGCAGCAGGCTCGCTAGTATGGCGGTGGCCCGGAACGGTTGCGCCTGCAACCTGAAATCTTAGCCGCCCTCATCCTGGACTAAAAGCTTGCCGCCTCCCTTAGATAGCCAAGAACCCGTTCCATTTAAACCCTGATTTTGTGCATTGATACCGCCAGGAACCGCTCCAGGCTAAATAAAAGTTCGGTTTGTATAGTCAAGAACAGTTCTCAAGAACCTTTCAGAATCGTGTTGATGATGGTGCTGATGATGATGATGATGGTGATGGTGATGACGATGACGATGACGATGATGCACACATGGAAAAAACACCCAAAAACACCTTTCTTTAAGTATAGTCAGGAAGCGCTTCTGACTATATGTAAACCCGCTTATGCAAAGAGCCCCCAGCCACCTACTCGAAGGCCAGACATCTTTAAAAAGCCTTGGGCAGTGCTATGCCCTCTGTATCAGCCCAGCAAAGCCCAGCCGCTTTTTAAAGACGAGAAAGAACACCACCAAGCACAGTGCCCCAGTGAATCTTGGTATTGATGTCTTGTCATGATGCACGACATGGATGCCTTGATCTTGAAGGGGTAAGCCTTGATCAAAACAAGTTTCATCAAAATCACCCGGGCCCACGGATATTTACACATGGCATCGCGTCGCACGATTAACTATGAACTTGACAAGAACCTGCCAACTATCTCAAATTACATGACTAAGAAAGCAGTGCCTGCAGCAGGTATGCGATGCCAGTACTAGGATACCACTTTCACGTTTTAGGGCGGTCAAAGCATTGCGGTGATGACTATGATAGATTCATTGACTGGTCTCTGAGGATGTAGTTGAATACAAGGCAACATATGAACACAAAAGTAACATTCAACAGGGCAATTTTGAGGGTTGATTTTTTGTCTATAGTTCCCCATTGTTTAAAAACAGTTTCTAGTAGCTTTCTATATATATATATATTTCCTACCACTTTATGTATATATATATTATATTATATATATATATATAGTTCCATGTAGCTCCCATATAGCTCCCACCAGTTTATATATAGCCACAACCCCCTAACAGAGATAGAGGATCCCTCGCACCCAATAAATAATCCCCTTTTTTCTCATCAACCGACAAGGGTTTTGAATACTGCTCCGTTGCTGATCTTTTTTCCTTGCCAAAACAAGACTGGGACTCGGGCAACGAACGTGCCACTACGACTAGGTGAGACGTGCCGCCAGATTGGGCCAAACAGGGGCGATAAAGGGTGTCCTATCTGGTTGTCAAGTTGATGTTCAAAACCAATAAACCAATGATCCGAGAAACATAATTTTAGCGCCTCGTCAAACAAAATATGTTGGAAGGTGCTGAAATTTCAAGGGATGATGATGTGCAGCTTTCTTTCCCACACATCCGATTATTGGTTACAATTCCAACCATTTCAATCACCGTGAAATCGTCGAAAATCGAAATCCTTCAGAGGCTCCACAGTGAGACTCATAGTGCATTAATTGTGAAACATTTTTCACGACGCGGTTCAACTTGTGACGGACATCTCATTGGAGATGCGCCATTTGCGCCGCCCGGTCGTGTGTTTTCTGGTCTCAGGCTTCCTTAGCATCGCTTGGCCGGTGGCAACAAATAGCAATAAGAAAGGCGCTTGAGATATGTCGCTGTGCAAGAACAAGATTGTTGGGCATAGTCTTGGAATCTTAGTTAAACATTCATCTGAATATTTGGAGTACATACTTTGTTTTTTTTCCTGTCGTCATTGGGTCTTGCTTGATTGTAGCCACCAACCATTGACACTCGTTATCTCTTGGAGCTTGATCGCAGGGGTTCATACTTGACAACACCAACCAATTGCAAATGAAAAACAAGATTCACATAATGTAAATGACATCTGATCTCTGTCAAACCGGGTAAATATAACGCCACTGCCATCCACCTACGAGGGAATTGGCCTTGTCTATTTGATGGCCATGCTTGGGTGTGTATACACCATGTTCGCACCCAAACAATAGTGCTGGCTATATTCCACTATATAAAAAAAATATCTGCATTCTAGTTGGTTCAAATCACATCCCAAGGTTCAAGTTGGTGAAATCCCAATGTTTTATGGTTGAATCCATTTGAATCCCCCATTTGAGGAGAATCCATTTGAAATCCCATTAAATCCCATTTGAATCCAGGTGAATCCCCAATTTATGATTAAATCCCATTTGAATCCATTTGAGGCATCACCAGTGGGCACCGGCGGAGAGTCAGAGTTGACGAGGATGCTCTTTTTGCTGAGCTTCTCCTTCGCTGCGGCTGGGAAATCAAGAAAATGGTGGCCAATGGCAAGTATAGGACCCAGTTGGATCCATGAAAATGAGGCAAACATACTTAGACTATTTTAGACGTACGTCGCACGGACAAAGTCAATTTCATCCAATTTCAATGGGAAAAAACAAGCTCTAGGTGTGTCTCACTTTTCCTGGTATCTATATACATTATAGACGACACGAAGATACACGAAGTCTCACATCTGACACACAGACTTCATAGGTACACCGAGGCACTCTAGACTCTACACAGTGTTACAGGGCTAATTGTTATTTACATACCTGGCTGGTGTTTTTCACCATCTTGAAAAATATTAGTCAATGGGAAGGATTATCCCATATATTATGGAAAATGAAAAATGTTTGAAACCACCAATCAGATACCTTTAGAGCGGAATTCTCCGGAAACCATTCCAAAATCATTGAAATCTGCCGAACTAACAGTAATTCCATGAAAGGAGCCACCATTGGGGGAAGCCTCGAGGAAGACCACGTGACCCCATGATGCCAAGCCGAAAGAACAGGGGTTCAACGATGAAACCATATGGGGGTTTCCATAAATAGGGGTACCCCCAGTTCTCATCCATTGTAGATTGGGATGTTCCATTATAAACAATCCTTTTTAGGGGTACCTCATTTATGGAAACCCCCATAATATGACTCTATCATCTTATATATAGCACCTTTTCTGTTGTCATATTCTTATGATTCTTGAAGTTTTCCACGAAAAAATCTGAGATCCAACAAATCCCACGCCAGCCAAGTGGCAATGTCTTTCTCAAGCTGAGACAGCTCAGCCTCGTGCTTCTCCTTACGCTTCAACTTTCCCATAGTGTCCTGAGGCTTCAGCAGAGATAGGGCAAAACACACAGGAAAATTACCCTCTGGTAAATTATATAAGATGACCATGGAAAATCACCACGTTTTGTATAGGTAAATAATCGGTGAATCAAGTATAATACTTGGCAATGTTCGATAGCTGTGTCAGTTTACCGGAGCGTACATCTTGACTCCTTTTCTGTGGCTTTCATTCACCAGTTTTTTTCCGTCAAAGCATCCCTGATCAAGGGTGAATTATAGTCAGGGGTGCACCTGGCCTTCTTGACTGTTGCAGCACTGAAAAAAAACTGGCTGCTACAGAGAAAATGAACCATTCACAGAATCCAATCCACAATTTATACTATCTATCCAAATTCACTCATTACCTTTCCAAACAATAGGAGTAAATGACATTTCACTCATTACCTTTCCAAACGTTACGTTTTCTACAATAGGAGTGCTTTCCCATGACATTCATGCGGCATCTAGCCGCTAGATTCAGGCTTCATTTCGGATGGAGATTCGTCGAACGTTCATTGGTGACATGCTTTGCTGGTTGTACCATGTTGGTTTGCATTTTGTAGCCACGATTCTTGTTGGTTTCTATTTCCAGAAAGTGAGGTCAACCCGACAATAAATCACACCTTTGATTTGGATCCATGTGGGATGTCTCATGATTTTTGAAAGCTCAACATAATTGGCTTTATTGCTGGGTTTACACGGGTTTACGACATCACCTTTGTGGCTGAATATCCATATGTATCCATATGTTTTTTCTGTGACCCATCATAAATCATGATAATTTACCCAGGAATAACAGGCTTCATGGTAAAGTTGTTGTTAGCTACTCCTACTCTACATCTATTACTATATTACCATCCCCTCCATTTTATGGAAACACGAAATCCTCGGTGTATCAAACGTTGGGTGCTCCAAGTGTTGCATGCTTTAGATGATTCTGTCACCGCTCTGTTGGCTCGAAGTGCTTGTAGCTGCTGTAGCTGCACAACGGTTAACAAGGTCCAAAGCCAAGACCCTGCATTTCATGAAAACTGGAATATACTGGAATACTTCCAGGTCTGACTTTGTAGCGCATTGTGATCCAACGCCAAGCCCTTTGCTGGTTTCTTTTTCTGAAGTTCAGCCACTCTCAGGTGATGATTTTTTTCCTTTCAAGCATGGTGAACATGGTGAACACCATGTCATATGCAGAGAATGCACATTTGATTCATCAGCTTGAAATGTTCACCCATACCCATGTGGGGTTTTCTTCACATGGGGGATTCCCAATGGGTTAACCCTGGGTTAACCATGGTTAACCTATACTAAAACGGATTCTGGTTGGTGGTATACCTACCCCGCTGAAAAATGATGGTGTTCGTCAGTTGGGATGGTTATTCCATTCCCAACTGTTTCTGGAAAGTCATAATCCATTCATGTTCCGAACCACCAAGCAGGATCAAAATGGGCATCCATGGATTGCCCAGGTCCACCAGGTCCCCGCACCAGGTTCGTGACGTGAGTTCCACCCTGGAAGGCCGTGTTCACCTGGCACGACACGACACGACCGCTATTTGAGGATGGTCCGTTTCTGGTGATCGTCTTGGATACCCAGAACATGTTAAAATTTAGAGAGTTTGTATAATAAATAGGTGGTATAAACCATTCCCAAATGCATGGTTTACTATGGTTTATTATTGTTTTACCAACATTATACACTAATTATACACTAACCAGAAAAAAACACCGAGAAGAATCGTGAAAAACAGGCTGGTTACTCCTGTTTGACGAGCAAAATGAGTCTTGAGAGACCCCGCTTGATTGGATCAGCTGGGTGGTCTAGTTTATCATCAAAAGGCAAACAAAATCAGCCATGAATCTGCCAGGTAAATGGGGATGGGTCAAGACCCAGGTTCCCTGTTTGCACCAAAATAGATCAAAATAGCTGGTACTGGTATAGGTCTACAATGCTCTTATCTTTCAAGTAGAGCACTTGTGGTTTTTTATTGGATGCACTTAAGGCTCAGTGAAAAATTACTTCACTTCGAATGATCCCCACCATGGCATATATAGCTACATACTCCACAGCCCTGGAAAGAAATATCTAAATACGCAACCTGGCCGAAGGACGCCAAAGAGCAGCATCATTTTTTCCACCGTTGCTGAAACCCTGGACTTACAATCCAATTCAAACCACGAAACATTTATTGTGTTCAGTAAAATGTTTTGTTGGTGCACACACTTTTTTTGGTCACGAACTGCGTTCAACATCCGGTTATTGTTGCTGGTGCGTCCTGCATCAAGTACGTTGCTGTTGCTGTTGCTGTTGCTGTTGCATCCCATTGTTCGAGCCATTCACAACAGGGCCGCCCAAATAATAGCACTTCGACACCAAATGTTCTTGCATACCCTCAGTCATCATGCGGCTGGCATAAGCAGTGATATAAATACTTTACATATATTTTGTCTGACACATCTACAGATACATCTTTCTGACATTCTTTCCGACATTCTATCTGGCACATCTTCTCTCGGCCTCCCCATCTATCTCGCATATCTAGCATATCTTCTGACATTCTATCTGGCATATCTTCTGACATTCTATCTGGCACACAGTATTTTCTGACATTCTTTCTGACATTCTTTCTGGCATTCTATCTGGCATATCTTCTGACATTCTTTCTGGCACTCTATCTGGCATATATTCTGATATTCTTTCTGGCATATCTTGTGGCATTCAGAACATTCTTTCTGGCATATCTTATGACATTCTTTCCGGCATTCTTTCTGACATTCTTTCTGACATTCTATCTGGCATATCTTCTGACAATTTTTCTGGCATTCTAACTGGCATATCTTCTGACATTCTATCTGACATATCTTCTGACATTCTTTCTGGCATATCTTCTGACATTCTGTCTGCTTTGGAGCCGCCTGGGAACTTAGGAACTTAGCAGGCACTTAGTTGGCACTTAGGTTACTTAGGTTTGAGGGGTTGCTAAGTGTGAGTTAAATGGCCGCTAAGTAAGCTAAGTGATTTGCATTGTTTTTTATACACTTTAGGTGGTTTCATTTATTTTGTAGATTTGGATGTTTTTTTGGGGGTAGTCAGGTGAGAAGTCAGGTGAGAAGGCAGCCTTTTTTCTTCATGAGGATGTTGCATGGTCAGCGCAAAAGCCAAAGACCATCCTGATCTTCACGTAGCAAACGCATTGGTTCTATGTGCATCAATTTTGATGCAAGCAGAATTTGTTTGGGGCCCCGTTTCCATTTCAGAATGAATTTCTCCGTAAGGAAAGGTTGCAATGTTTGCACCACGACATAGAGACAGTTTGCATGCAAAAGGCCATGCAGAACCTCTATGCAGCACGTAGCTGACATTTGGGCGAAGGTCCCGCGTGAGTACTCGACGCAATAAATTTGAATGCCTTTTGCAAAGGAAGCATCAGTAGACACCCCTAGTTCTTTGGCAAGAGCCGTTTTACATTGATTTCGAATCGTTTTGGCCGGAAGAGCCGCAGACATCGAGCAAAGATGCAAAATTCTATACTTCTATGTCCGCAGACATCTCGCAGACATGCAACAGCACGAGAATCACACTTTTCCTCGCTCGCAGACACCGCAGACATGGCGGATACTCACTCCCACAGCACTTTGGCCATGTCCGCAGACAGTGGCCGCAGACACGCCACATTAAGGTCTGTCATCCGCAGACATCCGCAGACATTCGCAGACATCCGCAGACACAGGTAATCTACATTTTTTCAACCTTTCGACCGTCCAAAGGTTGTTCCGTTTCTGCAGCCCGTAGGCTCCGCCTAGCTTCCCATAGAAGCCAGGCACTGCGTCGGCACCACTGAAACTCTCTCCTGCGATCAGGTTTCCGAAAAAATGCCAAGCCAAGATAATATTCAACCATTTGCTGCAGCGATATATATATCTGGCACCAAATGCATTTGCTTCCATTGCACATGGTCATACCATGCGCTTGTCCATTCCTCGTAGGAAGCCGGCAGCAAACACAGGCCACTGATTTTCGGATGTAGCACTGCACTTTCTCCAGAGCTTTCAGCACACCCAGCGCCTGTTTGTCCCTGACCTCGTAGGAGGTCAGCGAACGAATTCCTCTTAGGAATTTTGCGCAGCTTCCAATTGCTTTTCGACCGACATGCCTGAAACCAAAATACCTGCAAAAACCATCGTGATTTCAGAGCTAACCCAAAACCCTTGCCAAAACTTACGTTTGAAAATCCAAGCTAAATAATCGCTAGGTGATCTCTAAGTCATGATCATTTCACTTATAAAACTTATATCTCACCCTAAATCAATAGCAAGTGCCACCTAACCTACCACACACTGGAAACCACTTAGAGGCTTATAACTAACTTGCCATGCCACATAGCCACTTATAAGTGAACTTACTTCATAACTTATAAGTCCCTAAGTCCCAGGCTGGTCCAAAGTGGCATATCTTCTGACATTCTTTCTGACATTCTTTCTGGCATTCTATCTGGCATATCTTCTGACATTCTATCTGACATCTTTTCTCACATTCTTCCCGTTGAGGTCATGCAGTGCCCACTGCGATCTGGAAGTCGCGGTTGAGGCCCGGCAGTGCCCACTGCGATCTAGAAGTCGCGGTTGAGGTCCGGCAGTGCCCACTGCGACCTGGAAGTCGCGGTTGAGGTCCGGCAGTGCCCACTGGGATCTGGAGCTCGCGGTGGAGGTCCGGCTGTGCCCACTGGGATCTGGAGCTCGCGGTGGAGGTCCGGCTGTGCCCACTGCATGGGATCTGGACTGCGAGGAGGAGGCGGCGGGTGAGGAGGCGGAGGAGGCAATGGAGGCGGAGGAGGCGGAGGAGGAGGAGAACAGCTCTGATAAAATCTAACAACCCTCACCTGGCAGGTGGGGAAAAACATTTAAAACATTTACCATCGGCCCATGGATCTTATCTTATGTCCTTAAGCAATCTTCGATTTCTTCGACAATCGGATCATCCAACCAGGGACCAACCAGGATGGATCATCCAACTGGTTGAGAATGGGATTTGATTGGATTTTGGAATCCCCAACATCTGGTTGCTGGTTGAGAACTGGTTGCTATAGGCTATAACCATCTATAGCCCATTGCTGCTTTGAATAACCATTATGATATCATCCCATTTATAGCCATAATAGCTGATGCGATCTGGTGCATTTTTTCACCATCTTGAAAAATGATGGAGATATGAGTTAAAGTCAATGGGGTCCGGATGACATCAAGGATGACATCCCATATTAATGATGGAAAATAATCCATGCATGTTCCAAACCACCAACCAGTAATTGCTTAGTGTGATCCAGTTGTTTTTTATCAACCGGCCGGGGTTGATAAGCCGCCACTGCTCAATTGAAGATTCAGTTCCAAGCAGTCCATCTGATCGCGAAGGGGGTGATGTCTAGGTCTTTAATAAGAGAAAGGGAGAACGAGAGATCTATCTAGGTCAATGATAATGATAAGAATAGCAAAATAATAGTAGATATTAGACATTATATATATATTTATATATATATATATTTATATATATATATATTTATTTATTTATTTATCTATTTATATGTTATACTTATAGTTATATATATATAGAGAGAGAGACTTATGTGTATATATATATACACAATGTAATTACATTGCTTATATGAATCGGTATGCTCTATAATATGTGATAACATTAAAAAACAAAAACAATGGTGATCTGATCCTTGGCATAGCCATGATCCTGCGATTTGGCTCCGGCCTGCTCCCACTTGGCCTTTAAACCTTCGAGAATATCCTGGGGAGGTTGGGCCGAAAAACACATGTGGAGGTTCCATAAATTGGGGTAATGTGGGTAAAACAATGGCCCCCAGTCATCACCATTTTATAGGTGGTATGTTTACCATTTCCAAATGGGTGGTTTATGGCATTGTTTTACCCACATTACTTGCAATAGCTGGATGGTTTGAACATGGAAAAAAAGAGTATGGATGATGTGATGATGACTGGGGTAGCCACATTTTAGGAAACCTGCAGGACTGTTCCCTCTTAGGGATATGAACGGCATATGAATGGAATATGAATGATTGTTGATGGGTATATAGAAAAACCATTGGAAAACCTATGAAAGTAGAGTATTTTCCTAGAAAAAATCATAGATCTATCTTGCGTAAAACCCTTTTGGGGGTAGGTAAAGTTACCAATTCACAGAGGGTCAACGTTGATATCCACCATTTAAGGTCCGATGGTTTTTTCCAGCGAGAAAAACCTCCAGGATTTCCTGGGATTTCTCGCTGCCACTGTATGCTAACCATGGAATTGCCACCAGTTGAGTGGTTGTAAAAACCTTACTTATTGGCCAATATTGGCCATACGGCCATACCAACCTCACTAACCTAGTTGTTGGCTGTCTTCATGATGTCCAGGAAGATGGTGTGTCAAAAATGCTTGGGGAACCTTTCAGACTCTGTGGAAAGCCAGAGCAAAAACAAATATTAGATTTAACATAATTTAAACCACTAATTGTGTTAGTAATATTTAAACATAATTTAAATACCCAGTTAATATGTAAGCAATAATTTAACATAATTAAACCACCCATAGTTTGTCGGTTTATATCACCGTTCAAAATATGGGAAAACTGGGGATGGTGGATCCTATTGCTTTACCCATGTGAAATTTGACCCATCCCACATGGGGGCTTTCTTCAAGTTGGGACTGAAAGAACTACCAAAATCTACAGTAAGATTAGGCATGTTACAAGTCTCATCACCATAATCTTAACCTCATAAATGGTCCCAAATTTCTGTGTAAATCCCCTACTAAATTCATGGTTTCAAAGGGGGTGTCTAGTCTTAGGGGGAAGGAATTTGTCATCAAAAATCCCCGGATTTGGGAGTGTTGACAGAGAACCACGCATATTCAAGCAGTGTTTCTGGTTGGTGGTATAATGGTGATTTAATGGTGATATATACATTGATTAATGGTGATTAATGGTGATGGTTAATAATGGCTGGTTGGTGGTTGAGCCCTACCCCTCTGAAAAATATGAGTCCATCAGTTGGGGTGATTATTCCCAATATGATGGGAAAAATAAAATTCATGTTCCAAACCACCAACCAGATGGGTTTGTCTGAAAATGAGGAACCACAATTTGATAGTTGATCATCACTTTCCCTATTCAAACTAAGACTGTAATGTGGGGTAACCTCTGGTAATTTAGCACAACTATGAAAAATCACTATGTTCAGAGGTAAATCATCGAACTAAATGGACAATGTTACAATGTTCCATAGCCATGTTGCATTACCAGAGGATGTACCCCATGTTCAAACGCACTGTTCAAACACAGCCATATAGCTTTTTCCGCATCTTCCATACTGAATCTTAGATACCTTCCAAAAAAAATGATTCTTTAGCTGGTTAGTACATTTTACCATTGATCCTGTGGATGGTTGCGAAATCCTGCACCAGGCAGGGAAACTATTGAGATTCCTATGAACACCCTGTAAATTTCATGGGATTATCATGGGATTTGCCCATCTACCAACTGGTAAACAGCCACATAATAAGCTATGGAAAACCACCATGATTATCATGATTCATAGGTAAATCAACTATAAATATTATAAATCACTATTTCCATGGCCATGTTCAATAGAATCAGTATTTCTATGGCCATTTTCAATAGAAACACTACGTATTTCTATGGCCATTTTCAATAGCAAATTCTAACAAGTCACCAGGGGCTATCACCGATTTGTGCACGCTTTCGCTGCCGTCCTGTCGCTCATCTTCGGTCATGGGGCGAACGCGTTGCGCCTTGCAGGGATTGAGCAGGGCCGGGCCCCGGCCATTGATGGCTTTGTGGTGGTTGATAACTAGAAATGATTTAGAACTAGAAATGTTGGATTTATAACTAGACATAACTAGACATGTTGCATTTATAACTAGAAATAACTAGAAATGTTGGAATTATAACTAGAAATAACTAGAAATGTTGGATTTATAACTACTGGTTGGTGGTATACCTACCCTCTGAAGAATATGAAAGTCAGTTGGGATGATTATCCAAATATATGGAACAATAAAAAAGGTTCCACACCACCAACCAGATTTAGTTCGATGATGTACTACTTGACGTGATTTTCCACAGCAAACTGTTAAATTCGCAGAGGATATTGACCCACGGCCACTGTGAAGCAGACCTATGTGAGTGGTCCTTGGCCACGTAGCAAATATCCCCATGTATGGGAAAACAATGAAGCACCAACCTCCCAAGCCAGGTTTACCCAGTGATTAGTAATAATTTGCAACAGGTTGTTGGTGAAACACACCCAACGATTGAGAGTTGCTCAACCAAGCTTTACCCAATGATTACACATCAAAAACACCGGTTTGTTTAACCAACATCAATCCAAAGAAGTTGGCCCCCAAACTTTCACCATTGCATAATCCAGGTATATCCAGTTTTATTGTTTCCTAGACAATCCCATGCTGTTGCTGTTGGAAATTACCCTTTGGTAAACAAACAGTTTGCTATTGAAAATGGCCATAGAAATCGTTGATTTACCCATAACAAATGGTGATTTTCCATAGTTATGTTAGTTTACCAGAGGGTATATGATTATACCGTTGTCCCTCCTTTGCTCCAGAATAATTGGTAAGACCATAAACTCGCCAGCTGGTTTAACTCGGTCTACTCACCATTGATGATTTATGTTTTAACCGTGTTAAGAATGATGATTCTCATTGATTCTCCATAGCTACTGTGGATGGACAAAATCCTGCACCAGTTGTCAACTATATTGGGATTCCTATGAAACACTGTAATTAATACGATTATAATGTGATTTTTCAAATCTACCAACTGCCGCGGGATTTGCCATCCACAATACGTTAAATGGGGGTTGCCTAAAATAGGGCTACCCCTAAATCATCCCTTTTTAAATCATTTTAATAGGAGTGTCTATTACAAAAGCGATTATAATGCGATTTTGCCCATCTACCATATGAAACACTGTAATTAAATGTAATTAATACGATTGTCCATTATAAACCATCCATTTTGAGGATCCCTAAAATTTATCAAAGCTCCTTTTTCTGCACCTCTTCTGCCTCCCTCTGCTCTTGCAAGGCCCTGCGGCATGGTGGCATGGTGAAGCGCGCAGCCCCCCGCGCAGGCTACGTTTTGGAGATCCATGGGAAAAAACAACTTGGACAAAAAATCGTCATCTTTTGTTCGTTGGCTGGTGATTTTCCATTTATAGCAAAAGACTAAAAAGGATTAAAAGGATTAAAAGGATTAAAAGGATTAAAAGGATTAAGATGTTCCCAAAAAATGTCCAAAGAACTATCATTGGTGGTGAAAACGGATGAAATCAGATCATAGTTACCAAGAGACCAAGAGGTCCGCAAATCAGAAACCTTTCGAACCACCGAAGAGGAGAAGGGGGAATCAGCCAAAGACAGGTTGTTTTGATTCTGGAGATCAGCCATGAATTGGATCCAGGCTGACAACAAGGGAGTATTTTTTGAGTACAGCAGGCAGTCATACAGATCGGAATTGATTCGATCGAATCATACATATATGGCAGTGTGTCAAAACCTTGTACCCCTGGTGAACATCAAAATAGCTGGTAAATGGATGTTCATCCCACTAAAAATGGTATCTATAGGTATTGACCCATACCCATATACGTACAAATAAATCAACAGTACCAACCAGCAAACATTGTGCCTGATGTGTCCTCACCTTTGTTTCCCTCCCAGAGTGGAACTCGGAGTGATGCCAGGCCTGATGTACTGATACTCAGTTTCGATGTCCTACCGCGCTGGGGAACTCCGCTGGGGAGCTGGGTCCATGGTTGGTCGAGGTCCAAAACCCATTGAATCCATTGACCACATTTGATTAAAATGGATGAAAAAGGCCCATGTATAGATGATTTACCTTGAACATCCTAGAACAAAGTTTCCATGGGATTTTCTATGTTAATGTTTGATTCTTATTGATTTCACCCTGACAAAGTACGTATCACTGTAAATCAGCATCCCATTTTTGGGCTTTCCCACCCTTGCCGAATATCCTCATCACGGGTTCGTTTTCCCAGAGAAAATCAATGAGAATGAGGGCAATACATGGCGTGTACGCCATGTATTGCCCTGTGCCCTATGGACCAAACTCCTCTATCCAAATCGTGTATCCAAACCATTGTGCTCAATGCCTGGAAAATCCTCGACCGAAATGGTGTTTTTTAATGGGAAAACCATCTATAAATTTTAATAAATGGTGGATTTTCCACCAAGCCATGTTTGATGAGCAAAGGGTACACTATAGTTGGATATTTGGGAATGTGTGAGCTCCCTGGGGCTTTTCCAGCTTTCTTTCTGGGATGTTCCGCCAACAGAATGTGGCTCAATTTCTGTAACGGCAACACCGGATGGATAAATGATAAATGTGTTGAGTTTTCTTGATCACTAGGACCTAGGAATCTCTATCCATAACTCCTTGACTTCCCAATGAAGTCCGCGGAAAAAAATGGATACCCAAACCGCTCCATTCCACCCCTCCATAGCTTCCGACCGTCCTGCTTGATGTGCTGCAAATACTTGGGCACTTTTCCATAGTCTTCCTTCTTCAAATAGTCCTGGAGTATGCTTGGTGTGGCTCAAGGGTGGAGCTGCAGTGATGTGGTCATTGAACTGAATACTTTGGTGTGACATGCTGGTTGCAACCCCTCATGATGACAGATATGATTGGGATATGATATGTTGTGAACTTCAACGATTAATTACCCAGCTACAGCTACTGATCATTTACTAAGATCACTAAGACTGGGTGCATATTGAATTATATAAAACTCTCTAATCCCATTACCCTAATATTAAACACCCCATAAATGGTCCCAATTAAGTGAAAATTCCCTACTAAACACCATGGTTTCGTGGCCAGGGGGTGTTTAATATGAACGGTGAAGGATTAACTTCTTTACACTATGGTTGTTGGTGGATATAAACTAGTGAATGGGGGGCTTTAAAAAAAAAACAACTTATCATTAATATAACTTACCAACATCTACTAACATCACTTGTCAATCCCCAGGGCCCTCAACTAGGCCCCTAGGCCATCGAGTTCACTGGGATGTGCATCCCAGTTGCTATGTGGTTAATCACCAATACAAAGTCCGTGGGGTATAAACCACAGTGATATAAAATCCCAGTGCCTAAGTGCGCATTAATCATATTATGGGATATTTTTGGGAATATAATGGGATATATATGGCATATTAATGGGATATTATTGGCTGGTTGGTGGTTGAGCCCTACCCCTCTGAAAAATATGAGTTCGTCAGTTGGGGTGATGACATTCCCAACTGAATGGAAAATAAAAAATGTTCCAAACCACCAACCAGTATACCATGAGTTATGATCATTTTTGATTATATCAAGTGTATACACAGCGATTTACTGTAGATCACATTTTTTACACATGAATTCCCCGATGTTTCTTTAAAACTATGACAATCCAATTCTATTAACGTAGGTTTGTCTGGAAATAGGGTACTCCTAATTCCAGCGGGGGTGAACTCCCCCCATTTTCAAGTACCTAAACTGGAGGTACTCTGCCATATAAGTCATTTTTTTCAGGTACTAAAGACTAGACCTTATTTATATATATACATAATATATATATACATAATATATATATGTATATATATATATATATGAATATATATATGTATGTATATATATATATATGTATATATACACATATAATCATATATATATATGTGTACACACATAAATAGTACTATGGTAGGTACCCTCCAATACATGCCTACCTGAAATGACCATTGATTCTGCGCCGCATTCCGAGCGGAGAGCAGCTCCTTGGTTCCTTCCGGCACCTTTTTGGGCGCGGCCAGAATCACTTCCACAGCGTTGGCCACCTGGTCGTTGGCAGATTTACCATGGGGATATGCCACTAGAACTAGAAAACCACAACTATCATGGTGCTATAACTGTAACTATATCACTATTTACTTAGTATATATATATATATATATAGATAGAGAGATATGTTTTGTATGGAAGTTTCCTGAAATATGGGACCCCAAAAAACTTGGGTTTTCTCATTGATAATGACCCATTTTGGATGATTTTGGAGTACCCCCATAGAAAACCTCCACATAATTCATATAATTTATGATCCCACACCTGGGTAAATATTAAGACCCAAAGTCTGTTGGAAAACTGTGTAAACCCATGAGATCTGTTGAGATCTCCAAAAGCTATGAGTCACCAAGGCTTGAGGCCCTGGTTGAACCAAGAGAAATGATGATCAAATGTTGATCGAGAAAATTACCCTCTGTTTATGTCAAAAGAGCAGTTGAAAATGGCCATTTATAGTGAGTTTTCCCATCAAAAATGGTGATTTTCCATGGTTATGTAAACGTTTACCAGAGGGTATAGCCCATGGGCATAGCTCTTTTTGGTAGCGGGCACTCAGCCCATGACCAACATCTGGTGTGTCTCAAATTTGGACCCATGTTGCCCCTTGTTGGGTTGCAGCAAAACACCCCATGAGCTCCCCCTGGAAAAGTTGTGGAGACATCCCCAGTCATTTTTCTTACGGTGAAATCTGCCCAACTTTTCCAGAAAACCGGAACCAAAAATACCAACTAAAACCATCACCCAAAGTCATAGCTGGTTACTAGATCGTTCTTCCCCCAGTCATATGGTAAGTTCATAGGTAACTTGACCCATCCGGCCCATCACCGCAGTTTTCGCCAAGGAACGATGAAGTTTTTGCTGGTCACCAGATTCATCACTGGCTTCTCAGAGGCCTGTGGTGGTCCATGTCTCGTCTGCGGCTTCCTAGGCCGCCAGCATGGCGAGGGGTGGGAATGGCTATCCCAGATGAATGTAAAAGTAATGTTGGTAAAACAATGCCATTTGCACCATCCCCCAGTCATCACCATTTTTATAGGTGGTATGTAGAAACCATTCCCAGTCATGAATGGTAAACATGGCATTGTTTTAACCACATTATGGGACATTAATACCGTTAATATACCATGGTGAATCTCTGATAAATACCTGCCAGAACATATTTGAACAACAAATCTAGCTGGTGAATCTACATCAATTACCACGGCAAAAGATTAAAGTACTATTTTGTTACCTTATGTATGTGACCAAGGTTGACCCAGATGCGTCCCGGATGCGTCCTCTTACTATTTCTGGGCCCTTTACCGCGGTGGAACCAGACACCGGTGTTCTGGGAGAATCCTTGCCAAATTGGCCTACAAGGAGGGTGTATGTTGTGGTGTTTGTTTGCTTGAAACAAACATATAGATGTATGTGTATGTATGTGTATGTATGTCTGTCTGTCTGTCTGTCTGTCTATCTATCTATCTAATCTATCTAATCTATCTAATCTATCTAATCTATCTAATCTATCTAATCTATCTAATCTATCTAATCTATCTAATCTATCTATCCTATCTATCTATCTATCTATCTATCTATCTATGTATAATCATTGGCAGGATTGAAATCTTAAACCATAGACAACACCAATCTATGTTTTCTTCGTTCAATATGCCATGCTGTTGCGTCATAAAACAGGATGAGCCGTAGGATACGAGGGGAACCACCAATGGTGCTGGTCAACACTCTGTAGGCCACCAACATTTTCATTGCTGGCTAAGGCATACTGTAATGATTACACTGTAGTGATGTTCCATTAAAAGAGCAGCATCTCTGATTGATGGTCATTGCGATTCATAGGATAACTCTTCATAAGTACTCTTTCCAATGGTGAATCACAGAAAACGTATGAAAACGTCATTTTCCGCTGTATCATGCTTTGTCCCGGAATAACATACACAACATGGCCAATCTTAGATACCCTGCAAAAACAAACAAAATCTTAGCTTGTTGGTAGATATTCCCATTGATACCAAGAGACTGAAGGATTAAACTACCTACCCTCTGGTAATTTAACATAGCTATTGAAAATGACCATTTATAGTGGATTTTCCCATTAAAAATGGTGATTTTCCATAGTTATGTTAGTTTACCAGAGGGTATCCAAGATTGACCTAGACAACATGTGTTATCTTCAGAGGTTTCTGGCCAACAATCTGGACTCCTCCCTGAGCTCATGGCAACTGCTTCGGAACAAGAGCTTCAGGGTGCTCCTTGCGCGGATCCCTATCCGGACTGGTCCCAGAACGAGGCTGATATCAAGGGCATCAATGTAGATAGTATGTACAAAATACCATTGATAATATGTTTAACTGGAATGTAATATATGTATATATATATTGTAATATAATATAATATAATAAAATATAATATAATATAATATAATAAAACATAATCTAATATAATATAATATAATAAAACATAATCTAATATAATATAACTTAATGTAATATAATATAATATAATATAATATATGAATATATATATATATATATATTATGATATATATATATATAGATATAGATATAATATGATATATATATATATATTTAATATGATATATATATAGAGTATATAATATACATAACATAATATATATAATATGATATATATATATATATGTTATATAATAATATGTATAATATGATATATATATATTAACTGGGATATATATATATACTTAACAGATGCTGGAAAACAATGGCACAGCTCTGTTTTGCTGGTTTCTTTTTAATGCCAAATTCTCCTAACATCCCAACAGACCAGTACTACTGGTACTGAACAAAGGCAAATCTGCCATGAGTTCCGCGTTTTTTGTTAGATGGGATTCATAGGCCCCCCTGGTCATCCTATGCATGATAAGGGATTCCTTACAGAATGCTGGGTAAATGAAATCGTATTTCACTATCCTGAATTGTTGGGCCATTAGAGGGGATGATTCCCCTAAAATAAACCATGATTCCCAGGGTTCGGGAGAACAGTGAGGTCGTGATCAAATTTACCCAGATAATGGATATTCCGAATGGATCATATTGACCCAAAAGAAATTGGGAGATGAATGATAATCTGATATGAATGGATATGATCATCCCTAAAATTCGGGAAAAACATAGACCTGGTTTTTGACACCATGGAACACCTAAAAATTCGGGGCTGTGCTCGGGTTGCCTGGATGTGTCAGAACACATCGGTCAGCGTTCAACACGACGGAGTCGAGCTTGCTGGATAGGCTGAGCATTCATGATGATGTCTGGTTGGTGGTTGAGCCCTACCCCTCTGAAAAATATGAGTGAAAGTCACTTGGGATGATGAAATTCCCAATTTATGGAAAAACAAAAAATGTATATATGACAGTCAGCTGGGATGATTATTCCCAATATATATATATATGGAAATTCATAAAATTCCATGGTGCCAGTCACCACCAACCAGATGTTCATTAAGGATCGTCCAACGATGATTTTCTAGAATCTTGTCCGATAACCCGATAACGATGATTCATGACCTGTAATATATGAGTGCTAAAATAGGGGTACCTCTGAATCATCCATTTAAAATCGGATATCATAGGATTTTCCATTATAAACCCCCCATTGTAGGAAATCTCCACGTATGAGTATATATGATCTTACCTACATGATTGAGGTATCAGAGGTCCATCTTTCAAAGATGACATTCCCAACCAATAGGGTCAATGGTTCTCCGGCCTGGATGGTGGGTTTGAGAATGTTTGAGATTTCGCATCCCAACATTGGAGCCATGACAATCCCACCCAACCGTGCATCATGAACAGCACAATTTTGGGTATCTCAATATGAAGGTTTTGATCTGGACAAATCGATGATGAAATACACCCAAAGTTTTTACACGAATATTAAACCGAAATGGAGGTTTTTTGGGGTAGCCCAAATGCCCAGTTTTCATCCAAAATTAAACTATTTTATATATAGTATTGAAACATATTGAAACCCATGGTTTTGGCCTATCACTGTTTTAGGAAACCGCCATATGTTGTAAAAAAAACAATACAGACATGTCACATGAAGAAGTCTTTCACATGGGCTCTGCCAGGTCGGCCAGGCCCTTCCCAACCCAGGTCCTTCTTCATCTCTTTGAGAGTCAGAACCTACAATGTGGGGCCCCCAAACGTTATAAGTTGGTTTATAACATGTTATAAACCCATCTAACATATCTAACTATGGTTATAACTACCATAAACCCTAGTGAAATTGTAGTTATAAACCAACTTAGCTATCTTGGGGGCCCCACATTGTACGTAGCCACGGATTACCACGGGAATTTGCGGCTTTTAGCCAGCCCACCCACCCCCACCGTCCCGGCCCCACCAGCCAGCCAGCCCGCCCGGCCCTGCCAGCCAGCCCAGCCAGCCCACCCCACCCACCGTCCCGGCCCCACCAGCCAGCCACCCCGCCCCCCCCCACCATCCCGGCCCTACCAGCCAGCCCAGCCACCCCACCCACCCCCACCATCCCGGCCCTACCAGCCAGCTCACCTAACTTCTCTTCCACCTCCAGCCCTACAATGCCCAGCCCACCCAAGCTCAGATAAGAGGAGGAGAAGAAGGAGAAGGAGGAGGAGAACAACTGTGATAAAATCTAACAACCCTCAACTGGCAAGTGGGGAATAATAATGAAACAAATGAATATCCATTTGGTGAGTGCAAATTTAATGATAATATGGATGAAAAAAATGAAAGTACATTTGGTGACTACAAATACAATGATAATATTGATAGAAAAAATGATAAAGGAAATGAAAATAAAATGATAAAATAATTAAAATCATCTGTCCCTGCTAGAGGCTGAATGATTTTTATAACTGTAGAGAGGTTTCAGGAGTTGGATCAGTCCTAGTCTCAAAGGCCTGGCTGCTTCTGCTGCTGTGGAATCAAAGACACAAACTGCTTGGTGGTTGAGCCCTACCCCTCTGAAACATATTATATAGTCAGTTGGGATTAGTATTCCCAATGTATGGAAAATAAAAAATGTTCCAAACCACCAACCAGCAAAAATTAGTGGTAAAAGATACGAATGGGTCTGCCAAATACTTGCGTAAGACATGCTTTTCATCACCAACCGAACGCCTGTACTTGTAGTTGCATTCCATTTTCCAAGTGGGAGGAATCTTAAGGCCCAATCATCTATCATTTATGAAATATCCCGAGATTTAAATTGGTTGTTTCTGCAAACTTTCTATGGGATATTAATAATAACTTATGATGCCTCGGCTGCACCCCCAAGTAAACTGCCCCTGCTTATCTCGTTGATGGTTCCCACAAAATACGAAAGTTAATTGGGAATTATCCCTTAAATCATCGCTTAAATCAGTCATATACAACTGGCAACTGAGAATCTATTCTAGAACTGGTCATATTTTACATATGTTTTAATGGTATTTACCAGTTCTCACGATTTTTTTTGTTTGCTCAGCTCAACAGCGCGCCTTGCCACCGCTCTTCTCCTGTTTCTTCAAGAAGCTGCCGGGATCATCGCCTCGAATGGGGAATCAACTCGTAGAATGGGAGGAAGAACCTGGAAAAACTCTATGAATCAACCGAAAAAACAAGACACAAAAATAATGTTCGCACACAGCTATGGGCCGGTTTTTACGCAGAAGCATTCTTATTTCAACTTGGTGATACTTGGTTGATATGAACCTTTGAGGGGATAGTTGCAGGTCTAAATATGTCGTGACTCTCGGGAGACTAGAACCTGGAAACTCGTTGGCATTCTTTACGACTCTTGTAGCGTTGCAGAAAACAGTTCCATTCTGGATCATTTGCCTGTCATCAAGCACAGGATCTAGAGGCAAGTCGGAGATGTTCAGCTTGTGACGACATTTCTGCGGTCCGGCGGTCCTATCCCCGGTCTGCCAGTGCGCAAAAATGTGACCACGGGTGACCGCAGAGTTAGCATGTTGGGATCTTCTTGTCGTCGTTCTTCAACCGGGGTTGACATGTTTTGACATGTCTTGAGGATTCCTTTGTCGCGTTCAAAAAAAACACCCAGAAAACATGGTACAAAGCAGATGAAACATGATGAAACTACCCTCTGGTTATGACTAACATCGCCATGGAAGCCATACAGAAAAGTACCATTTTAAAGTACCCTCTGGTAAACATACAAAAACGATTGAAGCCATGGCCCAGTCGAAATAGTTGGTTGACCGAACTTGAAAATGGGTGGATCTTTCCATGGCTAACTTATTAGTCATTTCACCAGAGGGTACGGTACCGATACTTTAGGGATGAACCCACCAGGATTCCACTGCGCCAGCCAACTGCCAGGTCACAGTAGGATCCCTTGGGTTTGCCGAAGGTGGAGTGAGATTTATCACCCACAGGCCTCGGAGATCAACGGACCGCTCGATGTGGCTGGATAGCAGTAGCCCATGCTTGCACAGAAAAAAACGTATATTTACTTCAAGTATTAGTGCTTCTGAGTTTTTTTGTTTTTTTTGCACACTCACTGAATATAGACATAGATATAGGATGATATAGCATGATAATCCGGATGATATGAAATTTAGAAACCTTAGGTTTATGTTAACTAATAGGATTTTTTATATTCCTATTATATGTTATGGAATGTTAAGTGACACATAGATATTCCAAAAAATAGGCTGATGTTTTATCGAGTCCTCGGAACTCGATGGTCCGACAACATTAATGTCAACTATGTGGGGCCCTCGATTAATGGTGGATATGATCTGATATATATATATATGAATATAATATATAATATATGTATATGTATATATATATATATACATATATATATATATATTATATACATATATATAATATATATTAATATGTATATATATAATATATAATATAACACAAACAGGGGTTTAGAAGCCAACTTAAAACCAGGAGGCATACAGTCTAGCAATGTCCAGCAAGATCTCAGTGGTTGGTATACTCACAGCCAGCACCTGAACCTGGCTTATCTGAAAAAAAAACAAATCACTTGCAATCATGGCTTCCAAAGAAATGAATCTGAATCATGTTAGTACAGCAATAGAATCCATCATCCCTGAATTTACCATGGTTATTGGTGGGTCTGATACCATCAAAATAGTAAAATACGAGTGGTTTATGGAATTGCTCTACTAACTAACATTCAAATAATCATTAGACTTGTTTCCAAACAATGCAATACTCTCTGAACTTGGTCAGTGGTAACCAGAGGCTGCGGTGAGGTGTCATCTATCTGGCTGTTGATTGGTGTTACGAGTCATACCAACTGTGGCGCTGAGGGACCTTTCCACAGCTGCAGCCAAAGACACTTCTGTTCTAAAGAGCCTCCGATGTTGGCAACCTGAACACTGCTGCACTGCTGTTGCGAATGTCATATGAGCAGATTAGCACAAAGTTGACTGGGAAAATTCTTCTTTTTGGACCTGTGAAATGAACATATTAATGGAAATTTAATGGGAATTTAAAGGGATATTAATGGCTGGTTGGTGGTTTCAACCTACCCCTCTGAAAAATGATGGAGTGAAAGTCAGTTGGGATGATGATTATTCCCAATAGATGGAAAAATGAAATTAATTTTCCAAACCACCAACCAGAATATGTTTGAGCCATTCCCACCATGTTCTTCAACCCAAAGCAACTGTTTCATGTTGTAAGAAGCAACCAATCGGTGTGATCCGCAAACGGGCGCACTTTTTTGGGATCCAAAAAGAGACTCACAGATTAACTATAAATCAGTGCAAATATGTCGCGCCCAAGACAGGTAAATTATGACAAATTATAGTAAATGATGGTAAATTAGCTGATAACTAGACTGGATCAAGATTTACGGAGACTGATCTACGGCTGAATGGGCGGCTTCTACAAGGCCCCACGTTGCTATTGATTCCGCAGTTTCCCCTGAATGATTGAGACAACATGAAAAAAAACACATTATAGTTGAAGACTAAACATGAAACAGTCTGCATTGAGAATTTGTGGCTGTAGCATTCGTAGGTGGAATTGGTACTGGGCTAGCTTGTCCACTCTCCTAGTAGTCAAGCAGTTGCTGGTCCATCCAACAATTAAGCCAATTTGGCTCAATAGCGAAGCTAGGTTTTAAACAGGACAGTTTTGAAACCACCAACCATTCACCATTCTTTGAATTGGTTTAATATGGTTTAATATAGGAACACTATGGAACACTTATATACAGCCTCTATATTTGTGTGTAATCCATCATTGATATCCCCATGGTTATCCCATTACATCCCCATGGTTTCCCACAGTTGTGGCCTTTGACAGTAAATGGGAGTGTAAATATCCGCAACTAAGGTTACCCTCTGGTGAACTAACATAGCAATGGAAAATCACAATTTTTAATGGGAAAATCCACTATAAATAGCCATTTTCCATTGCTATGTTAGTTCACCAGAGGGTATGTATCACTTAAATGAGACTTGTTCAGCCAGTTAGAATTATATTTGGTATACCCTCTGGTAGTTTAACAGAGCTGTTGAACATGGCCCATTTATAGTTGATTATCCTATTCAAGATGGTGATTTTCCATACTTATGTCAGTTTACAAGAGGGTATAATCCACTAACATCCCTGTTTTTTGGTTGATTGAACCCCTATAATCACCATGAAAAATTCCATTAAACCATATTAAACCACCATTGTCATCCTGAAAATGACCATTCTGAAAAATCACCATGACTTTCCATCCATGAAATCCATGAAATCCAACGATTTTCACCATGAAATCCGATTAAAGCACCATATTATGGTTGATTAGTGGGATTTCATGGTGATTATGGTGATTTTATTGCAAGGAATCATAGACATAGCTCAAATAGCTAGGATTCATAGAAATTGAACATACATATCGACCAACATTTACTGATTGGTGGTTTCAACCATCTTGAAAAATATGAAAGTCAGTTGGGATGATTATCCCATATATGAAATGGAAAAGAAAATTCATGTTCCAAACCATTTGATATGGTGGTTTGATATGGTGAGCAATTAAACCAGGGGTTGGGGGAACCTGGAAACAGGTTGCAATGACATGTTGCAATTTACAGGTTGCAATCTGTTTCATTCTTTATCCCACGAAATGTGAAAACGCCAAGTAGCTGCTGGACAGGTGGTCCCGGCCGTCGGAAAGGTGGAGGCTGTTGGCGGCAAGCCCGACGCATGCCTCGGCTGGAAAACTTCCATGGTGTAGGGGACGAAACCACACCATCTTTGACTGTATGGGAAGTAACTAGAAATGATTAATACTGGAGAATAATATGGGGATACTCCAGAATAATATCAGAATATTTATAACTAGAAATGTTGGATTTATAACTAGAAATAACTAGAATTGTTGGAATTATAACTGCTGGTTTGTAATGATTGATAGGATAGTAGAATCCCAATTCTCCCAATTCTCAGCATAACAACAGATATCATGAGCAATCATATCCAATAATCACAGATATTTCCAAATCATAATCTGGTTGGTGGTTTCAACCTACCCCTCTGAAAAATATGAGTTCGTCAGTTGGGATTATGACATTCCCAACTGAATGGAACAATAAAAAATGTGCCAAACCACCAACCAGTAATGATAATACTGGAGAATAATATGGGGATATCTGACATTATTAATCATGGAATATGTGGTGTTTAAGACTAGGGGGATAGGATAAACAATGGCCTAGATTCAGCTAGATAAAATGGGTGCGTAGCTGCGTAACCAACAAAACTGTGGATTCAAACAATAAATAATAGGTTTCTTTTGGTTTATAACCAGACTTACAAAACTGGTTGGTGGTATACCTACCCCTCTGAAAAATATTAGTCAGTTGGGATGATGAAATTCCCAATATATGGTCAAATAAAACATGTTCCAAACCACCAATCAGAAAATGTTTCGGGGTAGATACTGTCTATTAGTAGTTTCATGGCGGAATAAAACTTAAACAGAACTGGGAGGCCCCACATTGTATGATATTGGGTGGCCTTGAATCCATTTAGTAGCTCAAATAGCTAGGATTCATAGAAATTGAACATTAATATCGACCAACATTTACTGGTTGGTGGTTTCAACCCCTTCTGAAAAATATTAGTCAGTTGGGATCATTATTCCCAATATATGGAAACATACAAAATGTTCCAAACCACCAACCAGTTTAGAGATTCCAGGACTTTTGGATGTGAATTCGCGGTGGTGCCCCCAGTAGTTGGTAGTTTCTTATCCTCCTTGACTATATACTATAGATAGATCTGCCATGACCATACACCCTAGATATTGGAGCTGTAAGCAATCTGAATCTATCGGGACTGACCTTGTAATGTGTCTAGCTATGGCTTCAGCAACAGCATCGCAAACGGATTGACGGCAGCAGTTGGGGACTCAAACCAGGAGTTGGTTTGAAGGAAACTTTACAGAACCCTTCATATTTGGCACATAGATTCCTGCAGAATATCCCTTAAATAGCCTTAAAGGCGGGATGATCACAGAACAAGATGACATGGCTCGGCGTGACAGAAATATGCGCTCATTCTTCGGACATGTTGCTAAATGTCCCTCTGCAAAACCGTTCCCTATTTGGGTTTGTCTGCCAATAGGATACTCATTTAACATAACTGGTTGGTGGCTTCAACCCCTCTGAAAAATATTGCTGACTTGGTATGAGTATTCCCAATATTATATGGAAAGATAAAAAATGTTCCAGAACACCAATCAGATAATCCCATAGTTTATCATGGTTTTCCCTACCGCAAACATCAACCGCGCTGAGATGACCTGAAGCTCCGGCGAAGCAGATTAGAAAGACCTAATTCAAGGAATAAACCGTACTTGGTATACCCCATTTTCAGACAAAACCATTTTTTCGAATTGTTGATTATTCATATATCATCTATGATCTATGGATATTCTCATCCCCATTATTCCATGGTAATGTAGTTATTCTACTATGTATGTATACCTATACCTATGATCTATTGTAACCATATATCCTGGTATTCATATTGTAGCATATCATATTAGTGTTTTGTTTTGATAGTGTATCTTCTCCTTGAAAAGGCACCAAAAGGTGAGTCGCGCGTAGCGACAGGTCTTCTGCTTTACAAGTAAGGCTAGACCGCCACATTAGTCCTCAAAACGGACTTAGTGCATTTTTTTTTTGGTTGTGCGACAAACGCCAATTGTGTTTTGAAGCGCGCAAGGTTGCAAATTAAAGCAGCGAATACCGCGCAAAATTTTCGTTTTGAAGCAGAATCCAGCAAGAACATCACAGAATCCAGCGCTACCACATCTGCCTTCAGCACGAATCGCACGTACTCCACAGCGATTTCGAAGTTGTCTGAGAACAGCGCGACGTCGTTCCCAGAGAGATCCACGCTGTTCAGTGGAGAGTACTGGTCGCCCTCCTAATTATCAATATTGATATATCCCATTCTGCTACCATTGATTATTCATATATCCTATGATCTATATTCGTATCATCTCAGCATCATATCCCAATTATGCTTACAACATGTAGGGCCCCTCCCAGTTATGTTTGTTGGTTTTATTAATCCCATCCAAACATTTTCTCAACCGAGTTATTTCTACCAAGTTGGCAAACTATGGGGCCACATTGTAGTTGTAATTATGCATATAGTACCAGCAGTACCGCACAAGGCGGTGGCGGAAGTTTCAAAAATAGGAAACCTATAGGAGAGGTTGGTTGTTGTGAATCAGGTATGGCAGAGCGAAGCCACTGATGGACTGAAAGGTGCTTGATCTCTCTCTCTCTCTCTTTCTCTCTTTTTCTCTCTGTTTCTCTATTTTTCTCTGATTATCTACCTACCTACCTACTGATCTATCTGTTTATCTATCTATCTATCTGTCTGTCTATCTATCTCCCTATCTATCTATCTATCTACCTACCTATCTATCTAGCTGTCTAGTTTTCTAGCTATTAGTCTATCTATCTATCTATCTATCCATCCATCCATCCGTCTATCTATTTATCAGTCTATCTGTCTATCTGTCTATCAGTCTATCTGTCTATCTCTCTATCTATCTAACTCCTCTGTCTACCTACCTACCTACCTATCTATCTTTCTATCTATCTATCTATCTATCTATCTGTCTAGCCATCTAGCCATCTATCTATCTATCTATCTACCTATCTCTCTATCTATCTATCTATCTATCTATTTATCTATCTATCTGTCTAGCCATCTAGCCATCTAGCCATCTAGCCATCTATCTATCTATCTATCTATCTATCTAACTCCTCTGTCTACCTACCTACCTACCTATCTATCTTTCTATCTATCTATCTATCTATCTGTCTGTCTGTCTGTCTGTCTGTCTACGTATCTATCCGTCTATCTATCTATCTATCTGTCTGTCTGTCTGTCTATCTGTCTATCTATCTATCTATCTACCTATCTATCTATCTATCCATCTATCTCTCTATCTCTCTATCTCTCTGTCTGTCTGTCTATCTGTCTATCTGCAAGTTTGAAAACGAAGCTATTCTGCGAGACTTCCTCAGTTTTTGAACTTGGCACCATCAAAAACTCAGAAATTCTGCGAGACTTCCTCAATTTTTGAACTTGACAACATCAAAAACAAAGCAATCCTGCGAGACTTCCTCATTTTTCGAAGTTGACGACATCAAAAACAAAAGAATTCTGCGAGACTTCCTTCAAAAATGGAAAGTTGAGTGCAGAGCTGACGGCCTCGTACCAATGCGTTTTGCGATTTTTTTAGCCCACCTGTCTAAAGTATTGCGCCTGCCACGAAAAATTAATGCCAGGTCATACGAAGTGCTGCACCTGTCACGCAAATTCATCTCAGCAAACCTGAAGATCTGAGGCTCCAAAGTGGAACCCCTCTGAAGAAATCAGCGCCCTGACTTCCTGACATCTCTGATGAACATGTCTCTTGTACTGCGCCGGCCACACGAAATGCATCTTTGCAGATCCCCTTCAAATGTCCCACGCCTGCCAATGTTTTTGAAACTGCTACAAAACCCTCACGTTTTGCTCACTTTTGACCAGGTGCACAATCCCTTGCGCCTACAACGCAAAACGACATCTGAACGTCCAAAAGTGCTCCGTACCCCTCAGTTTTTTGCACTTTTGACTTCGAAATGTGCTTCGCGCCACAACGGCGTGCACTTTTTCGACATCTCAACTTCCAAAAGTGGTCCGACGCTGAGGTGTTTTGTACATTTTGACTTCGAAATGTGCTTCGCGCCACAACGGCGTGCACTTTTTCGACATCTCAACTTCCAAAAGTGGTCCGAGAATGGTGTGCTTTGTACATTTTGACTTCGAAATGTGCTTCGCGCCACAACGGCGTGCAATTTTTCATCTCTCATCTGGCCAGCTGGCTCCGCACCCGCCGCTTTAGCGAGCCTACTTTTCGACCCTCCGGAGCCACAAATCATTGGAAAAACACAGTGTTTCGCGACTTTCCTATTTTCGCGTATCTGCATCTTCTTTCTTCTGACTCTTTCTCTTCTCTGATCTTCTCTCTTCTACAGGAATCTTTCTCTTCTCTCTGCCTCTGCCCTGCTCTGCTTTTCATCTGTCCATATTGTCGGAAGTTTGACTTCTAAACTTCCTTCGATCATATATATATATAGAGAGAGAGAGAGTTCGTCAGTTGGGATTATGACATTCCCAACTGAATGGAACAATAAAAATTGATCCAAACCACCAACCAGTATACGTATATAACTCATGTGTATTCATTTGTTCAGTTTCTTTCGCAGTGAAAAAAAGGACGAACTGTCTTCCCATGGTCTCTGCTGAGTCGAGAAAGACTTGCGAACTTGAGACGATTTTTTTCTAGCCGCCAACAGAATCGCACAAATCTCGAACTGTAATCATGTATATATAATCCAACAATCCTTCAAATCAACCACATAAGAGTCAACGTTTCCAGACTCATTGATTTTGAGACTCGAAATTGAGGTCCAGATACAAGGGAGAAAAACACAACTCTCAAGCCAGGATTCATAAACCTCCAGATTGCATGGAGGAAACACATTTCAGTGGATTTGTTCCCCTTATTGGGGTTCCTGGTTCCTCCTCAAAACTTATCACCAGGAGTTTAGCGTTGCGCTAGGTTTCCACTTTTCCTAGAATTGATTGAAGGAAACAAATATATACATGAAAACCATTGAACACCTATACCTTTTGGTTATTTAACATAGCCATGGAAAATCGATTATAAATGGAAGTTTTACTGGGAAAATCATCTAGTCTATAAATGGACCATTTTCCATAGCTATGTTAAATAACCAGAGGGTAATATGTGTATTTGCAAGAAAAAAAACCATTGGTGTCCTCTAGATTTTCCCTTTCACTCCACTGAACTCAAGAATGTCGGAGACATGTCACTTGGACTTGTACATGGGAGGACGATCCTGCGGAGCGTTTCGAAAAAGCATTGTCTCATGGCCGAAGGCTAAATGTGCACGCAGAATCTGTACATGTCTTTTGTGCACTATTTATAGCTTATAACTGGTTGGTGGTATACCTACCCCTCTGAAAAATATGAAAGTCAATGGGAAGGATGACATCCCATATATTATGGAAAATAAAAAATGTTTGAAACCACCAACCAGATAATATTCAAACTGAATTGTTAAGCTCGACACGTAATGACGCACTTTACAAACAAAAAGGTTCATGGGTGGAATATCACCAAGCTCAAGTTGCTTCACTCGTGTTCTGGCGTCTGTTGCCATCTTCCGATCACAGATGGACAATAAGTCCTATTGTTGGTGGGTGGTTGGTGGTTAAGAAGATGTTAACATGGTGAATCTTAAATACCTACCAAAAGAATTCAAAATAGATAATTTTTAGCTGGTGAATGTACATTTTACCATTGACAACAAAAGATTAAGGTTGGCCCACTTTGAGACCTCCGGAATCACATGGCAACGGAAACCTGTTTTCATAACACTTGAGGACTTCTCCCTACATCCTTGGTTGTCCTTTGTTGTCCTTGCAGGCAGTAAACTAACAGTTCCATGTGGAAAATCCACGAAAATCGTAGACGATTTTCATAGGGAAACCATGGCTTTTCTACATCTTTTTCTTTGTTTACCCTCTGGTAATTTAACATAGCTATTGAAAATGGCCATTTATAGTGAGTTTCCCATTAAAAATGGTGATTTTCCATAGTTATGTTAATTTACCAGAGGGTACCCTCTGGCACTTTCACAGAAATTGCCCAAAGATTCACAGCTGCTGGTAGATCAAACTCCATGGGCCAATTTTCAATTTTCATGGCCATAAATGACCAGAGGCTATGATTGAAAATGTAGCCTGGTAATTTGCTACGTAGCTAGCAACCAAGCCATGGCCATAGAAATAGTTTATAAAATCCCAGCTGTAAAATGGTGATGTTCCATAGCTGTGTGGCTGTTTACCAGAGGGTAAACATGTTTAAAGACTTTAAAACCATATTCTCTGCACTAAATGCCATCAAGCGGAATATGCCCATATAATCACATATATACCGTGTATATATATATAAATGCTTATACATCCCTCAATCTACGAGTATTTCTGGTTAAAATATGTTAAAATATGTTAACAGCCCAATGCTTGTTGATACATCTGTCAAAAATATAATGTCAGCCTTGGAGTAATAAACCAGGTTTGATTAGTGGGCTTACCCCCAGATAGTGATAAGTTGCTACTAAAATACTAGCCCTCTTCTTAAACAGCCCAGGGGTCAACCAAAGGACATGTGACATAATCCCCATGCTATGCCCATCATACCACCATTCTTGATGGTTAAATCTCCATTTTTGATGATGAAGTCACCATGTTTGATGGTTCCAACCCCTCTGAAAAATGATGGAGTTCGTCAGTTGGGATGATTGTTCCCAATAATATGGAAAATTAAAACAAATCCAAACCACCAACCAGACCATGTTTGAGGCTTCAATTCAATTCCACTTTTTGTTGATGCAACTGTCTAATCATCCCCAATGCCGACATGGTTGCGATCATTTTCCTAGCGTGACTCACCCTAGGCCCCACGGTGCGAGACGCGCCTGAACCACCGGCTTGGGTGGAATCAGGTTGTAAATCGACTCTTGATGCATCCTGAGTTACGAGTTTGGGGGTGATAGGGATAGCCGGATAGCACTATTATCTATGCATATATATAGACATATTTGGCAATAAATTATATATAATGTATGTGTCTCATCATTCTATCTATCATCTATAATCCAGGCGGCACGTCAAATCCAACATTCAGGACGAGAAAAACAATTCTGTGCAGGAAGCTTCACCAAACCAATCTTTGCTGTTAGGGGCTGTTTTCTGGGCTGTTTTTTTCCTCAGGCTCAAAACATATGGAGGTTTCCCACAATGGGGGTATCCCAAAATGGATGGTATAATGGGAAATCCATGGAAATCCTATTAACATGGATGATTTAGGGGTACCACCATTTTAGGAAACCACCATATAGTTTATAACTTCTTGGCAGAAGGGATACGATCACATTCATGGCGGAGCCTGAAGATTAGGTTGGTTACCATATGGTTATTTAACAGTTTGCTATGGAAAATCCCATATTTATAGATTATCAACCTGATGATTTACCTATTAAACATGGTGATTGTCCAGTTTGCACACCCTTAAATACCCAGAGGCTGCCCAAAAAAATCGAAGGCCTAACATGTCCAAGTCCAGCATGCCCCAATTCTCCCACTTGTCCCATGGCCAAGTGGCATCAACATTCTGAGCACAAACGATGCTACGACTGGTCCCAACTCTAAAGTGACATCAATCTCCAGCAGAGATTGCTTGAACCCAAGCGGAACCGTAGCAGCGGAAGATTCTTTTGAGACCCAAAGTAGTCAGGATGAACTTTGGATGAAAAAGGGAATACATGGAGTTCTCCACCATCTTTGCTGGAATGTTTTCATTCGCCCGATGGAATTTTGTATCTAGCAAGGACATTATGTAAATCTCATGAAAAAACAAAGATTGAAAAGGTCTCCAGGCGCCAGTTGCTAGCTGCTAGCTACCTCCACATACCTGATCAACCCGGGATTTTCACAAGCATCTAAATAACCCCGCCAGGTTTATATGAGCAGGATTTCTTCAAAACCAGGGGTTTATGGTTAACTTTACTGCTGTACTCAGTGCTCAGTTGGTGCTGTTTTCCTTAGTTTGGCAGAGCTTCATTCTGGGACCTGCCCTGCACTTATCGGCTTCTCAGTCAACACGTGCTGACCTTCAACAAAAATGCAGCTAAAACACTGGTGATGTCAGAGTGCAGCGTGGCATAGAAAAGCTTCTGAAATCTCAAGCAATTTGTCAAAATACAAACTGAAGCCATAACTTTGACTATCTACTTAGAAGATACTGCAAAGGTCTTATTGATCGTGACAATATCTCTTTTCTTGGAAACATGTCCTCCATTGTTGCCGCCGAACCCCCAAGTTACGCTTGCAAAATCGATTGAAATCCATTGAAATCATTGAAATCCAAACAAAAATTCATTGAACATCATTAACAACTATGTTTGTCGCGAAATCCGTTGTTCAGAGGGAAAATCCCTCCAGTTTTGCTATCTCTGAAGCCTTAAAAAAGAGAGGGCTTGCACTGCACCTTGGTGTAGCCACAGCGCGTCCGTAGAGCTTGGAGCCAATTGTCGAAGGCCACAGCCTGAGCGACACATTTTGGATGGGTTCAGGTAGCAAAACTGCGGATGTTACCTTTAAAAAAGATCGATTTTTCCATGAATTTTGATGAATAGTAATGGAATTGAATGAATTTATGAGAAGTGATATCTATTGTCCCTATAACTATAGTCACTAATAATAATCTATGGTATGTGATACCTATGGTCACTAATATAATGGTTATGTTAGTAATATAACTAGATAAATTAAAAATAAGTGATATCTATGGTCACTACATTCCCTATAACTATAGTCACTAATAACACTCACTAATCAGGAATTGATATCTTAGCTTATTAGTGATATAGTGACTATAGTAATAGTAATATTGATATAGTGAGTATCGATGACTATCAGAAAGTGGTTGATGTGGGGTTGTAGGAGTAAAGTCCAATAAGGTAAACTAACTATGGTTAATAGTCACATGGTTAGTTAATGTGAATTTTGAATATTAATGGATATTAGCCATGGTTAGATATGGCTTTGATATACAAACACAAACAATAAAGTTAAGTGAGGGATAATATAGTTTGATTATAACTATAATGATGTTATGTTAATTTAATAATATATTTGAATTTGTATTAGTGATAACTATAGATAATATAGCTAAGTTAACAATAGCTAACAAGGAATTGATATCTTAACTTATTTGTGATATACAGTAGCGGCGTTACAGTGACCATAGCTATATGATAATGATTCATAATGTGTAGTTGGCTGGCAAATCTCTGGCTAAATGGAGGTTTATAGCGGGGGAAATAATCAATACGATTAGCCATGAATACACAGAACATGGTTCTTGACTTCGTATCTATGTAGATGCGTGTCCTGTATAAAATTCCCCTAAACCAACTATGGCTTTCCTCAAAGTGGGTTTTCTTTACAAGCTTTCATAACCCCAATCAACCAGAGGTTTTCTATCCAGTAAGCTGGGTTCATAGCCAACAAAATGAAATAAATGCTCATGACAGCTACGAACCAGATGAAATAATTGCGGATAACATAGAGAATTCGTCCGCAAGAATGGAGATATAAGAGGAACTGGAATAATTATAAATATATCATCGATCATGGACAACATGGTTACCCCAGTTCTGTCTCCTCTTGTTGTTTTTTTCATCGTCCGTATTATAAGCCAGCAGGTGTTCATCCCTTAAATAGGTCAAAAGTTGACAGCACATACTATAATTGCCAGTTGCTTAAGACTGGCAGCTAGTTTTGGGATGGTCTCATTTTCACACCAACAAGCACCAATGCAGGAGAAATCAAACGTATGGGAAATACACTGTTGCAATGCGAAAGTCAAAAAAAATGAAACTGGAGATACTCCAGCAGGTTTACAAATGCATTCATGGATGATCATGATCATGACAACCCACCCAACAGTTGGACACTCAGAGTGGTGTGTTTCACATGGTGTTTCGCCAGTTCTTGGCCCTCGGGAGGTAGTCCCAATCTTCAGATTCCCCAATGGGCTCATGGGGCCAAGTTGTTGTTCCTCTTCTTGGGATTATTAAAAAAAAGATCATGTATGAACACTGGGGATCAATTCGGATCATTATTAATTAAGATGATTAATTACCCTCTGGTAAACTGCCACATAACTATGGAAAATCACCATGTTTAATGGGAAAATCACTATCATTGACAATTTTCAATAGCTATGTTAGTTTACCAGAGGGTAAGAGCTAAACCATCCCCAATTTCTGGCTTATCATTGGGGATCCCACGATATGCATGAAGAACCTGTGCTGGCCCATCCACACATCCCATGGCCAATCAGCCAGACCTGCCAAAAATGACCAATTCGTAGCTGGTGAACGTAGATAATCCATATGATAATCCCATACCAAAAGACTAAAGATGACTAAAGGATATTAAAGGATTAGTTTCTACCCATCCAAGATTGACCGATCGATTCCTTGAAGTCAGCGCTTTTCTTTTTCCGATCAATCGAGTTGTTCGACGCTTTTTTCTCGGCCAAGCCTTCTGCGTCGTCGCCTGCAGAAGCCGAATCTCGGGGAGGTCTTCGCTTCCCGCTGCAGGGCTGCACTGGGTAAATAAAGAGCTGTCCCATATCCATGTCCCAAAGAGAGGCTATTTATTAACATTCATTCACCACATTTATCCAAAATTAAATTTAACCTACAATAGGGTTGAGCAACATTAAGCAACCCTGCTTTTGATCGCTCGATCGCTGATCTGGTGTCCTGTGTCCCTGTCAAGATTTTGATGATCATGGTAGGAAGCCGAACTCATAGGTCAACAAGCAGTGAACCTGGTAGTTCTTCATGTGCTTGGCCAAAAGTCAGTGACTTTAAGACTTTGATGTGCGTCAAACTTGTCTGGGTTGAAGATTGTTGAAGATTGGATGGGGAATACGAGCAAATAAACAATCCGCAACGGCTGCATTTTGACCCATCTCCACTTCAGAAGACATCGCTGCATGTCTGCTCCGGTTTGCTAGGTGCTGTGAAAAGGATTCTTCCTTCGCCAGTTTATACCATAGCAGATTTCTTCTTTTTTGGGATATCACTGGGTAAATTATAATATTTCACTAACCTGAATTAAGCCCATTTGGGGATGATTCCCCTTATTAACCATGATTCCAGTGAGGTCGCAGTGAGGTCGTTATAATTTACCCAGATATCATGAGAATGTTGATGTTTCTGTTCAAGACTTGTTCTTTTTGTGCCTCTTTGCCACGCTTCGAATCGGCATCGGCATCGTCCCCATGGTGGCCTGAGCTAATTCTTCCCAGTCTGCACCTTCTCCCTTCGCAGTTCACCTTGAGCTTCGGAGGAGATGACATTGACAGGCCACCAAGAAAACAACATGCTGGGTTCAATGAATATTAACAATCTGGTGTCCCCATTTATATATATATATCTATAATATATAATATATATAATATATATAATATATTAAGCTTTGTAACCGGGAAAATCATCTAATGTTTTTTTTGCTCAGCAAACCATGCTTGAGGACACCTCAGGGAAATTATTTCCATTTTTTTCATGCAGCTAGTGTTTGTGGTTGGTTTCCACTCCTCCCACAAGGCCAATTACCCATCATAACCTGGTTCTAAAATCTACTGCTGGAACTCGTTTCATTTTATCCCGCTTGCATTCAGTCATGTATCACCTATATGGTACTGAGTCGTGTCCGACATGATACTGGAATGATCCAATTGAGGTTAAGGTTCATGATGAGTAGCTGAAAAAAATGATTGGCTTAATCGTGTCAAATCTTTATTATTCTTTATTTGTGACCAACATTTAAGAACACACACTTAGGACTTATATTCATGTTGAAACCGTGTCAACCCCCCTGATTTCTCTCCCATAAAAACCCAATTCATCCCTCAGACTCCCCAATTTTCCCGATAACATCACCATTTTTGATGGTTCAAGATGAAAAAAAACAAGTCAAAACCCAATTTTTCTGGGTCAACTATATCAAAATCCACATGTTTCTTCGAAAAATAATGAAAAGAAAACATTTTTTCCAGGCAACATCCACATTTTTCCATGTGAAACCATCATTTTTCCATATAAAACCTTATTTTCCATATAAAACCACCATTTGTCCATATAAAACCACCATTTTTCCATGTGAAACCACCGGGTTTCCCTCCCGGTGCGTTTCGGCGCCGCATTTAACAGGTCACTGTCCCGGGTCAGGCACAGCAGCAGCTCCGGCAGCGCGGCGCCCAAGAGGCCGGCGACAGCGAAGGTGGTGCCTTGGTAGATACCTTGGAGGCGACATTTTGGGGTGGATAATGATTAACCATATTTTATCCATATAAGTACTGGTTAATAAGATAATCTATTAATGGTTAGTAAGTAAGTAATGGTTAGTAATGGTTAATGGTTAATACCTTGGTAGATATATCTAGTAAGTAATGGTTAGTAATGTGGATTTTCCATTGCCATGACTAATTGTGGATTTTCCATTGCCATGACTAATTGATTATCGGAAGGTTTTTCTATGTTTTTCTCATATCCCCCCCCTGTGGGGTATCATTGCTTGATACAATGTGGGGCCCCCAAACGTTATAAGTTGGTTTATAACCCCATCTAACATATCTAACTATGGTTATAACTACCATAAACCCTAGTTATTGTAGTTGTAAACCAACTTAGCTATCTTGGGGGCCCCACATTGTATCAATGGCCATTCCAGGATCCGATTGATTGAAGGTACCTAGCATATATAAGGCCTATTTTTCAGGCCGAAATTTAAGGGAATATCCCCACAAAATATGGCCTGAAATATGGTACAGTACCTCCAATTTAGGATCCTGGAATTCCCATTGAATATATGGATAAAATATGGTTAATGTAGTTAGTTAATATGATTTTTATATAATGGGAAAATATGGAGATAATACATACCATGTATATAAATGCCGTAATTTGGGGGTTGGATTTTTGGGTAAAGTAGTAGTACAATGGTGTTAATGGATATAATGATATAATATGGTTTTCATGGATATTGAATTATTACTAGTGAATGTTAATGAATAGTTCACTATTAGTTGATATGAATATATAATATGGTTGATATCAATTGTGGTTGGTCAATATTAATGCACGGCTAATATAATGGGTAGTAAACATTCTTATTGTGGCTGTTCCATAATCCCATATACCCTCTGATAATTTGTTACATTTAGCTATTGAAAATGGCCATTGATAGTTGATTTATCTTTGAAAAGTGGTGATTTTCCATAGCTATGTTTGTTTACCAGAGGGAAATGGGTTTGATATGGATATATGTATATATGGATAAAATAGATTTGACTTTGTACTCCTCACATCCCAAACCTATCCCAAATCAATCGTTTTTAGTGTCCAATGGATATATTGATCTTACCTAGTTTGAACATGGGAAAACTGTGCTATAATGTTCAATATTAATGGATATTCAACTATTACTAGATAGTTAACGTTAATGTGGTAATATGATTACAGCAGTGAATGACAACAATATAGCGCTAACTATGTTTAATATGGTCAATATTAATGGTTAACATTGGTGAACTATTAATAATTGACTATGATCAACATACCATTTATATACCATTTATAAATAGGCTATAATTAATGGTGAATCTCTGCGATACCTGGCACAGCAAGTCTCATTTTGAGCTGGTGAATGGGCAAGTTTTACCACAGCAGAAGATTAAAGTACTTTTTACCCTCTGGTAAACAGCCACATAGCTATGGAAAATCACCATCTTTAACGGGGAAAATCAACTATTTCTATTGTCCATTTTCAATAGCTATTTTGACATAACCCGAGGGTAGTATCTAACCAGTTGGCCGACCCAGAAGTATGCTTAAAAATGAATATGAGAGATTCGTGGATGGATTTGGATGGCTAATAGTGAATGAATCATTTCATATTAGTATGTTCAAATATATTAGCCATCCAAATTTACCATAATGGATAATAAATAGATGGCTATATAACTAATGGTTAATGATTAATGGTTAAATAATTTGCATGTTCATCTCGTGATTCATGTTGCAATGCTCCTACTGTTGGATTGAGCTTCTGCCGCAAGTTACGCTTGTAACTTGGGACGGGTACCATGCAATAAAGCAATCCATGATTGATAAGCATTGATAAGCATTGTCAATAACTATCAACTAATTTGATCCATTTGGCTACTAAAAGGCCTAGCAATATCCAATAATGTGAATTTAATTTACAAAATGCAAATAAATCCTAACAGCTCAACAATAAATATAAATTATAAATAGATAGTACCAAGTAATACCTGCTGGTTTGTATCCATTGCGCCCTAGGGGTTTAAAAATCAATCCTTCCGCTTCACAGAGGCAGGTATTGAAAGAGGTCGATGCACTTGGTAAACACTACTGGTTCATAGGTTATATCATATCCATTCATATCCTACCTTTGCAGATTAACATCAAGAAAAATCAAGAACATGTTTTTCAACCGTCGACCAACATGTTTTTTGGATTTATAGCTTTCCATCTCCATGATTGTTTTTTTGGTTGAAGATAGCTATATTAAAAAAAACAAAACACACATTATTTATAGGATATTAACATATATTAACCAACATTTATAGGATTTGTAGCATATTTTGAATGATTAATATACAACTGTTAATATATGTTAATATCCCGCGAACTGCCCACCAACATTTATGGCTCAAAAAAAAAGGTCAACACCGACGGCATTCATGCCCTACCATCAACCATCCATCAACCGTCCCAGCCGTCCGAGGTCGGTTTCTTTCCACCGGGTGGCCCTTCCTCTTGCACCAGGCATAATAATTTCCGTAGAGAACCTGGGGCAAGGCCCAAGGCCCCAACAATACCCACCGTAAAAATCACCAGTTTATTAGATCAAAAAACCGTGTTGCAATGTAATGTAATAATGTAATATTATAAAGGCAATTTCATTACATTTGGTGGTGATTTCATCACATTTGGTGGTGGCTGAACCGGCAGGAATGGAAATCATGCATCTTTCTTTACTGCAGCAGCCACAGTGCTCAAATGAGTGAGGAGCGAAAAGCCTTCCTTGCAAAACTCAAAAATGCAGGGCCTACTGTGAACAGAGATGTAAAAACAGACGTTAAAAAGAGCCTCGTTCTGAAGACAATCCCTCCAAAGGAGAGAAGTAATCAGAATGAAAGGCTTAAGTTTTTGTCGAGGGTGGCTGGGAAAAGGAAATCTCCGACTACGGAACCTCGGCCTTCGTTGACAGCGTCTGACACAGTGGTGCCAGATGAGGGTACATGTAGGAAAACTGTGGATTTCAGCTTGTCAAGTCTTCATGAGTTTCGATCGAGAGGCTTGCTCACTGGAGGCAAGCCACAGAACAATTTGCAAAGGAAACGTCCCAATTACGACAACAGACTTCGCAGACTCAACAAAGCAGAGAGCAATAGGGTTTCGCTCCTTAGCAGAGAATCCAATGAACATTTGTTTTACGATTGTTTTGAAGTCAGGATGTTCGGAGATCAAGAGGGGACTCTGTTTTTTTACAAGTAGTTCAAAGATCTAAGGCATCGAGCAAATGGGACGAGTGCCAGCAGGA